AGACCAAATGATTATTTTTATCTCAATTATGCAGCTTATCAACAGAGGCACATTCCTCGTTGATAATTAATCCTTTTTTCCTTGAAAAGTATAAAATCTGATTTTTCGGGCGAAAAGTTTAGCGAAATTTTGAATGAAGATGAATTCAAATAAATTATCTGAAAATTTGAAAAAATCTCAGAACTACTAGAAATTTGTAGATCATGATCGAAAGAGGACCAAAAAAATTAGAAGAAGCTTTAAAAATATGGAAAAAAAGTTTTTTTCACAATTTATTAGCTCAGCAACTACTGAAGAAGCATTACAGCTGACTGAAATGATCAATTTTTGATTCCTGTGAACCGTATCAGCCATTGTTCGTCTCTCCACGAGGACACTGTAACAAATGGGTCGAAAAGAAACAAGGTTTCTGCTTTGAAAGAACCACTTTACTATGAACTAAGGAACCTTGTCCTCCTAATTGTATTAACAAGACTTTTTTAACCTAAAGAAGAAAGTTGATTTTTAGAGAAAAAGAGGAGGCGATGAGGAAATGAATGTGTTTAGAAGCGTTCTGACAATAAAATGAGCGCCTCGTCATTAAATACGCCATTTCAGGAGTCGAAAAAATCAAGGAAACGTCAGAGAAAAACCTAAATTTTGATTTCTCATCGGTGACGACAGCAAAATAAACTGAATTCTTGTGGTGGTTTGTATTGAAAAACTGAACTTGGTTGAAAAAAAAAACAAAAAAATTCTGAGAAAAAAAGCGATTCAAATAAAGATCACCATAATTTAATATATCAAAGAATTAAGAAGAACACTTGAAAATAAGTTTCTGGAAAAAATCCCGGAATATTTTTGAAATTTGAGTTGAGAACGTGATTGAATTTAAAAAATATTCAAAAAGAAAAAAAGAAAACAACTGTTTTTAATACGGAAAAATCAAAGAAGGACTTTTCTTAAATTTCGCAGAAAGAGATTCGAAAAAATACATACCTCCTTTGAAAATTTTTCAAAAAACCCTAGTGCAAATATTCCAAGTTTTGAGAGTTTGCAGCTCTATTTGAACTGATTAGAAGAAAAATCAAGTATCTTCTGACGTCCATTCATCAATTGGTCATAATGATGGATCGGCTACAAAACCAAATCATGTGCCTTTTTTTTTACTGTCGCAGTCAATTTTTCGATAAGAGACTGAAACTTCCGTGCCAGTGTGTCGGCCATCAATCAAAGCGCTCCTAATTTCTTTTTCCAACTATTTTACCGCCGGCTGATCGAATCGGTTGTTGATCAAAATAGCGAAGAAAAAAGGGCATCTGGGCGTCTTCTCGCATGACAAAAAAGATTTTGGTGATAAAACAGAATTGCCCCCCGATTCCGCGTTTTTATCACCTAACGTGCCATTCCGAGCATTTTATTTGGAGGCAGCAATTGGATTTGTTTTCGAGATGGTTAGTGATCCGATAATACTGAGAATAATGATTGAAAGAAAATATTGTTCCTTGAAGTGAAATTGAAAAATTGCGGTCGGTTGTCGTCAAAATCAAGGGGAATAACACAACATAAGGCAAACAGAATTTTATAGTTTTCGAAGGGAAAACCCGTTCGAAGTTCGCTGCGGTTTTGTTGTACGTCCACGCGCATTGATGAATTGAAAAAGCAAGAGGACAATAGAAAAGAACTACGGCCAAAACACTGTGTTAATGTTTTTTTAAACAGAACGCGGAAGTTGCCTGGAATTAATCCCATCAGCAACTAAAAATGACTTTCAAAGTGACTTCACGGAAAAATTTTTTCGAAAGAAGGAGAAGCTGGGGCACATTACTTTTGTAAAGGTTCTAGGAATTTGTGAAAAAAAAAAAATGAATGAGCTTTACGAGTAGCTAGTCGAGGACCCTTATTCAAGGGAATACCGAAAAAAATTCGCAACTCATTCCACAAAGAGCTACGGAATTCACAATTCTTTGATAAAAAAGGGCATTTGATATGGATGGCGCCCATTCTCAATAAAAATAACGTTTTGATTATAATTTTTTTGATTTCTGGTCCAGTTGAAATTGGGAGAAAGCCCATTGGTTTTTTTGAATATTCAAAAAAAGCATAAAAATAAAAAAAGATCTGATATGAAAAAGAGCTCGAAAAAAGTTGTAAAAAAATGCTGTGATTAACCTTTTTAATATCAAACTTTAAAAAAACAGGCTCTTCTTGTAGAAGTTTAAAAAAATATTCCACAGAGCCTACGCATCAATGAATTTAGATTTGGATACACTGTAAGATTTAGTCCAATCCCAAACATTTAAAGATTAGCTTCATCTTCCAGAAATCAGTCTATCGGTTTGCCTTATCTATAATATTTTCTGAACTTATCTAGTGGTTCCAAATAGTAATTAGTGTCGAATGGCGTCAAATGACCTTAAATCTGACCAGTGAGATGGTCAAAAACGGGGAGAAACAGTTGGAAATGCGGGGAATGTCTTCGGTTCTGATAAGGATGGTCGAAATGACGTAAAACGGCCCGGGGAAGCGCCCAAAAACACATGACTTTCCCAAAAACAATCTCGTCGAAGTTCGAGGTCGAAAATGTTGCTCAACAACCGAAAAAAGTCAAATTAACCTTGTTTTTACCGTAAAAAAAGTACGAATTTTATGAGGCGAAATCTCATTTGATAAGGTCAGAAAGATCCTCAGAATTTTGTGGCTCGAGAATTTATTATCAGACCTTATCCTTCAGATGAAAATGCCGCTGAGATAGTGAAATTTGAGATGGAAGGTGTAGCGAATCTTCACACAGCCAAATATTATTTTTCCCGAAAAAAGATCAAATTGAAAAGAAAGAGCTTTTGAGACAGCTTCAAAAGATTAGAAAATCCCCAATTTTTGTTTTGAGAGCCGTTTTCCCTTGATAAACAAAGATCCCAACAAATGTCAAGGGAACTGAGGTTCGGGTAAAAAAATAAAAGAGAACATCTTTGTATCTATCGCTAGCTTGTTTTGGAAGTAACTATGGCTTTACAAGAAAAGAATCTCGAAAATATTGGTTGAACAGTAGAAAAATCACAACTTTCACTTTAGGCCTACGAAAATAGCCGTCATTGAAGGCCTTGCGAGAAAGTTTGAAAAATCAAATCTGTTCTGAAAATTCTCTGAAAAAAAAGCAAGCTTATTTAAAATTAAAAAGGGAAGAATAAAATTGAGAACAGATCCTGGAATTTCTGCTTGAGAAACCTACATGGGGTCTAAAGGAGCATAGACAATTTTCATAGAAGTACCAGGACGAAGAGCCGTTTTCAGTGATATCTTAGGTCATTCAAGGTTTCTAAACACTGAATAAAGGGTTCCTAAACCAAAAACTGGAACTACTCAATTCAAAACAAAAAAAAACAGCGAGTTTCCAGCCAAACTATCGAGAAACACCGGCCGCAAACCAATGACGAAGAAAATAAATCCGAAATAATACAACAAAAGTAATTGTGATGTTCGACAACAACGCGACAAAATAGCCCGCCTTCCCGCCAACTGGTTGGTCGACCACAGAAGGAGAAAAAAACGCTTTCTTCCTTCCAAATTCGTGTCGTTTTCAGTCGCCATCATGTCTCGACTACGTGTTTTCTACAACCTTTTTGGATTTTTTTTGCCATCTTCTTCCCATTTTTCATGACTCGTTTCGGCCGTTCCACAGGAACTTTCTTTTTATCGTTTTAACCAATGGAAAAAGGATGAGTGATATTTCTACAAATGGGTCCTGGAGCGATTGGCAAAATGATAGGCAAGGGAAAAGAGCATGAACGCCAAATTCTATGTTTTTTAAGAATCTTATTTATATTAATCGTTTTTCTAATCAAAGTTTTCATCTAGAATCAAAGGGTAAACTTGAAAAAAGCATGATTAAGAGGAATGAAAAAAAAACAGTTAAAATGACCTTCAGTTAAAATAATCGAGAAAGCATTGGTGACCAAGAGACATCAGAGAAAAAAAGGCATCTGTTTCTCTGCCGTCTCTCCAAATAGCCGATGCTCTCGCCGACCCACCTTTTGAGCTCGTCAGCCTCAGAATCAGAAAATAGAAGTTATGATTTTTTTTAAAGGCCGATTTTCGGCTTTCTGGGATGACCACTGTATTGACAGTTTTAACAATCAATACCGTTTCTTATTTTAAAAAAAAGTTCTTTTTAAAGAAAGAAAGAAGAAACTGACTTTGATATCGTAGTCGGATCGAGTTGGAATAAACTCGAAGGGAGATTACGACGCGAAGAACATCCTCCAGTTTCTCTCTATCTTCTAAACCAATCGGCGGTCAGAATTCCGTGGAACGGCTTCTGAATGGGATTCCCTTCTTTTTCTTAATTCCAATCTGAAAGCGCCACGCTCGGTTTTTTTCCAAACTTGAAGGTTTCAATCCATTCGAAACCCTATAAGAATCATTTATTTGATGGGAAGTGAAGAAAAATGAAGGTGTGAAGGAAGAGGAAAATTGAAAAACCTTAAAGAGTTTATTACGTTTGAAATTTTTTTTTAAATCTGAAAAATGTCTGAACTGTTTTTACAATCCTTTTAAACAAAGGCTTCCCAGACGGAAGTATTAATTTTTCAGAATAGGAAGTTTCAAAGTTCTTTTTTTCTTGTTCGATGTTCCGAAAACTATCATTCCGACCACTCCTCTTATAAAAAATGTATAGTAAAGGTTCAGAATTTCAGGGCCTATCGTCACTTTTAGAAAGATACAAGAACTTTGAATAAAACCAGAACCTTTATAAGAAAGTTTCAAAGGCTGGTTCAAGACAAGACAGAAAACAAAAATACGGATAGAATATTCAAAAAGTCGGACTGGAGAAAATGCAAATCATGAAGAAAGATAAAAAAAAAGAAGAAGAATTAGACTGACATCAATGAAGTTGAAATAAAATGTGTGGAGAATTATTACAGATATTAATGAAAGAACCTGGGTTACTGTAACGGTTTTCCTTTGGAGATAAACTAACTAAAAGATCTCCTATAAAAGTCTTTGGATAAGAAGTGAAATCAATTAAATTTATTTTTCGCTAAAATACTGCAAGATGAGGGCTGCCGGTCGACTCGAAGTTCTTCTATCAACCAAAATGTCAAACACATTCCCTTGCCCTGAAGTCGATATTTTCTCCCTTTTAAGGAAGAAAGTTGAAAAGACCTTAACTTCGATCATTCCCCGTTCTTCCAGTTGGAAGGCCGGATAATTTTCCTTGAGCAGGCTGGTGGTCAGTTCTGGCAGCTGGAAAGAAAAGACTAGATTGCTTAGCAACTCCAGAGTGGTCGCTATAGAGGCAACCTCAGTGGTCCTGAAAGGTCCCCCCTCTAGGGACCACTTTGAATCCCGTCATATGGGTCACTAAAACCTTAAAAAGTGACCCCTATAGAGGTTCCAGTTAACGGCCAATATGAAAAGGCGTGCTAATGGTCACTAGAGAGGTTTTAGTTAGTGGCCTTTCTAGGGAAGCATGCTAGTAGCCCCTAAAGGGACAAAAAAAAACATATTTCAAGTTATTTTTGTGTAAATTTCGTTTACAGAAGATCATATTGGAAATTGATCTACAAATAACTGATTGCAAAAGGATTTTCATTGAGACCATACCGAAAAATTCAAGACCCTATAGGGGCCACTTTTTGTCGCCTTTCAAGGTTGTTTTTCTCTAACCTCTACAGGGGCCAGACTGACGTTCTATAATTAAATCCTTAGGAAAACCTGAATTTTCCCGGGAAGACTGTGACTCGCCATCTGACAGGCCAAACTCACGGCTTCTCCGAATACGCAGAACCTCAAACAAATGGCTGATTTCTAATCATTCAAGGTCCTTCTGACCTCGGAGCAACGCTGCCAAGGACTCCTGTGGCCACGACTCCGCTCGATATTCCCAGCTTCAACTGCAGCTTCATCTCAGGCCGGTGGCGTACCACGAACGTTTCCATGAACTTTAAAAATAGTTTTTGGATGAGAAAATTTTTCTAAAGTTCTATGGAGCCTTGTTCATGCAGCTTTTTTCTTTATTAATCTTTTTTTTTTGCCTTTAGCTTCTCAGGCTAATTACCTTTGTTGCAACCTACCTTTCGCAGCTTCAAGGCCACGCGACCGACCTCCCGAAGGTGCTTGAGTTCTCCAATATGAGGAATCCCACTGCCAATCAGGTAAGCGTCGCCGACGTTCTCCACCTGTCGGAAACAACTTTTAATTGCCTTTGCAAACTTCTCGCGGAACCTTGAAGGCATTGTGTCGCTGAACGACCATGTCGAACGACGAGTACAGTTCTTGTAGGGTTTCCAGAACCTGGAAAAAATATTTTCTTGTCTTTTTTGGAGTTTTTTCTATAACATGAATAGGGATAAGAGCTTCGCAAAAAGTCGTGAATTGACAAAGATCGGCGACCAAGAGGGACACGGAATGATGCTGCTCCGGATACGTCGGCCGTCCTTCACGGAGGGCGTCAGCGATGCTTCTGAGAGAAGTTATGTTTTCTTTTAAAGTTAACAAAAAATTTCGAAAAATCAGCTCGAAAAAAAAATCCAAAAAAAGGCCACGAAAAATTTTCCTTCTAACATGAGGCATACTTTCGAATTTGATTGACCTTCGGCGATTTTCCGAGACTTGGCTCAAAAACTCTCAATATATTTATCTTGTCCTAAGATCTAATCTGAGGCGAAATCCACTCCAACGGCGTTCTCGAAGTCAGAATCTGCTGGCTTAAGCTTAAAATCTGAGTTATTTGAAGAGTTTTCAATGTCAAAACCATAATTATCAAAAAAAGGTAGTAGCTCACGTTTCTATAGGTGAAGCTGATTCTCTTCAAATGGGAAAAAAGATTCACCGTTTGGCTATGCTGAGCAGGCTTAGGCTTAAAAGTAAGAACTATACGAAAAATTTTCAACGTGCAAAAGCTATCTTTACAGTAAAAAAAAACGGTAAAAGCTCAAATTTCTAATGGCAACGCTATTTTTCTCTGAAAGCATCGAACTTGGGAAGAAGTTGATAGAGCAGATTCTCAGTCTGGCTCATCTGCTGGTCCAACTCCCGGGTCCTCGTCGCCACGACTTGCTCCAGATTCGCCGAATATTCGTCGACCATCTCGATCATCTGATCGATCAGCGTTCCTTTCAAACTGAACCCAAACTTCGTGAAAATATAAACATTTGACCAACTCTTTCTCAAATTCTCTTGCCACGGCGTCTGAAATCTTGAACAGGGCTGGCCGGCCTGATATCCTTTGCAACCAGCACTGAATATCTTCTTTGAACATTCAGAAATAATCAAGTCAATAGACTTGCTGCATGACGGATACCAGCCGAACTGTGAAATTGCCGCATTCGGGCAAGCATGGCTGGAGACCTTTTTCTGAGCAGATTTTCTCGAGGGTTTCTGATTTTTCGATAAATATCAGTTTTGGACAATCTATCACCTCTTATAGGCTCGCTGAGTTCGTTGAAGGGTTTTATCGAGAATAAAATCTGGAAAATGACCATTCCCAGTTGGTAAATGTCGCCTTCGACGGATCCGGGCGGTTCTTCTCTCAGTTCTAGGAAATCAGGAATACGCTCCGGAGGTATTAGTAAATATTCTGTAATTTGTGAATTAAAAAATTTTAAGTCGAAAGTTAATTTCGAGCATATATACTGTACCTAAAAGGTGATACGATTGAGCATTTACAGGCAAAAAAAAATGAGAAGAGTTTTCAGAAACTCAGCTTTCAAACTCTTATATGCGCTCCAAAAAACAGGTCAAAGAAACTCAGATTGAGAAAAAAAAATTAAAATTCTAAGCTTGGTACTTCGAAGGCACCACGCGAAAGTCGTTTCAAGTCGGGTGCAAATTTTGAGTCATCCCCTGATGAGGTGGCTAGCTTTGGTTAGACTTATAAATTGAGTATATCTATTTTTAAATAATTCAAGACAAAAAATATATCGTATTTCAATGCCTTTAAAATAAAAACCCACTAGATTCCAGATATTCAATGTCGATAGGCTGTAACCTGTGTAACTCTTTTTGTAGTATCTGAAAAAAACCTTAAAAACCAGATTCTTATTTCGAACCAACCTTGTCCCGAAGAACTTGCATCACGCCAAAATCGGTCAGTTTCACCACCCAATAAGAGTCGACGACGCAGTTCGAAAGATACAAAGCTCCATGAAACTTGATCGAACTGTTATGGATAAAGTTGAGACCCTCAAAAAGCATTCTCAGAGGGATCGAAAAAAGACCCGCACGTTCAAAATGTGTTTCAGAAAGGTTGACTGGAAGTTTCTACCGAACTTTTGGCCTTTTGAGAAAATAATATCCTCTAGGGAATATCGTACGGTGTAGTTCCACATGACGGATAACTCGCTGTCCTGAACAAATTCGAATTTTTCTTTTTTTTTTCGCCGAAAAACCTGATTGAAGCATATTCCGCAGAAGACGTTGATGTTCGGCTGATTTATGTAGTTGATCTGAAATCAGTCAAGAAGATCAAAATGTTTCTAGGGCAAAGGACCAGTGAAAAAAGAGATTTTGGATATTAATGTCTTTTTTTAGATCTTCTCAAGCTGTGTGAAACGGTAGAACTTAAAACGTGGTTTTTTCCGAGAAAAATGAATTCAAATTTGGGTCGACAAACTTTTGAACTGGCGCCAAAAGTGCATGTTTCAGCGATGTTCCTACTTCTGAATTTTCGGTAAAACAGGCTCAACGAAATTTTGACTTGCGCAATACTTCCAACTTAATCTGAAATCGCTACGTCATCATTTTTCAAATTTTTTTCCCAATTTTAATTTTATGAAGCTTCCAGCTTGGTTTTTATTGCGTGGAACGGAAATTTGAATTTCAACAATAATTTTTTTTTTCAGTATCTTCTTTTTCGCAAAATTTTCACGAGCTAGTCGAAAAACGGAAAACCGTGCAACCCTGCTTAAAATTATCGATTAGATATCTCAACACTCTTTTTTTTAATAGATATATGCCTTCAACTTATGCTGACTTCGTTGAGAAGAGCCATTTCCTCGCGAGAAAAAGAGATGGCGCGCTTCTGGATGAACCGTTTCAAGGAGACCTAATCAAAAAACGAATGAATGAGATGTGGACAGGGAACCTTGGTTTTTCTGACGTAGCCGAACTCGGCTCGGGTCGGAATCGGACCGGTCAAGGAACAACGCGAGACGCTGGCCGTCGACACACGTCTGTACCCTGGATTCTGGATCCGACCCTTTTTCGGATCTTTTTTGGACTCTTACATCGTTCGTTTGGGTGAAAGTGAGAGATTCGAGGGGCACTCGCCAGGGCATCTGATAGAGTTTGTCTTCTTTCCTGTAAGTCAAATGTTTCGCTAGTCATAGAAAAAAGAGCGCAGAAAAGTCAGACAGTTTGAATGAAGTATTAGAAAAAGCTGTACCGATGAAGATAAAAAGCGACGCAGATGAAGATGAGAAGAACGGCGAAGACAATGGCGACGATGGCGAAGACGTGTCGATCGCTGCAGAATTCGCCGCTGTAGCCGCATTCGGGGATCGCCGGAGGCAGACGCGACATCGCTTCTTCCCACTGCGACGTCTCTTCGAAGTTCTGAAGTGTTTTCTGAGCTAATCTTTCAGTTTTGAATCAAAACGTAGCAGAAGTGCTCGGCGAACCCTTCGGTGCAATTGGTATCTTCTTGTGGGGCGACGTCGGCCAACAACTGCGTTTCATTGTCAGCGAAGTTGTAGAGCTTGTAGTAGGGAAGTCTGATCAACTTGTTCACGTTTATTCATAATGGAGCTTTTTTAGCCCTTGGTTGAACTTTTCAAGATACCTGGTTAAAGAGTACTTCAGAATCTTCTTTCCAGAATAAAATAAAAATTTTCGAAATGAAATTTTTCCGAATTTTTACCTTCAACATTAAGGGTAAGATATAAATTCGTCGCTTAAAATCTAAGTTTCCAAAAAAAAAAAGTTCGTGCCAGAGAACTTCTTGGCCAGTTTTGAATTGAAATTCTGATTCTACGTGCTGAATTATGTCATATTCCACCTTTTTCGATTAATAAGAAAAAATCCACGCGCCAAACACAGAAATGTACTCTCTGTGCAAAAAAAAACAGTTCTCAAGAAGGGGCGGAGCTTCGCGGTCCCTACTTTTAAATCCGCAAATTGCACAAGCCATAGAAAAAAAAATGACATTAGTCGGATTTTGGGTCTTCAAATCAAAAACAAGATCTATTGCAAGGAAAATAACCTTTTTGTTATGGAAAAAAGTCATGAAGTCAATTTCGTCAAAAGTTCAACCGAAGGCTAAAAAAAGAGTTATTCTGCTGAAATAATTCAGTCTCACCTTATACCCAGCTCGTTGATGAACAAAGGACCAGTGTAACCTTAGAACTTCTTTGATAAAAAATATAAACCCCAGAAACCTTCCACTTTCTTATTCCTAACATGATGGAAAAGTTCGACTGTGATATTTTCGATATTTGAAACGTTTCCGAATGGATGGAATCCATCTAGAAGCTTCAGCCCGTCACAAAGTATCAAGGCTTTGAAAATTTGATGCGAACTCTGTAATCATGGTTTCTTTTTTTCCATTTCGCGTCTTTTCTATCAACCTGAAGTCCGTTTTCTCGGCAAAAAGCTTCAAGTTCTGGTGGATCGTTGTGAACATTATGTAGCTGAAATGAAAAGCTTTACAATTGTAGTTCAGTTCGAATCACACAAATAGGACGTTTCGATGTAGACGTCGAAGTCGGTTTTTGATTTTATCAGTTCCCGAAACACTGTGCCACAGGTTGAAGTAGAACTCGGAGGCGTTAAGACTGAAGAAAAACTCATTCTTGGCTTGAAAAGGTCGGATACTGTAGTTGTCGGTATCCAAGCTGAACTACGAGGAATTCGAGAGGTCTTGTCGCTTCATTCATCCAAGTTGAAGTGAAGGAGACTAGATGGTCAAAGTCGAGCAGGGAAAGGACAACTGTAAAAAAAAGAAAACTAAAACTGCATGAAATTTCTGACTGACACGGTTCAAGACATAAATGAAAAATTGAATCCTTGCAAAAAAAAAAACGAGAACTGGGGCAAAAACCCATCAACTTTTTGCATTACTATCATTTTCTCATGTTTATTTTTTTTTCTTCTGCTTTTCTAAAACTTTAAAAAGTTTTCAGTAGCTCTACTTTTCACGCCATATGACCCAAAGTTTATTCAGAATAAAAATTTCTTTCGCTGCAAAAAAAAAACGTGAACCCCGTGGCAAGGTGTCATTTTTCTGATATCGAAAAAATTAACACTTGCAAAAAACCACGTGACAACGTGTCATTTCTTCTTGTATGACCTGGCTTCAAATATCATTCCTGCTTCCCTCACGAGTCGTCTTGCTACTTCATTCAACGTCAAGATGAGTTTTGAACTTCCATTTAACTTCTAATTTTCAAAAAAAGTCTCTGAGTTGTAAGCGCTAGTAGATTAGGTCCGTGGGACTCCCGAAGTGCCGATCCTTTTTGCTTGCAAACTGGATACGCAATGTCACGCCGAAGCCCATTCCGGTGGCCGAAGCACAAACTGTTGGCAGCGCGATGCTGACAAAGCGATGATGGGACCCCCACGGAAAATGCCGTCACGGCTTTCGGCGTCTAGGACTCTTAGTTCTGACAAGGCCGAGCGGAGCTCTAGCGCACCGCCTAGTTAGTTCTTTCTGACTGGATAAAGGTTCTCTAACTTACTTTACATAGCTAACCAGTCAAAAAATTCAAAAAAACTATTTATGTCTTCTTTCTCCGCATTTTAAGGGCTCTTATATTTGAAAATTCAGTTAATCGTCATGACAAAAAATCCGCCCTTTGTTCAAAGTCGCAACGACGTTGTCAAACTAGATCCATCATTTTCGATCACCTGCGAAGCCGTTAAACAATACCAGGTACCACCCAAGGCTCTTAAAAGCAGCTGAGGGTTTTTAGTTCTGTGTTCAATTGCAAAGAAGAAAAAGAATAACAGTAACTTCACAATGGCTGAATCGCTTCTCACTATTAAAAAAAAAAATGAAATCATCGTTCATTCAAAAATGATTGACATATGTTCGAAACAGGCTTGTGCGAGGTCCAGATTGAAAAATAATCGAATTTTTCTCATTTCGATCTTTTTCATATTTATAAACGTTCCTTCGAGGAGAGTTAATCAACCTATATAACATTTTTTGTTTTCATTTTGGAATGAAATTGAATGTTTATTGTTCGCTCACAGAAAGAATTCTGTGGCGTGAAGGAAAAGAACAAGGGACTTTAGTACCGTCAGCGCTTTTAAATGCCCTAAAACTGCTTAGAAACGTCCGGTGCACGTCCGTTTCGCGTTGAATGTCCGAGAGAAATTAGAAAAAATAAATGAATCAAAGAGGTGTGAAAAAGCGCGCCCCAGTGACAAATCTCTTGTCCACTTACGTGAGGTTTCCTTCAAAATCATTTTTTCATTTACAGTCTACCTTCAAATTAACATTTTGAAAATGAAAAAAAAAAACCTCTCGTTCTAGTGAAAATGGCATTACAGTTTCGAACGCCGTCCGACTCTGCCACTATAGAAACATCTAGCTGCGGCGTATTTTTCAATATTTCAGCTATTTTTCGAGCCAACTGTTTCCTTCCCGGTGAGTGGATGATCGCGATCTAAAAATCATGAAAAATCTCCCGAAAATCATGTTTTTTCCTTACTCTAACAGCTAAAAGCCTTTTTGAAACTGAATAAATGACGGAAACAGTCGCCGGGATGCTGTGTGGTTTCAATGCGACCGTCGTCGATTCTCTGCAAAATAATATTTTTCCCACCAAGTAAAAACAATAGCTTTAAAATGTACTAATTACTCAATATTCACTCACTTCTCCATTGTAGCCAATGGCGCCGAAGAAAGATACAGCTTGTGCCAACGTAGCGCGAGCCTTGAAATTGTTTCAGTTTCTAAAATACCAGGAAAAATCGAATTGAAATTGAAGGACGAATAAAAAAAACCTTCATCGCAGGCTGCACCGAGAAAAACGTCGACGGAATATTCATAGTGCAAATGAGCCGCATTTTCCAGGCCATTGAAATTTTCACAAGCTGGTAGAGAAACCAGTCTGAAAATAAAAGGAAAACCGATCGTTTCAATTGGATTTTCAAGATAAAGATGAAATTTTTGAATTATTGTTTTTCGACCTGGATATCAAACACTTGTAGTAAATTTGAAAAATTTAAGTTCGAAAAAAATTGTTAAAAACTCCGTCAGATATAATGTTGTGGTTCATACACCCTCGACGCCAGTATGCATATTTGCACTTTTTTTCGAAATTTCAATGCAAAAAAATTAAACTTTCATTACAAAAGCTATCAAGTTACTATTAAGACAGGCTTCATCGTGAGAAAACGCTCTCGGGTAATTTTTCGCAATTTTCAAACCCATATTCAACTATCCATTCTTGCAAGAAATATGTGAAGGAAAGAGAAAGAAAAAAACCCTGCAGTGTTCTATGAAAAAAAGAAAGAAATTTACTCCAAATGATCTTCGGAATGCCGACGACATAGCCCCAAGATTCGGGCCTCGTCGGCGCCGACGCTTTCGAGATGTCCGACCCGAAGATCCTCTCCGGAGAAACTGGCCGGAAGCGTCAGAACGACCAGAAGACGTACAGCGCGCCATGGCATTTGTCCTCGATGACGTGCGTCTTCACGGCCGAGATGAGGAACGTCTTCTTCTCGCGTGTAAAAGTGGCATGTCTCCGGACAGAATTATTCATCGGGCCTCCAAGCGGTGTGTGATGAATTGGAAGTAGAAAGCTACGGCGAGGATTTATTCTGCAGATAAATCTAAGGTCTAGACTCTATTCATCTGAAGCTTGCAACCAAAAAGAATGCCGTGTTCAAAGTAATCTTCGCGGAATTCAAAACCATGTCCGACTCTCCAAATTTCAGTTATCTTTTCCACTCTCTGACGGCTATTTTGAACTTCACCGAACCAATTTGATCAAAGAAAAAGTTTTTGACCTTTTCCATCAGGAAATCGTTCTCAGAAAAGGTAAAAGAGGAACTTCTCCGACAGAATTATTCAAAAGCCTTCAAATATTGGCTCTAGCCAGCCGTGAACTAACTACGAATCCAAAATAAAGCTCAACCTGACATTATGAATCACCGGTTCAGAAAAAAATTTCCGTTAATTTCAGGAAAAGTTTCAGATATAAAAATTCTGCTTTTTTTGTATTAATTTTCGGTTCAACCAGATTTTTTTTGAAGACTTCATCTCCTTTTTTTGAAAATTTCTCGAATTTTTTATTTAAAACAAAATTGCGCGGAGAATGAACAATTTAGCACATATAATCAATTACTTTTCGAAAAAAAGATGTAACAGAGAAGAATTCACAAAAAAAGAATTTTGAACCTGTCGAATGAACAATATGCACTACGAGAATCAATAATGTTAGAGCAAACTTCGTATTTAAAAAAACAAAAAAATCAATTGGTTTTTATTTTCTACCGTCATCAGATTTTTGGTAAGGTATTTGATTCAAAAGGAGTCTTGAAGATTTTGAAAGGAACATTAAAGAAACCATTTTTGAGACTAAAAAAAATACTAAAACAGATAATCCAAAAAATAATTGAACGAAAAACCAAACTGGACAAAAAGCAAGATGAGATATGTTTGAAAAAGTTTAGAGATCATTACTTTGACACCTAAGTTTCCAACATGGTACTACCGGATCGATTTTTTTTTTTCGACTGAACTATCCAGGTTACAATTTTCTATACAAAACTACTCAATTCTTACATAAAAACGCTTAGAAATCGGGAGAAAAGGTCGATAACTTCAGCTCTTAGAAAAGGAAAGAACTCTCCTTTCTTTGATTTTACAACAAACGGAGGAAAGTCACAGTTTCTTCACTCATTCGACGTGGGTGAGGCAGCTGCTCTGCCGCTGCGCGTCCTCGCGTTCGCGGTACCTGCAAATCTAAGTGTAGTGAGTGGAGCGTCGTTGTGTGGAAAAGAGAGCAGGCGAGTCAAGGCTTAGATTTGATCAGCAAGTCTTATGAAAGAGGTCATTTTCATTTAAAACTATAAAGTTCTTTACTAATTCCTTAATGCTTTTTGAAATACTGGATAAAGACCTCTAAAGTCGCAACTTACAGAAAATTTCGAAGTTATATTTTCTGGGAAAATTCCAGAATCGTCGTTTTCAAGTTGTATGTTCATTTTCCCGACTATTAACATACAATTGAGGTATAGAATTGTGTCCATAAAGTGTCTATATATTTTTCTTTCCTGGCTTGTATAAGACTTTCTAGTTTCTTCAGTCACGCTGAAACCGAGAGAATCATTTCCAACCCTCTTTAATCATCCTGAAACATTAGTAGACCGTTAAAACTCTGGAATGTCTTTTCAGAAGCTTGAGGAGCTGATGTTGACTCGCCTTTTAGAGAAAGAGAAAGGAAAGAACGCCCTGGACCTTGTCGGCTCACCTCTGCAGTCGGTAGGCCTGGCTTTTGATCGACTGTGCGCTCGAGACGCCCGAGTACTTCTTCTTCGCCGAGAAGCAGTTCCATTCGAAGATTTGGAACTGAAGTTTATTCATGAGTACTTTTTAAAACTTAGTTTGAAGTTTTTTGTAGAAAAAGTTCAAAATCTCAAATGAATTTGAATTGAGCTACTGAATTTTAGAGTTAATCAAATATTCTACATGATAGCTATAAATTTTGACATATCAACTCACTTGAAAAAAATTTCACAACCGGATCATTACGTAGTTCGCTTTTTTTTCTTTTAAAAAAAAGTAACCGACGTAAGCGCCTCATTAAACTACGACTGGGCACACAAAAACTCGAATTTCTCGATTAACGAAGAGCAAAAAATAAAAAAAGTCCGATGAGTAAGGGATTTATTATAACTTTTTTTGCGGAAGCACTGAAACGGGAAAAAGAAAGATTACCCTTCCACGTAGAAGGACGATGAGCCGGCGGCGGAAATAGACAGAAGACATGCAGAAAAGGACAAAGTTTGCCACCTGCAATCCGATGGAATGATTGATAATTTTGAGATTTTTTCAAAAGTTTATTGTTCAATTTTTATAAATTATTTTTTTTCTGGATTTTCCGAAGCTTCTCATTGCAGTGTATAAAACGTTTTTGATACTCTAGAGATTTGAGAAAAAAAGTGTCATTTTAACCCTCCTGATTGCGTGTCGAACGGTGTATTTGAAAACGTACAGAAGTTCTTCAGAGGAAAATCAATAAAAGTCGGAGAGAAAAAAATTTTATTAAAAGCCTAATTTGCGGAAAAGTTGCTCTTTATAGAAAACGCTTGGCCATTTTTCGATTTTTCGGTTTTTTTTCCCATTTTTATGAATTTTCAAATCAAGCTCTTTTTTTCTCTTATCTCAAAGCTTCAACTACAAATTACCTTTCCGGTGATGAGCCAGGAAGAGCCGAACGGGCTGAGGTAAAGCTTGGCCCAGTCGGGAGACAAGTCGAACACTTCGAGGATGAAGGGCAGCGTCGACGGAACCTGTGTGATATTCTCAACTTCTGAAAGCTTTCTTCTGAACCAACATGAGTCAGGAAATAGCAGGCGATGATGGCGAGAACCGTGAAAGTGACCTTGAGATCGCGCTTTTGGCGAGCGTCCAAGTCGCTGTATCTCCTAGAAATTGAACTTTTTGAAGGAGGCACATTTCACGCCAGCTGTCACGTTTTACTTCCAGTTAAAAGCCATAAACCTTCTATGCGAATTTCGCTTTAATACTTAGGAACACCAGAGTGGTCTTTGAAGGTTCCGCTTTAGGAGCTACTTCATCTCCTATAGAGACCACTAAAGCTTTTGAATTGATCAAGATTTTCTTTTCAACTTACAAATCTGAAAAAAAAATTAAAAGATCCTTTAAAGTCAACTTGAGCTTCAGGGGCCAGACTTGAAAATATAGGAGAAATTTTTATCCCCTATAGGGACCACTCTAGAGTTCTCAAGAACCTCTTTTCTCTCGAAGCGAAAGCCCAATGAAAAGTTGTGCTTACGGTAGCTTTTTTTCTGGTGTGTTTGAAAAATAAAAACGCGTAATACAATTAAACGAAAATTCCCCATACCTAACACTGACAGACTCGTCTTGGCTTTCTGTAGATCTTCGGATCAAAAATTCGCTCTTTCGCAAAACGTTGATTATTTGAAGGTTCAACACGGCGATTCCTAAATTCATCTATATATTTTTCCACTACAAGTCTTTCCATTACCAATCGTGGGCAGCATAACTCCGAAGAAAATCTGGCAGACTTTTAACAATTTGATCGTCGTTTTGACCCATTGTTCTGTATCCGTGAGCTGAAAAAACCCAAATATTTTATTTTATCTTTTTCTCAGGACCTTGTTGATATTGACCGGCGACCCATAAAGTTTAGTTCCGTTGAGAATTCGTGTAATACCGTACCTTCAACTTCGCATTTTACAACGAAAACGGAAAAATGACAAACTTGTATTCGAAAACGTGGAAAAACGTGAGAAACCAGGATCCGGCTACTGAAAATTTGGAATCTTGTTATTTTTCACTCGAAAGTATGATTTTCTGCTTTCAAGTAAATTATAGTTCTTGTTTTTTTTAAACTCGCATCTTGTTGATTATATCTAGCTTCCTCTAATAATTGGTCGTAATTAACAGCTGCGAAAAGACAGTTTCGAGGTGCATCCGACGATAAACGACTTTCGCACAGACTTATTAAAGAGTGTTAAATAAAAATGCTGATTCACAAGTCGAATAAATTTGTAAAAAAAAACTTTTCCATATTCCCTCAAATTTTTTTGCTGAACTTCAAGTCTGATCAGTTAGTTTTTGCATGATAATCCTAAGATCAGAGCCCAGGGTTGTACCTTTTAGGATTACCCTGAACATTGGACGCTTTTTGAGTCAAGATATATTAATAAAAAGCCTTAGAATAGAAACAAAAAAAAGATCTTGGCCTAATCTCTTCTATTTTCCGAGGACCTTTACCTATGACAACGACAATGGCGCAGACGCGCGACGTCCTCCACTGATAGCGGAAATGAATCGGAGATCGAATTCCCATGTATCTGAAGGAAACTTCTTATTCATAGTATATCTCATTTATGGCACAGCGATTCATGAAAAATTTTGATAGTTCAAAAAGAAAATTCGTTATTAACAAATGAGATTGAAAAAAATTGAACCTCGCAAAAATTTTTTTTCGAAAAAAATAGGGTATCTTAATTCTGCTTTTTCTTTTTTTACGATGAAGAAATGAATAATCAAAACTCAATTTCACTTTTTCCAAAAAAAAGAAGAAGTCCAAATGAACAATCTAGAGATTTTTTAAAGTTCTTTTTAAACTTTCAATTGCTTTTTGCCGATCTTTCTTCACTAATTATTCATGAGAAAAATGCGAAAAAGAGTTCAAAAATTGTATTTTTTTGGAAATTGACACTTGAAAAAAATTAAAAATTCGTTTATTCAAACCGACCTTCTTTTTAATGAAGCATGGCAACTTAGCTTTCTATTTTCCAAAAATTCCGAATGAAAAAATCTAGTGTTTTTTTTTCAGTTTATTTCTTCATAAGCTCCTAATTGCCGTTTGCGGCCTCGATTAGAATTTCTCTTAAAAAAGCGCCCAGAAAACCTTTCTGATAAAGCTTTTACCCTTGTAACAAAATTATGACCCTTTTCGGAGTTCCTCTTTTGAAAAAATGCCTTTGGCTTCCGAAATTTGTTACAATCGCTCTATTTCTGCGCCAAACTTCAGTCCAATTAACCTTTCGACGGAAACGGCCAAGATGAGCCACGAGGTGATGCAGGAGAAAAAGTTGGAGAGGAAGATGATGACGGTGTGGGACGTGTAGTAGAGTTGCCTGTAAAAAGTCGTGATTCACACCAAGAATATATCGAAATGTGATTCAGAATGAAAAAAGGATACACTATTCTGGTGATAATTAACTTGTCACCAGACTTCTAATGAGAATCTCCTGGAAAGGATGCTTCATTTGAGTTCTTTGTCGAAGAGAAGAACGGATGTCTGGTTTACGAGGCAGGTTTATTGAACTTTCAGTCAAGTTTTAAGCTTCGCACGGCTTCTTTTGAACTTTTTTACGGCTTTGCAAAATTTGTTCAATCATGATTATTTTGAAGCTTACAACTGAAGCTTTCTAAAACTGTTCGAGCCCTTTCTTGGCCAACACTGTACCTGAACGTATCGGAATTATAAAAAGGCGACATCGTGCCGAAGGACATGGGAAGCATGGAGAAAAGGAGCATGATGTCGCTGATCGCCATGGCCGAGAGCAGAATGTTCGCCTCAAAACAAGCCGTCTCTACTCTCCTCGATTCCCGTTGTCTCTACCTCGCTGCGCATGTTGCGGCTCAGCAGGACGAACAAGTTCAGGATGTTGCCGATGATTCCGAGGCAGAACTGAAACGGGAACACGTACTTGTTGAGCACGTAGTGCCATCCTGGCGGCAGCAGGGGGAGCAGGTGGTACTGTAGGTCTCCGGGCTGCAACCGACCCAATGCGACTTGCGTTTCTCTTTATCACCTACGTATCTGTCGTTCACAAACTTGTTGACGTCCGCGTTCAGATACAGAGAACTTTGCATCCTGCAGAATATTCATTTCTCATGATACTTTAAAGAAACGGAAAATAGTCTTGTTTTATGAAATCCTAACAAAAAAATTTTTTTTTCGATATTTCTCTCCTCAATTATCTCAATTCATTTCTTAAAGTCCATTTTACTATTGAAAAAAACCTCAAATATCAATTTTTTTAAAAAATTAAATTTTTTTTACCTAATAAGTTTTTTTCGAATAACTTAACCTTAAGGTCACCTTTCAAAAAAACATTGAAATTTTAAAGAAATAATAACATCGTGAGACTACTTGACCCAATTTGAACTTTTCAAGAAATTTGCTTGTATTATCGAGGATTCTGCTTTCTGCGCCAGCTTTTGTTCCGAATTATCTGGCGACCTCAAATTGAACCAAACACCCATCGAAAACAATATTTTGTAGTAGGATTTTGTAGCGAGATTCTCCATGAGCTTGTTTTCGGGTATAATCTTCCACTCCAATATTTGGCATTACATTTTGGATGTTCAATAACATTTCCTTGAGAATCTCTTATGAAAGTTTCCACAATTTTTACCGTTCCATATTCCGCAGTTCAGACGCTACGTCACAACTTTTTGAGGCCTAAAATGAGTTTGACGACTTTGGCAAAAACAGAAACGAAAGAAAAGAACTGAGAACGTGCTCATCGAGCGTGAAAGAAGAACTTTTATGCTCAAGAGAATTCAGCTGACAAATAGTTTTTTGATGAAAAAGATAAAGATCAGTCTCGTGAAAGAAAGAAGAACAAAATGTAAACTTTTTGAGTGATATAAGGTGTCAAGAAGCCGAAAACTCTCTGACGACGGGGCCAAACTGAGAATTAAGCTCAAAAGACGCGTAATTAAGGATCCAATCAAGGATCTGCCCACGGTGAATCCCACACGACTTTTGGACCCATGTAAACAAAAGGAAAGCAAAATTTGAAGGCAACCACTGGAACAAAAAATCTTTCGACGATGCCGAAAATTAGTGAAAACTTGAAAATTTGTTTTTGAAAGTTTGATTCGCAGAAAAAAGGTCCTTTAAAACCCAAATTCCTCTGGAGAACGACCCCTTTTTTTTAAAAAAAAGTTTTGGAAAGCGAAAAAATTGTAAAAATTATATATTCCATAGTTTGTAAACGATAGTTTTGTTTTTTTATCAAATTAAAATTGAACGTTAAGCTCATGTGCGAAAAAAACTTTTTTTATCTTCATTAAAAATTTTTTTCAAGGGCTTTTTTTCATCTTTTTCAGGAACACAAGGATTTCAGACCAACTTTCAAAAAAATTAATGGTAAATACCAGCCAAGACGCTTTATACTATTTTTAAAAATCATATTTCTATTTTATCTTTTACAGTTTTTTTATTTAAATTTTGTAGATAAATCTTCACCAAACGCTGATTTTTGGGACAACCCTTGATAAAATGCTTCTTCTGATTACTTTTTAAATCTTGAATCTAGAAAAGTTCCGGAAATTTCTCCATTTTCCATTAAACTACTCTCCAAAACTCTCGTCATTTTCCCTTATTTTTTCTTCCTAGAAGAAGCTAAAATTATCAATCGGAAATTCGCGTTAAACTGACCATTTGTGAGGAGGAACCACGGTCGTCTCGTTCATCTGGAACTCTTGTGACCTTCAGGAGGAGCCCTCTGAAACAGGAAAGTAGCTCAGTTTGCGAGTTGGAACGTGAGGACATCCTCGAGAACATTTGTTGTCACAATCCGATCCCTTATAATTGCTAAAGGGAGCAGAAATCTCGAAAAGAGCAAATGAGGGTAAATAATTAGTGTAGGTGAACAAAAACACCACAGTAAGCCTTTTCATTTCAACCAGACAGGTAAACAGCGCAAAAAATGGAGGATTTGAACAGCTCGCCAGAAACTGAGAGACTGATAACTGATTAGGCTGGTAGGAAGGTTCACGCCTCAAAAGCTCCAGGCTCCGCCCTCTTATGCACTTCTTATTTTTTTTTTCTGACAATGAGAAAGAATATAAATCTTCCCTAGTACGATGGATTACGTAACACCGGCGATTTTCTGACGTAATCTAGTCTTTTTTGAACTTTTTTGCAAGGACAAAATCGGAACTTCGGAAAGAAAGGGAAATGAAAAACAGATTGGTGGGCTTGCAAAAGTCTGGCGAGATCTCTGGAACAAAAAATGTACCTTCGTCCAGTTTTAGCGCGAAGTTCATGTACACAACACGTTTCTAGAGAAAAAGATAGTCAAGGGGAGGAAATGAAGGGAAATCGATTTATTTTTCAATTTTGACGGAAGAAAAGTTGCAGATTCATGACAAATTTTGAGGTAGTCTCATCGCTCTGGTTCTGAAGAAGATATTCGATCTCCTTTTCAAGCAGCGGTTATGAATATCGGAATATGAGCTTTTCGCAAACTATTAAATCGATTTCAGAAAGTTATGAACAATTGAATGACTCTTCAAAAATAGATTCGTCTCGGTAAAAAGCCATTTACAGTACTGGCCATAAAAGGTATTTCAAGGTGGTTATTCGAGCATAACTTGTCTGAAAGTGGCTCAAATGATTTGAAACTTTGAACAAATTTTTAAATAACTACGCAGTAACTTTTTCCCAGAAGAAGTACTCATTTGCTCGAGTGAAACCGGATTTGAGAGCAAAAAACCGAAAATCCTGAAAATGAAGATTTTTCTCTTGAGATTCGAAAAATCATATCTTCGAAGAAACTTCGATTTGAAATCAGAAACTTTTTTTCCCGGTAAAACAAGTCTTCGACTTTCCAAAAAACTTAATCAGCCCCCTATCAACCCGATAGTAAGAGCGTAGTGACTTTTTCTTTGGAAGGCCTTATTCGTTTTGACGCCTCGTCATTCAGATGGACTATACGAGGTCATTTTTGTTTGAGAACACCATGTTTCTTGTTAAAAAAACTTAAAAACACCCTCAAGAATAGTTTCACACCGTTTTTCCTCAGCTTTGTCACTATATCCTCTCTCAGAACTCGCTTACTTCATTAGGTCTGATTTTTGAAATCTCGGATTCAAACAGTTTTTTTCTGGACTTACGGGCATTCAAAGCAGTTTTTGTCTGATCAATCGCTTTTCAATCGTGAATTCGAAAATACATAATGGCCAAATTGCAGTCTCCCACTTCCTGAAGACTGCTAATTTTTTTGCTGAAGCATTAGTTTCACAAGATCAAAAACTTATTTTCCCATAAATTTTGAAGAAACGTTTTACAGTGCCTATTTTTGACCTGAGAGCTATAAAGAGGAGTTACAAATTTATCTAATAATCTTAAACGTTTAAAAATTAAAAAAAGGGGTTTTTATCATCTTTCACAAGATTTAGAGCCTTCTAAGCAACACTTGTTGAAATGAAGTTTTGAGAACTTTAAGAAACTCAGTATAACTCACTATATCTTTTTGAGTAAGTAAGCGAAACACAGTGAGTCTTTTTATTTTTTTATTCATAAAGATTCTGAAAAAAAGCTTTGGAATCTGAAATAAGAAATTGAGAATGTTCTGATTTTTGGAAAACAGAGCAGAACCGCTCCAAATCAGAGGTTTCAAAAATCAGACCTAGTGAAGTAAGCGAGTTCTGGAGAGAGGATATAGTGACAAAGCTGAAGAAAACGGTGTGAAACTATTCTTGAGGGTGTTTTTAAGTTTTTAACAAGAAACATGGTGTTCTCAAACATAAATGACCTCGTATAGTCCATCTGAATGACAAGGCGTCAAAACGAAAAAGGCCTTCCAAAGAAAAGTCACTACGCTCTTACTATCGGGTTGATAGGGGGCTGATTAAGTTTTTTGGAAAGTCGAAGACTTGTTTTACCGGGAAAAAAAGTTTCTGATTTCAAATCGAAGTTTCTTCGAAGATATGATTTTTCGAATCTCAAGAGAAAAATCTTCATTTTCACGATTTTCGGTTTTTTGCTCTCAAATCCGGTTTTACTTGAGCAAATGAGTTCTCCTTTTGGGAATTAGTTACTGCGTAGTTATTTAAAATTTGTTCAAAGTTTCAAATCATTTGAGCCACTTTCAGAGAAGTTATGCTCGAATAACCACTTTGAAATATCTTTATGGCCAGTACTGTATAAAAATTCATGAAATAGTACACAAGTCTCATTCTTGAGAATACTCTTTCAAATTCGAAGGTTCTCACGTCTTCTCGTGTTTTCACGCAAAGGAAAACAAGAAGTGCGACAAGAGCAAAAAAACGGCTGAAAACAGTGAAAAGTGCGGTCGCGAAGACGTCGTGACGTAGCCACGCCTTCAGAAGCGTGTCGGAGGAGATACAGAAGATGTCAAGAGCCGTACATTGGGCCAATGATTTGGCCAATCTGCGCATGAGCAACGTCCGGTTAATGAGCCTTTTTTGCACACGAAGACGCTAACGAACGAGGAAGCGGCCGTCGGATCGCATGACTGCCCCGTTCTGCAGCCGCCCAACTTGCGAATCTGCGATCGGTTCGACTTCCTAGCCCTTGAATCCAAATCAACGATTTTGATCGTACCTCGACCTTGATTCAAAAATGACACCTCTCACTTGAAATAATGGAGCTTGATACAGCCTTAACTAACTTCCACGAAAACTTTGAGCTCTGACAAAAGGATTTACGATTGAAAAAATATATGAATTCTTCACAAATCGACAATTCAGCCGCTTTCAGACAAGCAATTTTTCCAGTTATTGGCTGGGTGCAAAGCTTTTTGAAATTTGAAACGCTCGGATAGGAAAACCCAAAAAAACTTTTTTTAAAGAATAACATTGTAGAACCGCCAAACATTTTCATGATTTTTGGTTGAGAAAATAAATAAGAACTGCTCGAAAGTTTTGAGAAAATCTTGGAAAATTCTGCTAATGACGGTGCTAATTTTGCCTACATCTGTGCTCTATGGATAAATTTTCTATTTTTGTTCTCTATCTTTTTTTTAAATGGGTGTCCGTTTTTGGAATCCATCTTTTTTTTTAAATTGAAATTCGGCGGTTTCAAAATGCAGGGGTACTTTTTGGATAGGGCGAATAATTGAAAAAAAGCTTCACAGAAGAAAACTTTATTTATAATTATTGGAGTAGCTGTTTTTTTCAAATTATCTAACTGAGATCTCTGTTGTGTTTTCAAAAAAATGAGTATCAAAAAAATGGAAATAAACTTATGACACGGAATAAAATCAAGACTTTTAGTATTGCTTCGAAGTTATTGAGCATTTTGAAGAATGAAAAACTCAAAAAGAAATCCAAGAAGAAAGCGAAACATTATAACGAACCGATTCGAAATCTCGGAACGTTTAAATACTTTCTTCTCCCGGAAGTTCTCTAGGAGCCAGAAAAGCAGAATGACAAGAAATTAGGCGATTCCAACTACGAGATAATTGGAAAATTACCAGCACGGGGGCAAACCAGATAACAAAAGCCATAAGAAAAGTCGGGGGAAGATGAATAACGATGGCTTACGCGGATCGCTCACTTTTTCAGTCTTGAAAAAGTTCTTAGTGTCTCGCTTCATCACTTCCCTTTAACTCGGAATCTAACCTTTCGATTTGAAAAAAAAAATGTGCATCCGGTTATTCTATCATGCGAAACCTGATGATGATAATGAAAGGCAGCTGGGTTTGAAAAACAATATTCGATTCAAGTTATAAGCCTTTCCAATATCTAATTAGTGGAGGTGGGAAAGACAAAAGTGAGAAAATTTAATTTCAAAAGTGCCAATCTATTTCTGGAGATTTTGATATGCAATGCAGATGCAGAGCTGTTCCCTCAAAAGGACAAAGACAAAACGAAGAAACTTTGGTTTGTAAGGGTATCAAAAGTTAAATAAGTGCTTTGAACTATATTGTACATGTTGCGAACTCACGTCTAAAAATTACATTCCTATAAAATATCCTTTAAAAATTGCATAAACCCTCAAAAAAAAAGTCGAAAAATTGAAAATCAAAAATTTTGAACAAGAGTTGAAACTGTTCTTTGCGACTGTACTTTTCTTGAAAATTTAATTCCTTAAAGTTCCGTATAATCGAAAACAACTGGACAAAATATACAAATGTCCAAAAGCAAACCACTCCGGAAAGAAAGAGATAGAAAATGATTTTTTTCAGCCTCTAACAAGTCTTAAGTAGCCCAGAAGTATACTTTCAGATAGGTCCAAGGATAGCTTTTAGCGATGCAACTTGATTCGAGTCGCCTTACTCAGAAAAGCTGGGTTCAGGCCAAAAAAGGCAAGGTCAGCGGCGGAAATGTCGACGTACAAACGCTGAATATTTCAGTGGCCAAGTGACAGATCCGACGCTAATTGCTTGACACTTCTCCTTTTTCGGAGCCAGATCTTCTTTCGTTTTTCGTCATCCGCACGTCCTGACAGCACAGTCAAGACGTACCAACGATGACTCTGACCGCCCCAAAAAGAGCTTTTTTTTCTTGAGTTTCGGTTTTTATTAGATGTTCCGCTAAGAAGTTGAGTGATCTCTGTTTTTGAAAGCTAGGTTTCTTCAAAGCATAAGACTAACCTAAATTGATGAATCCGAGACTTTCGGAGAGTCATAAAATGAGCCCATTTTAGATATATTCTACTCTAATTTCTTGTCATGACACAAAAAAATTTGATTTTTTGATGTTTTTTTCTAACTCAATGAAAGTGGTTGAATCTCCAAAACAAATTGATTATTTTTATTTTTAACAAAAGAAAAAAAAAAAGATAATACTTGCAGCTGAAAGTAAAAAAAAAAACATCATAAAGTTTTGCTGTCTGAAAGAAGTAAAAAAAAATTCTCATTTGTAAAAAATCCAATTTGAGTCTCGATGTTTATTTTCCAATCGGTCGATGCTCCTTTAGTTCCAAACTTCATGATTATGACTAACTGTTTACAAAAAATCCTTCTCATGTGATTATCTTCCAGGGAATAAAATAAATTGAAAACAATTTGAGAAAAATACTAGAAATCAAGAAAAAAGTTCAAGCTTGGAGGATCATTGACCGCGCACCAGAGGACATGTCGATGCGCTAAAAAACGAGCTTTTCCCCTTTTTTCTTGTCCCGAGGCAACGGTGGATGTACTAGAAAATGTTTCAAAACAAAGCCTTTTTCAGAGAATTTACTTTGTTTTGAACATCTTCAAAGCTTGTTTTCATAGACATTGATAATTTGGATAATGAATAATCTTTGAAGCCAAAAAATGAAAAATCGTTGTTTTCGAAAGTTAGCGACTATAACGAAAAAATTATTCAAAGTTAGGCCAGAAAAATAGTTTTCAAAATGTATCATTATCTTCAACTACATTCACAAAAAGAATATCTTTAAATTCTTCCGATCCTTTCTGTAAGAAGCTCTAGCGGCCACTTAAGAGATTTATCAAAGACTGCTTTTGGAAACTGAATTGGCCACTAAAACAACCACTATAGAAGTTACTATTTGCGTTTTAGTGACCGAAATAGGGATTTCAGTCTAATACTACCACTTAGACTTCTGAAGAGGCCCCTAAATTTTAGTCACTTAATTAATCACTAATTCGACTATTGTAGTGGCCCCCTAAAACTTCAAAACCCTGAAGCGGTCACTAGAAAATTCCCAGTATGCCAGTTGTTAAGAGACAAAACTTTGAAAAAGATTTTCCTCCTTTATAAAAAAAATTGCACGTATTTCGTGGTTCATTGATCTCCGTACTGAGACTTTGCACTAAAAATACTGTTGTGAGAGGAAAATTCGACTTTCTTTTCCCGTGAGTACTGGAATAATGTTGGCTTAACTTCCAAACAGCTAATGAGGTACTGAGAGGTTGACAGCCGTCTACTGCCAACTCTTGGGGATAAAAAGAAGTGACGTAAAGAGTGGTGCGTCCAACGAAACGCCTGGACTCACAAATCAACTTAAAAAAATAAGAAAATAGGGAATGTTGGAAATTGCTATTGGAAATGTTACAAAGTATGTTTTTTCTGGGTAACTCGAGGCTTTGGCCAGCAATCGAGAGCCGAGGCATCACTTGAGCACTTAATTGAGTCCCAGAGAACCTTCTGGAAAACACGGCCTTCCTCTTCCGGAAGCAAGTTTTTCCTCGACCTCTTAGTCAAATAACTAGCATTTCGACGTCGGTGTTCCTATAAATTCACTAAACACCAAAAAAAAAAATTTAATCCCTAGATACTGTTCAAAACTTCTCACTGGTGTTTTCAAAACGCAAATCCTTGCACTACCTAAAAAAAAAGCCATGAATCAAGCAGCCGGATCACCTAAAGCAATAGAAAAATTCCATAACTAGAAGTTCTGAGACAGAAAAGAAAGTGAGACTACGGAAAACACAACTATATACTTCAGGCGATGTGCAAGAAGAGCTACTTCCGAATTTGATTAATCTTCACCGAGCTTTTTTTCAAGTTTCCCGTCTTTCTCCCCGGCTCAACGATCACATTGTTGAAACGTGAAAAAAAAGCACAGACACTCGAAAAATGCTAACTTCCAAAACTTTGTACTTGAAGAAGTACTTTCCCTTAAAAAATTTCTGTTTTGTTTTTAACGATAAAAAGCGCTTTAAAGAAAGAAAAATGAATGTCCTAAAGTATTTTAAATTTTTTTAGAGGTTTCCATTTCATTAAATCATTTTAAAAAAAAGCGCCTAACTGTTTTTTTCACTGTGGGAGAGCTGACGAACAACGGCCTTGATCCTTCAAGCCATTTTTGCTGGTTTTTTGATTGCACATCTTCAAATCAGAAAAAAGTAACATTTTCACGTTAAAGAGAGGGTATACCAGGGGAAATTCTTTTGGATGACGAATTGGAAAACTGAAACTTTTGCGTTCTTTCTACAAATAGTAAGCCTGATCGGTGAATTCAACTGAAAATTTATTCATTAACGATCAAATTATGATGCCGTGTTAGAAGTGTGTTATAGAGAATTCGAATTAGCCGTCAGAGAGTGAAAATAAAAACTATATTTTGGAGAGCAAAAAAAGTTTTTCTTTCGTGGAAATCACTTTGAACGCAGCATAAAGAATAATAATTAATGCCGTGTTCAAAGTGATTCCGCGAAATTCAAAAATAGCCGTCAGAGAAAGAGAAAGATAACTAAATTTTGGAGGGTCAGAGACCATTTTTGCATTTCGCGGAAATTACTTTGAACACGGCATAAAAAAATCATAATTTTTTTACTGAAGAAAGTTTGAAGTTTTTTTCTTTTCGCGCGTTACCCATGTAGCGCACTTCCCAAAAACTGGCCGAACATTTTTTTCAATCTTTTTTTAAATTTTTTTCTTAAAAATAAATTTATTTGAAGATATTTATTTAAATGTTTGAGGAATGTTTTCTCAAATTTAAAATGAATAGTAAGTTATTATTACGCTTCTTCCTGCAGTAAGCGTTTGCTTTTTATAATATAAATATTAAAAAAATTGTATTGTTGCGAAGCGCAAATTTTCCCTAATAAACGTCAATCAGAAAGGGATCTGAAAATTTTTTTGCAAATGTATAACAGCTGTTTTAGAAGAGTTAACCTTTGAACTCGGTCTTTTGTTCTTTGATTTAGTGGCCCGAGCGTGTCAGACATTTACTATCGATTATTCTACTGCTGCGCTCAGCAAATCGCAGTCTAACATTGACTTTGCAAATTTCCACTTTTTTCAAATAATTTACATCTCGTTTGCTGTAATTATGCGAGTTTTTCCAGCTGAAATGGACGATAAAACTTTGCTGCTGACCTGTGTTGTTGGCTCGATCATCACCTGGAATGTACGTGTTTTCTGAAGATTTTCTGTTGAAATGTTTGAGTTGAGGCTTATTTTCGTTTGAAATCGTTACTGAAGAAAGTTTCGGCTCCAGGAAAAGATGATTGGGTTCCAGTTGGACGTGTTGCAAGTCTTTTCATTTATCCGATCAAGTCTTGCCAAGCCGTTCAGGTCAGGAATTTTTAGAGGATACTTTGGAATTTTTTCATATTGATTCCAGGTTTTCTCGTACTTTTGCACTGAGCTAGGTCCAGTTTCGAAACAATATTTCGACCGATTTTTCGTGGTAACTGATGGAAGGACTGGAAAGTCAGTGTTCCTGGAATTTGTCTATTTTTATCGAAATTTATTGAGGTTCTTACACGGCTCGGACAGCATCAAAAATGGTTTTGACGAAAGTTGAAATCGAGAACGGAATTCTTGCGGCTGTCGCATCCGGATTCAGAAACTGTCGAAGTCGATCTTAATAAAGTTAGGGAAAAGAATGAAGTTAAAACAGCAAAGTGAGTTTTTTCGAAAAATGATGAATTAGGTTACTGGAAAAAATGTATTAGTCAGTTTGAAAATATGTGAAATTTTTTTATGAGAAAGTTTTTGAAAAAAATTAGTCTTGACTAGGCGAATAAGGCAATAATTGAAAAGTTTTTGATGCAATACCATGACCAATTTTTTTCAAACCGTCAAAAAGTCTATCATAAAATGATAGAAAATAAAACTCTCAAAAAGACAAAGCATGGAATATTTTCATTTTCTCTCTCGAGAAATTTGTTCTAAAAACTTAATATTTTTTTCTTATCTCCTTTTTTTTGAGATCACTCGACTGAACTTTTTATCTTATCTTTTTCGCTGATAATTATCTGTCGCCTTGAGATTGCACTGCAATCTTCGAACTGACGGAATCGACTGCGGCGATATCGCTGCCGCCTTTTTCTCGGCGGTCATTCATGAGCCGGGTTAGAAAAACACTCGTGAATTCTCAAGTTTGAGTCCAATTTGACAGATGTCAGACTTTTGTGGTACCAAAATGGGATGTTCACTGAGAGAACCTGCGTCACAGATCCCGATTGGTGGAATAATCCTGTTCCGAAAAGGGTTGACGATGTAGGTAAAGTTCAAGTCTTAGTTGCAATTGAAGCTTTCGGTTTGAAGTTTGGAAGGTTATGAAGAAAAAAAAAGTATTAGGTTGAAGACAAGAACGTAAAAAAAATTTTTGATTGCGATTCAAATAGTCTACTTGAACTCGAATAATTATTTTTTGAAGACGGAAAAAAATGGATTAGTGTCTCGGAAGCAACCTAGATTGAGGCTGTTTATCTGCAAAACAAAGTATCGATTTCTCTTCTACAGACAGCTTTTGCTGACCTCGCTCCCTACATGATCACTACAGAGGCGTCGCTCGAAGATTTGAATTCGAAGCTCGAAAAGCCGGTATTCCAGCCATGCCTTTCTTGAATTATATTCTCTCTTCCCAGGTCAGTTCCATCAATTTCCGACCCGTGATGGTGGTCAGCGACTGTCCTGCCTGGGACGAAGACCGTTGGGCCGAGATCCGGATCGGAGATGACGTCCGTCTCGAATGCTTCAAGCCGTGCACAAGGTCTGGAATTTTCACTCGAATGGGTTTCAAATCAATGTGATAAATCTTAAATTTATTTTCCACCTCACTTCAATAATATTGAAGAGATGAAAGCTAAAACATTTTTTTTGGTTTTATTCTTTTTACGCCAAAAATTCTTGTTTTGTATCAAAAATAAAAGGATCTTTTTAGATGCATTTTGACAACGGTGGATCCAGCTACTGGTATCAAAGACGGTGGGATGCAGCCGTTGAAAAAACTCAAGGAGTAATTTTTTTATAATGTTGCTCATTCCCCCTAATTTCATCTCATTTTCAGATTCCGCATGGCTCCCGATGGCAAAATGCGCGATTCCCTCAAGGATAGCCCAATTTTTGGCGTCAACGCCGGTCTTGTTTCTCCGGTGAAAATATAAACCTACTAGAAATTTTTGAGCCAAAGATTTTCAGGGTTACGTTCACGTCGGACAAACCGTTTGGGCTCGCTATAAACCGAGTGCTTTTTGATTTCTGTTTCCCTTTTTATTGCTCCACTTTGACAAAAATTCATTTATTATATATTTATTCTTTGTACAATGAAAATGTTGCAATTTAAAGAAGCGAAAACCCGCATTTATACACTTCAAATCAATATGTGTGTCTTGGTACCGGTGGAACTAACTTTCGTATTGCCTGAGTTTTTTTGAAAAAAAAATGTGACCTATCTCTTTGTAATTAGTTATGGTGTGTTACACCCGTAGACATTTTAAAGGAAAAAATCCCGTTAAAGAAAAAGTTGTGTTATGAAGAAAATGATTGTGAATGAAGTTGTCGTCGGCGAAAAGAAGAAAGTTGAAGAAGACGAGTAGGACAACGATCGAACTGAAAAAAGATGATTTTCAGGATTTTCTCACTTCAGACTTCCCAGCTATAAAAATTGATACTGAAAAACTACTTTGATAGATTTTCAGAGGGGGAAATTTCGATATTTATTTCTTTCTTTAAAAATACTACTTTGAAAATTTATTCAGAAAAGGAAGTAGTTTTCTCCTCATTTCTAAAAAAATTTAATGAGTTGAAAATTTAAAAAATACTTTTAGCTCCATTCCGAACTGGATATAGCTATTTTTCAAAAAACTAGCTGTTAAAAATTGAGAATCTAGAGAAATATTTTGAAAAAAAAAAAAATGAAAAACCCTTTTTGAAGAATTTCAAATTTCCTCTACTTAAGTATGGCTTAAAATTCTAAGAATCCCTTCTGCGAAATGAAAATAAAATAAAAACTGACCATCTTCGTGAATGACGTAGTCATCGGTATGTCTTGAATCGCGCTCATATACGAAATTATCATCCGTATCCACTGAAAAATAAAATAACACTCCTGAATTAGAAAAGAAACAAACATTTGAAGGGATTTTCATTGGCCGTGACGATTTGCACGGGCTCCCAGTGGGACAGGCCTTTGTCCGCGTTTTTCGGAGTTATTTGGAAAGATCCAGTTCTTCCTTCTTGGGCCAGTTGGGCTACCTGAAAGTTTTGAAAATTGAGATTCAGTATGGGATTTATAATCAACCTTCTGTAGTTGATCCAAGGGAACGCCAGCAGAAGAGACGATTTCGTCGAGGGAATTCCGCGGCGCTGGGAAAGGCGGAGGCTTCTGGACGACGTCTTCGTTCTTGGCCTCAGAGGCCGATTTGGGCAGAATTCTGACGCCGACGCGCATGTTCGACGCCTCGCAAAGACCTCGGTAACGGTTGTCGATGCCGTCCAAGGATCCCGTTGAAGTCGCTGAAATTTTCTTTTCTTTCATTCAATTGCATCGAGTCCAAAAAGCGTGTATTTTCAAGTTTTCATCTAATTTCATACAAAGAGTTATACTTCTTCTTACACCTTTGCACCGCTCGAGCGGCGTTTGTTGGGTCACGGCGGGGATCGAACTTGTGGTCCTTTAGACCAAAGACAGGCATACAACCAATTGCGCTACGCTTCATACGTTTGAAAATTCTTGATTCATTGTCGTTTTTGAAGTTTATAAAGTAATTTCGCGAAATTCGAATTCATCTCTGGCTTTCCGATTATCTTTTTTCTCAAATTCAACTATCGCGATAGTTGAATTTGAGATTTTACGATTATAGTCAGAGAGAAAACGATATAATTTTTTTTCAAGTTTTCATATGAAATTGAAAGGAAGGTATCCTAAGTAATTTAGTTACAGTCTTGTTAATAAAAAGTTTATTATTATTCTTTTTTTATTTATTTTTTTGGAAACAAATAGAACAAGAGACTAATAAAACTGACCATTTTTTGAAATTTCGTTCTTCGTAAGTAACAGTAATATGAGTTAACAAGCAAAGTACCCAAAGTTTCGCTGGGAAAAGATGACAATTGAGAAACATGAAATTCAAAAGAACCTATTGATTATTTTTAGAAATTCTCAAGATGAAAAAAACAAATTTGTAAAAAAAAACTCACTTATATAATAATACGTCTGTCCCGGTTGGAACTCACGACCATTAGGAATTGGGTTGATCGTTCTGATGTTCTGAAAAATGACCAGTATAGAAAATTTAATCACAGAATCTTTGAAACTAAAAGTTATTGAAATTTGGAAAAATAAGGACCAGGGAAAATATGAAGATAATTCAAAATAAATGCAGTGATTTCGAAAAAGAAAAAAACAAGAAAACCAGAAATATTGGATGACTAAACTGAAACTTCAAGGTCAGTTCAGTTGAAGAAAATGTTTTGAGTAATGCCATCATAGAAAAAAATAGCCAGAAGAAGTGCTAATAATCTGGAAAAATGAAAAATTCTTCACGCCTTTTTTTCCTTTTTGAAGAATTTATTGTCTTAAAAATTACGGCAACTTTTTCTGAGCATGGAGCTAGTGAATTTTCAAAACTTCCCCCAAATAAAACTTGATAAAACCTCGATTTTCCTCATCAAATTGATTTGATTGAACTGTATCATCTTCTTCTGAACAAAAATTCCGAACCTGAACAACAGATTTGGGATGCCGAGAAGAAAGGATTCCCGCTTGAAGAAGAGCATCGCTTTTCGTGTTTTTGTTGCATCGGAGAACTTCTCGCGACGTCGTTTCCAGCAAACATTCGCCGTAGGCCAACTCGCTCACCTCCAAGTCGAGATTTTTTAATTGAAACGAAGAATTATCAACCTCATAGACGATGAGAAACTCTTCGGGCTCTTCAGTTGGAGAAAACTCGGGGCAGATGAAGCGGAGACCGTCGCCGATCCGGACATCGATTGAAGGGTCGTTGGCGGTACGGAATCTGCAGATAATCATGGTAAAACTCTTTTTCTGCGTGGTTCTTGAAAATGAGACATGAAAAATTTTGAAAAATTTTCTAGAGAAAGCGAATTCAGTTTAAGGCTACTTTAAAAATCAAATCGCCGAAAAATCGGTGGTTTTCAAAAAAAAAAAACATGGGATATGCATAGTAAGTTTTCAGTTTTTCAACACGGTTTTTGACCACATTTCCGAATTCAATGGGTTGACCATGTCTCAAATTCTCAAACCCAAAGTCTCAATTTCTGAAAAGGTGTTTTCTGTGATTTTTCTCTCTTCGATAGTGCCTAGCCGCGAAAATCCAAAAGCTTCAGAATAGTCTCAAAATGATTGAACAGAAAACTCCTTCTAGGCTATCTTTTTAAACCATTTTGCCACATTTCTTTGCTTCTTTCTTGGGTTTTAGGGTAAATCAAAAGTTCTGTCTAGCAACGACGTATTGATATGAAAACTACAAAAGAGCCTTTTGTGAATCTTTTCATATATATTCCACACAGCTCACTTTTCACAAGTCATCAAAATCTTCCAATACAATCCTTCATCCCCACCACAAAACTGAATTCCAGTTGGTAACGATAGAAGAGACAACTTGACGACACGAGTTCTTTAACCGGATCTGCCCAAACGCGCAATATCTTCAGGTCACTGGACACACAAAGGACGGCGCGCCAGAATCGCGCGGCCGCACGCAAATGACGCAATGAATATTATTGCACACGGCCTTCTTTTTTTTTTTGAAATCCGATACGTTAGTGCAACGAGCCAAACTAACTTCGACATTGAGACCTCAATATGGTGATCGCTCGCTTTGCCTTCTTATGAGTCTTTTCGGATCTTTCAAAGTGTAGTTATTTGTAAGAAAAGATAAGATACGACGCTCAAAAATCTTTCACAGGCGGATCGAGAAAGAGTATCGCGATACTACCTAAGGTATCCAAGGGTCTTAAGTCTCGATTTGCGATATACTTGAGGTATACCTTCAAGGACCTACGGTAAGGCTCAAGAAAGGCAAAAAAAGTATACTGGGGGTTTCACGATGGACTTCTTATGGTATATTCACGTTCCATTTGAAAGGTATTTTCGTAGACATATTATGGTACGTTCCCGATAAAAATGGTTGATTTGTTCTCAAGTCCTTAACTGGACCGTCGCTTGGGTGGCAGAATCCGAACGTGACACGGCCATTTAGTTATCGACGTCGTCAATCTCGACGTCATGTATCCAGCCAATCAGTCGGCGTTCGAGATGCCCAATCTGACAGCGACGGCCGCAACAAGTCAGCCGGATTAAAATACAGTATCGTCGAGGATCATAAATGGATCATTTACGCTTATTTTTATGACGCATGCGGTTATAATACTTTTTAAAGAGCTTACATGTTTCCGATAACGACAAGAAAGTCGGTTTTCCGGAATATTTCATATTCAGACATATCTATTGATTTTTTTTCCGATAATGCAGTACTCATGAAAATTGGAAATTAAACTCTTCAAACTGACTCTATGGTTGAAAAAGTAAGCAAAAATTTTGAAATTTCAAAAAATTAGGAAGGAAACGTCGCTCAGAGACTAAAACTCATTTTTTCGTCAAAAAGATGCTGGTTCGAGTCCTACCCATGTCAACCAAGCATATCGATCTTAAGAAGATGTCGAAATTGAGAACGAAACTTAAAAAAAGCTCTGTCTTGTTCAACTTGGACCAGCTCGAGCTCCCACATTTTGTAGGAACATCAAGAAGCTTTCTGAGACGACGATGCGAAGGTGGAATATGGCTTGGACGACGGCCAGGAGTTCCGGCAAAACACTCGGAAACACACAAACACGGCTAATCGGCGGGGCAAACAAAAGTGGCACAATCGACACGTGTTCTCAGCTCGTGTCAATGGACACTTGAACCGTCCTGGCAACTGTACTAGGGCAAATGCCGACGTCCCACTGGGAAGCTCTTCACTGTCCAAATAAGCTTCGAAGAGTTCTTGAGAAAGATGTAAAGAAGAAGCTTCGAAGTAGCTTCAAGAGAATATACGGCGGAAAAAAGGCTGAAGACAATTTTTCTGGTTATAGTTCATTTAAGCTCATAGAAAGTTGTAGAGTTAGTCCTAGGAGTGTATTATAACTAAACGAACTATCGAAACTACATTTTAAAAAAAACTTTTTCGCCCAAAAATAGTTTCAAAGAGTCAATGAGTTTAATAATTTTTCAAAAATTTTGTACTCCCATGGTTGTAGAACTCGGTCAGTCTTTTTTTCCGAACTTACTGATCATATCAAGAGTCTGTGAAGCTTGCTGTAAAGCTTCAGACGGAGAAAAACCCCAGAAGCGAACAAAAACATAGAATATTAAAGGCTTAAAAGAAGCCTTTAGGGATAAAATCTATTCCATAAATTTGAAATTTCTTCTTAAGCAAAGACTTGAGAGGACCATCCTTGAAAAGAAAAATTTTAACTAGCTTCTGACTTGAATGTTCAGACGGTTCAGTGAGCTGTTAAGATCAGTGACTAAATCTCAACTTGAAGATCTCAAATCTTCAATCTTTCTCTGGAGCTCCTGCAGCTCCTCGACTCTCAGCTCAACCTGGATGTTCCCTGGGAAACGAACGTCTCCCAAGCGATAAACATCTCTCAGGCAACACACACGTACAAACACACGCAATGCGACACGTACATTAGCGCCATCAAGCCGGCCCCACAGATTATCCGGAAAGCGGGACGACGCCTTCTCAATTATCGGCCTCCAACGAGGTGCTCCAGCTCCCAACAGGCAATCTCGCTGATATTGTCGAAATCTCCGAGGAGGTTATTTGGATATTAACTTGGGAAGGATTGACGACTATTTTTTTAGGTTAAAAGTTCAATGAAGTTTGAAGTCCTTCATTATTTTTTGTAGTGAAGAAAACTGAGAAAAAAATAAAAATTTTAGAGTTTCAATATGGCTTCAAAAAACTTGAACCAAAATCAAACCCTTTCGAAGAGAACAAAAATTTGAAATTCGAAAAGAAACCGTTCAAATTTCACTATCTCAAAATTCAGACTTAAAACAAATCCTCTGAAAATCAAAATGAAGCTTCCAGAATTTTTGAAAATTAAGAAAGCTCCAGTTTCACTCGATGAAAATCTTTGTTAAAAAAAGTAACTAAAAAAAGTCTCAAAAATTAAATTATTAGCATCATTTCGAGAAAAAAAATCGTCATCCCAAAGGCACCTTTCTAAATTCCCGCCGTCAACATTCATTCAAGAAAACAGCTAATCCAAAATTCAGTCAAAGCCATTTACTAATCTGAATGTCTTATTGCGTCCCTCTTTCTTAAAATCATCGAAAATTCCGGGAATTTGTGATGTTGACCCGAAAATAACGGGCCGATAACGCCTTGATTAACCGCGTTCTCACCTGGACACACTTCATTAGCGAGATTCGCAGGTGAGAGCCTCGCATGGGCCAAAACAAGCAAGACACCTTCAACAACGTCTTATATCCGATATCAAGTGTTGTTCAAGAAAAACAGGAGAATACTCTGAAAAAAAGCTGGAAGAAGGGCTAAACATCTGGCTTTAAAAAGTGCTACAAGCTTCTTTTTTTTCTTCAAAGAACTTGAAGTCTACAAATCACGGGAAAATTCTCTGATTATGGATTTGTAAACTTTCGACATCTCTGAACAAAACTTGATGTCATAATGATGATCTCATTCCACAGCGACTCCATTCTCAATTGCCCCAAAAATCCACTCAAAATATAGACTGTCAGCTTAATTCCAACAATCTGTCGGCAAAAAGGAAATAATAAAACCATTACGGTTCTTTCAAACCGTATGGAGACGAGATTAGCGGAGAGAGGGGGGCATCAAAATTGGAGTTAATTGTTGGATTTGACGGCCCATCGGCTCATACCATATGACAGCCATTCCGGCAGCTTTTCTTCAAGCTTCTTCGAGCAACAGCTGGTGTCAGCGCTGATAAAGAGAACGAGAAAACAGATTTATGAAGTAGTTATATCGAATTGGATCTCTTCGCTAATTATTTTATGAGTTTCTGGAAGCTCAAATCTAAGGCTCGTCAAGTGAAACTATGCATTGTACCAGAAGGCAGCGTTTCATTCTGAACAAAAGTTGGAGCTTGACCTAGCTCTTTTTTCCGAATTTTTGAGTATAATTATCTTTTTTTCAAACTTTTTCATTCAAAGGAGATGAGCTGAATCAAGCGAAAAAGCTCATTTTGGCCAAAAAGCTTTGAAACAAGAAAAACCGAACTAATTCTTACGGATTTCTTTATTCTGAACCTCGAGCTCATTAATCGAAATTCTGTACCCAATTACTGCCCGTCCCTGGGATCTCAGTTCACCCTAGCCAATTCCTATCCATTTCCAGACATCGCACCTGTTTTTGCAACTTTTTTCCTACCGCGATGCCTATCTCCGTCGCGGCACGCGTCGCCATCTCAAAAAGCCCATCTGCGCGCCATTAAAAGTTTCCCGAACGATAGCACGTTCACGCCTTTTGACTTTCTCAACAAAGCGGCGGTTGATGAAGGCTCTTAATTGGCTTAACATGTTCTTTGGACAGGTACAGTAGCTGGTCAAGTAATTATTTGTATCGAGCTTTATGAGCTCACATGGATAGACTATTTTTGTCCTCCCCATGTGAATCAATCACTTCAAAATAGTATAGTTAGTATCTTCTTCTAGAAAATAATTTCGGGAGCCAGGTCTTTTCAAAACTTTGAGAACTTGAAAGGAACTACTATTTTTTGTCAACTTCTTCCCTCAATCTTCCTCAGAAAATAAGAAAAAAAACTTCAATCTTCGGCGATTAAATCGAACAAACGTGTGCGTATATATATTATGGATAATAATGGGTTGGTTCCAAGTTGATTATTGGCGAAAATTCGGCTCTCATAACTCATTTTTGGGGGGCGACTGCGCTGGCACGGCGCCGGCGACGACGACTTGCTGCTGATTTACGGGCGGTCCGTTATTTCGAGGACGCCATGCGCCGTATTGTATTTGAATCGTATCGAGGCCTCAAGGAACTCGCTCTTTTTGAAGGAAGAACAACAAAACAAAAGTATTTGCACTTGTGTGTAGCGGTCAGAAAGACGTGCTTTTTACATGCTCTAGGCGCTTTATCTTAAAGTAACAAAAAAATTCGGATGTTTTTCAAACAGGAAACCTCAACTCTTAGCTTACAAGTTCCAAGCTTCCACAAGCTAGAATTGAATGAAAGATTCCAAGAAAATGAAAATTATTATTTCAGGGGGGCAGGTCCATTTTTCTATACAGCTTGGTAGTTAAATTTTTAAGGTTTTGCCTTATTTACGGTCTTCAGAACCTTGTTTGATAATCTCCTAAAATCGCTTGATCACGTATTTCTTTAACTTTACATAAAGGAACCGAACTAGGGGCGAGTACGGTTATTCAAATAGAACGATACGATAAGATGAGATTTTTAGATAGAAACGTGGGCTCTGGCTATTCAGATCATACTCCGTCCATACTCGTCCACCTCATCTTTGTCTCTTTTTCCGTGTCACCACCTGTTTTGGCAAGTTTTCATGAGGGGATCGAAGTAGTAAACGAGTGTCGGGACGCGTTTCACATCTTGAAATGCAATAGCTCCATTACGCGGCTCATTTCGTGTGCGGCGGCTCGTTTCCTCTTGGCGAGTGCTCGAAAAGATGCTCCGCCGCGAGTCTAATGGCATCTCACCGCACCATTATTCGATCGCAAAACGAAATGATGATGATGTGCCGCGTCGTTTTTCGTTTTTTCCTATTTTTTCTTCCTACTGCAGTGCAAAAATGTCGCGTCGACTTTGCGTCGAATTAAGAGAGATGTAATGGAGCGTTCAGATGGATTCGCCTCGAAATTTCAAATTACATTCGAGGAGAACGGATGGAGGGGTAGTATTTCAGACGAGGTCCTAGTTTTTTGGTGGAAAGGAGATCAAAGTTAGAAAATTTTGTTAATCAATACAATTTTAATGATCTGTTGATTGCAAAATCAACTCTATAGATAAAAAATGCGATGTGATATGGTTCGAGGCCGCTTTTTTGGAAAGTTGGACCAGCTGGGAGAATCGCGCGACTCAAAACGAGCAATTCCTGAGTTTCAATCATCACTCAAAGCTACGTGAGTAATTCTTTAAAATCACTAAGTCCGTTCCAATTTTCTAAATTCAAACTTCAAACCAGCTTCTATACTTTTTTTAAAACTCGAAGTTCAAAGCTTTCTCTAGCTTCAGTATGAAATTTCTATGTCAATTTCAAGGGATATATAAATAAATGAGAAAAATAAAACTATTTGAAAAAGAGTATGGCAGAGGTTTTTCCGGTACGTTGCCCAATAGGAATGAATGCACCTTCTCGAGAAAATCCAAGCGTTCTGAAAACCTTCTGACCATGAAAATTGGAAGAAAAATGCGAACACAAGGATAGTAAAGCTTAAAGTAAACTCGCTACCAGCTTGATAAAGAAAAGTTCCAAGTTATAGTTCACAAAAAAATCTTCGAATTTTAAAACTTTTTTATCTCATGTCTAAAATATTTTCGAGATTTTCCCCGCATTTGTTGGAAAAATATCGGTTTTTTATCCCTATTTAAAAAAATATTTTGAGGGTGTTCACAATATTCGGGAAACACTGTGCGAAAATGAGAGGTCTAGACATTCCTACGGTCTTTTTCTAAATAACAAAAGAGTCATTTAACTCCGGGAATTCCTGAAAATAGGCCCCTTCATGTACCAAAAAAAAGATTCTAAACATCTCAACCTGCCCAGCATTCCAGTTTATGAGAAATAAGGGTTCAAAAATTAAAATTGTTTTTTTAAAGAAACTTGAGGGTTTTTTTTGACTTTTATGTGTTCCTTTTTCGTAAACTACAAAATTGAGCAGATTGAGACTTTCAGAATCTTCATCCGGTACATCAAAGAGTTTTCAGAACAGATTTCAGATATTTCTGAGCCACAAATTATAATGGCTCTCCTTATTAGACATCCTTGACTTGAGTACGATTTTTTTCTTTCATGTGTTCGCTTTTAGAAAAATCTGCAGGACCCGTTCCTTTCCCTCCAACTTGATGACAGGCCCTGAAAGATATTCCAGATCCTCAGAAGGGCGGATTCTTTGGGAATATCTCCAACCTTCACCTGGGCATTCTTATGCAAATACGGTAGTGGGCGCGCCAACTGTCAGATGTCAGAACTATTGTGGCTGGCAGACGCCGAGAAGAAAGGCAAGGAAAGGAATAAACGGAGCCGAAATGTAGTTTCGGATAAAGGTTCCCTGGGAAAGTGGATTGGATTGAAGCTTGAGAAAAAAAAAGTTGTGTCGCCAAAAGTAATTTCTGAGAGGACGGGAAATAAATGCAATGTGTGTAGTCGACAACTTTTCGGGGTTATTGAGCAAAATAATCAAGAAAAGGTGTTGGAAAACGTTTGAATGAGAAGTTTTGAGTCAAATCGCATTTTTGTTCATTCCAACCTCTCTAGCCTAGATTTTACCACTATTTATAAAAAAATATTCTAATTATTTGAAAAATCAACGCAAAACGTCTGAAGAAAAAAATAAAATGATTTCCAAATGATATCGTATGGAAAAAGAAAGTTGAGAAAAATACTCTGTGACCGAAAAACAAAACGAATTTTTTTCAAAAAAATTATGAAAGCCCTTCCCTTTTTTTGTTTGAATAAAATCAATAAAAAGAAGCAAAAAAAGTCTTAAGGCCTAGGTCCCAGAAAAAAAGGAGAAAAAAAGGTTTTTTTGAGTCAAAAAAACTACTTCTCGTTTAAGTTTTGTCCTGATTTCAAACTTTGAGAAATAATTAATAAATAAGGAAAGTTTTTTTGAAAAGAATAAAAATCTTGAAAAAAATCAAATGTTCGGTTTAATTTCAACCCCATAAAGAAGCGAAATCCTCCTCAACCAACTCTTGAGCTTAATAAATTCGATTATTTCTTTACCCATCAAAATGACATCTCTATCATATCCATAGTTGTCAACTCTGCATTCTGATCTAATCAATTTGTCAATCAAGCGAATCAAATGATGAAAAGACGTGACAATCCATCAAAAGAGCACGTTCAACATGTTAATTCCCACAAATGAGCATGAGCAAGAATGGTGAGGACAAAGATGCGAGGCGATAAGATTGGAGGCCGAGATAAGGAGGAGGACTCACAACACGTTCGTCGAGTTCCAGGAAATCGAGTGCTCCAGAAGGTCGCCGAATTCGACGAAGGCCAGCAAGAAGCAGCACAACGTCCGCATTATATTAATCATCTCTTTTGGGGACCCTGAAAAATCGCACTTTTTTAAAAATATCCTCTGGAGTTACAACGTTTGAAAGCGTGTATGAGGAGTAAACCGTGGAATAAAGGCGATTTCTTAATTCAAGACAAGTCAAGTTTCAGTTAAAACTCATTTTTCAATTGATTCACCGCTAATTGGACTCATCATTAAATAGAAGATTAAAAATTGTCTACACTTTGGATTTTGTAAAAACCTTAGTAACTTTGAATTTTTTTGTGACTAGAGAATGAAGATTTTTGAAAAAAACCCTAACAGCTTTTTGAATTCGAAAAATATGATATTTTCAACTATGAGCCTGAAAAACTTTGACCTGATTTTTTTGTTTTTTTCAATTTTTCGACCGCTTTGAAGGAACTACTAAATTATGAAATTTATTTTTTTCCGAATGTTTTCTAAAAATGATGCTAATAACCGAAATGCAAAAAGTCAAAGAAATAAACTATCACGAAATAATGATTCGAGAGAAAAGAGAAATATAAAAAAAGCAGAAATCGTAAAATCTCCGTATTCAAGAGCTTCTGTTTTTTTAAACTTTGAAAAAAATTGCTGAAAAAAATTCAACCATTTATCTTCGCACCTCGGGAATTCGACCAGCAGTTGCTCAGTTTACATCGGAAAAGTTCGGAAAAAACCGAGTTTCAGGAAAATAATAGAAAAAAAAACCTCAAATACAGAAAAAAAGAGCATTTTTTGAAATAAAATGAGAAAAATTCAGAAAAAATCGAGTTTTTAAAATTTCTCATAAAGATTAAAAAATAAATAATTAACGAAACAAATAGAAGAATTAAAAAAACTGAATTCCCAAAAAATAAGCCGGAATGAACCTCGAATAAGACGGGAGGACCGTCCAAGTAGCCGAAGAGGCCGACGTCGGAAAGTGGGCGGAGTCCTGGCTCCGCCCCCATTTTCCTGCCCCTTCCGCTCGTGTCGCACTTATCGAGGCTCGCCACATCTTCTAAGTAAGCTTTCAAAAGTGACTCAGGACCTTTAAATGTCAATTTAGATAAAAAAAAAACATTTTAGCGTACTTTTCTACGTCAGAAATAGCTTTAAGTGCCTTTTATCGACCACTTTACCTGTTCATAGTTTCAAACGATTAACTGTTTGATCCACGTCTACGGGTTTTTATTTATTGGAGGTCAAAGTACGATGGATAGTTTATTTGAAAATGCTACGATTTTTCTTGTCTTCAAATTATTTTTCAAAAATTATAGGTAAGATTGAGAAATTTGTTTAAAAAGCTAGATTTCGGTAAACTTCTCGCTAAAATTGGCTAGTTTTTTTCACAGAAGGATTTTTTTAAAAAGTATATTTTGAACTTGTTAAAATGGGAAAGAGATCCGAGTACAAACTTGAAACTATTAATTTATAAATTAATGAAGTTTATTCTCCGATTTTTTTCAAAGAACCATAAAAAAAGAGCATATTTTTTTCAACTTATGAAAGTTCTAGCAAAAAGAACTAAAAAGGAAATTCCTTCAGTTTCATCAGTAAAACTATGTGAAGAATATTTTTCTACAAAAAGTAACTGAATAAAGCCTGCAATCCGAGCCGGAAACTGAAAGATCGTGGCTTCAAACGATTACAACTTTTCAATCATAAAACATGACTTCAGAAAAAAAAATTTATTCAAGCGAGTCAATTTAATTTACATTGAAATAAGAGAAATTTTGAGAAAAAGCTCTAAATTCAGACCTTGCAGAGAGTTAGTAGAAATTTAGTGAAAACAATACACTTTTCAGCTTTCATCTAAAACAAATGCTTCACATAGACAACCCTCTAAACCCCAATACTTACAAATAAATGTATATATGATAAAGCTTTCAGATGAATAAATAAATAGAAATTTGAAAAATAAATATATCTTGGCAATATCTGAAATGGGGGCAAACACGTTAGACAATGATAGTTAAATATTTACATCAAGTATATAATTTGTAAGATTCACAAGGCTCTGTAGATGATATAAACGAGGGAGAACAGTAAGAGTACTGCGACGATGAGAAGAAGAAGGCGATTTTGGATGGCTCTGAAAGGAAAAGAGTTTTTGAGCGTTAGATGAAGCACAAAACCTGCGGATCATGGTGTTCAAAGTGCGACTGGCACGACCGAGATCCGCGTTCGAGGCTCGCATTCTGTCGCGAGCCCGACCTAACGTCTCCCTTTGACTGTTCAGGTTCGACAGCACTTCTGCGCCAATCTGAGAAACGAAGGAGCTTTTAGATCAGTTCCAGACTTCTTCAGGGATCTAATTTCATGTATAAGTAGCCCCGTTATCAAAACTCATTGGGGTGGTGGAGAATCAGGTTTTATATACCATTCATCCAAGTTCTTGCGTTCTATGTTATTATTTATATACGTATATTCGACTGAAAAAAGCTTTTCTCATTGAGATCTTCATGGCGTGTTCATTTTCAAAAAATCAAAATTTTTCCAAAAAGCAACAAATTTACACCTCAACAAGAAAATATTCTGTTTCAAAGCAACTTTGGCGAGTCACTGAACAACGTTTTTTTTCTGCTTTTCGATTAAAGCCCTGTTTATCCATTTAATAATCAATTACAAAATTCGAGTCTCCGAAAAGTCGTTTCTTAAAATTGAATCATCTTTTCTTAAAAACAGGAATCTTATGCAGGTCGGAGCATCAAATCGATACTCTGAAGACTTTTGCGCGAATAAGAATAAAAATCTGACGATATGATTAAAATGACCCAATGTATCTCTACCTCGTAAAATCAGCTTCAAAAAAAGTTTTAGCCTTTTAAACGTCATAGAAATAAGCATGAAAAATTTCTACTTTTTACCATTCAAAATTTTTAAAAATTTGAATAGACTATTCAAAAAGGTTAATGGTACCTAAATGGCTCAGAGATCCCAAGACTATATTTCCAGCTCCAAAAAAAGTTGAGATTTTCAGCTATAGGAGGAATAAAAAAGAAAAACTTTTCTCGATTAAAAAAATTGATTTTGTATTTTAAATTAATATTCACAGATCAACTATCGAAAAAAACAGTAGAAAAACTATAAAAATCTCTTCATATTCCCACTATCTCGCTGACAATGTCAAGCCATTTTTTTTTAATTTCAACCTTGCCAACTGTGTAAAAACTACAGTAAGCATAGCCGTTAAAAGCTGTGAAAAATGGCGCCATCCCACCAAAATCAATCTTCTCGTCATCCAACTTTTTTAAGTACCGGAAATGAGCACTTTCCGCCCACAAGAATGTCAAAAATGTGAAACCTGCTCCGTTTCCACAGCGATTCGATAAGAATCCTGGATTTTCCTCGAGGTCCGCTCCATTCTCTGAGTATTTTCGATGAGCTGGTCCTCCTGCAAAAGTTGCTCGATTGAGGACCGTAACCGGGAGATGACGTCACCTGTCTGTGGGCGTCGATGGCGTCATCGAAGGCGAGAAGTTCGTCGCGGTCGGCCTCCTCGCGGACCCGCTTGATGGCCTTCTCCAGCTCGCCGTCCAGCTGCTTCTTGTCGTTCAGATAACTCCGAACACGAAGTTCGTACTTTGATCTTTCCGTTCTACAAAATTATAACAGTTTTTTTTTAGGTATATTCCGTACGCAAAATTACCGGGAATCAAGACAAAAAATTGAACTAAAAAAAACGAGTAGTATAATTTTTACTTGACTTCACTCAAGGTATTTGAACGGATTACTCCGTAGATAAAATTTAAAAAATATTTTTTTTTTTTGAAACTAAATTGTTGATAATAGGGAAGCCGCTAAGATCCAAAGAACAGTTTTGTAATCTCAAATAAAAAAGATCGTCTATTTTTTTTCGCTTTAACAAAATTGGAATCTATTGAGGTGCATTCCTCACGCGTATTTCGAACTACGACTTTCCCATGCTTTAAAAATTTATTTTGTCAGTACACTGAAAAGAGAAAAGAATTTCTTCTCTCAGAATTTGAGATCTGAAATTAAAAAATACACTCAACGATCAAGAAAAAAAAAGTTTTTCTTAATTCAAACCAATTTTTCGAGATGAACAACGCAATATCAATAGTTCAACTTTATAAAATTCAAACCCTTACCACACAAGAAGTCCTGAACTAAAGAGAAAACGTTTTGAAACTTACGCCAAAGAAAATATACAGTGCGAAATGCAAAAATTTCTCAAATTTCATAAATTTCTCGTCTTCGACTCACGATCCAGATGGGAGCTCCCGGACGACGATTTCCATCTGCTCAAGGAGATCGTTGACGTCACCAAGGCTTCTTCGGATCTCCTGGACCGCCGCCGCGCCTTCTGAAGGCAGAAGCGTGTGCAGTTGCCCAATTTTGCTCGTGATCTGAGTTCCATTTTATTTTCAAGCTGTTCCTTTCTGTTGATAAACTTCAGCGGTTTGAAGGGAGTACTGCTTTTCGAATCCGATGAGTGTCTCCGTGGCAGAGGACGCCATTTCGGCGCCTATGATCCCCGACATCTTTTAATCATTTGATAGGAACAAGCGAAAAGCAATGGAAAAAAAACAATTGGCGATCGCGCTTTAGAAAAAACATCGAACTAGATCGAAAAAGAAGAAAAATTTTATAAAAAACGCTAAAAACAATAAAACTCTAGGAATATCATGACCGGTAATGTGCGTAGGCACGGTTCGCCTCGCAAGTTTTGTGGAGTTCCTGTTTGGCTTGAATCGTCAATCCTTCGTTTTGGTAGGCGGCGAGGAGTTCGTTGGCTAGGATATCCCTGGAAAAGGATGAGGTCAAATTCTTTTCTGAGGCAGGAAAAAGAATGTATTCACGATATTAAGATTTGGGAGCCAAATTAAGTGATAACTCTTAAAAGTAAAAATATTCCAGCTTGAGAAATCGAGATTGGGATGATTTTTGTCATCAGCTTCACCCGGAACGGAGGAATCTATTTTTGCGCAAGTATGGAAAAAAATGTTTAAAAAAAGCCTAAACTTAACTATTGTTTCAAATCGGTGTACAATATATTATAAAAACTTTCCAAAATTTTCAAACTATTCCATTCTTCTAAAACTCACTTGAAATGAGTTTCTCCGTGCTTGGCTCTGCCTCGGCAAATGTCGCGCATGGATTTCATGGCTCGGAATTCGGCCTCAGGCTGTTCGATGGGAAAGGGAACCTGGTAAGTTGTGCCTCCTGTAAATGAGCATAATAAAAAAGATCTTCTTTTTTCCTCGAAGAACCTCTGGTCACTCCTTGGAGCTTCATCAACGGATAGCAGTTCTTGATGGCTTTTCTCGCAATTACGAATGGATCTAACTCCACTTTGTTGGCTTCCTGGAACATACAGTATTACGATTAACTGTGACTCTCTTTAATTTATACGGAAAGTTCTGAAAGGATAAGTTCCATACCAGTTTTCACGTAATAAGTAATACAATATTCAAAAAATAAAGGTATCCAAGATCATCGAAGATTTTCACGCCTTAAAATTCGAATCCAAGGAATTTTAACAGTCCATACTTCGAACCACAAAAAAAATATCCAATTAGGTTGAAAATCGGCTTCACAATCTACAATAAAGCCTCAACGAAATGAAAAAACTGAAGCTTGTGAAAAAAAGGTTTAAAACGACCAAATAGCAATTTTTTTAACAATTAGAATTTTTCGTTATCGTACCAGGTGAGGAAAAGAATGAGCAAAACTTCGCTCAGATATCTTCAAAAACTTCTCTGATAATGAATAGAAATATGGAAAACGATAAATACACAAAGAATGATGAGCAAGAACAACTACTAAATAGCCGCGATTTCCAAAAAATTTCCTCCAATTTTAGAAACCTCGTATTGAGACCAATTTTTGTCGCTCACATGAACTTCCACTCGGAGAAAAGTTTAAAAAAAAGTCGAGATTACCGAAAAAAAAATACCGTATACCGAAATAGATCAAATTTTTACAAATTTTGCTACGAGACCTTTTTTACAGTTTTCAAGAGCAAAGAATGCTGTAAATAAGGTAGTTTTTTAAGCTGTATACAAGGATATAAATTCAATTTTCTCTACCAATAGACTAGAATTTCAACTTTTAAGCTTCTCAAAAATTGGAAAAGTTGAAATAATATATCGTGAAAATGTACCCCAGCTGTATCAGGCGAAGACTCGTTCTTCAGCCACGCTTTGTACTGTCTTCTCTTGATGGTTTCCAGCGCCGAAAGGACGTTTTTCCGCGCTTTTTCCTTCTTTCCGTCTTTGATGCAGACCCGTACCAACTTGTCAATCTAAAAAATCGTGAGAACGTCTTCTATGCATACATTTTCTTTTTCAAATCCTTGGTGAAGTGAACTTTGACATGAAATGAAACATCAAAAAAACTTTCTCCCCCAAAGACCTCATTAAAATGTCTCTATACTACTTTAATAGCAATGTATTTTGAGCTAACTGGTTAATAATCAAAAGGAAAATTGTGAGACAAAAAAAAACCAACCACGTGATCTCTGTAGAAAACTGGAGTTTCATCGCTTTTCATACTTTTAACGAACAGGAAATTGCGTTCGTCATCAGCGTTCAACGGTTTTCTGAGCTGAAAATTAAATGGTTTCCCCAATAACATTGGCCTGCCATTTAAGAAGCAATTGCGAAATGAAAATTTTTCGGTATAATCCGACGTTACCAACATGTTCGATTTGCAGCATAAAAGTATAACCATTCGATCCGTCTCGCCGAGATACGTACGAATATCATAAAATTATTTGGCGCTGACCACTTTGGAAATATTAAGATGAACTTTATCAGTTTTCAATCAAGTAATTTTTCTGAGGAATAGAAGTGTTTGCTTTTTCTTTTAATGCATTAGTTAAGAAAATAGGCTTAGGCTTCACACGGAGGCGGAGCGCGCATAGCGCGAAGCCGACTGTGGCTCGCTTCGAAAAAACTGAGCCACAGTGAACAATTCGTCAAATAAATGAAATAGCTGACATAAAAATCATGTAGTTTCAAAACGTGGACACTAAAAAACACTATCAGGTAGCTTTAAACGATTTGCAAACTAGACACGCGTAGCGAAAAAATCTGTAAAATGTATTTCCCAAAAAAAAGAAAGAAAAATATTAAAGGAGCATACTGTGCGTAAGCGCGGACTTTGACGCGGTCGGTTATTTTTAATGTGATTTCTCATTTTTGCATTGTTTTTTTCGAATATTTTTCCTGTTTTTCCTGATTTAAAAAGTTTTTTCTTTTCATGGCGTAGTAGCGATAGTTGAATTGAATCAGCGTCGAAAAATACAGCGAAATTTTTGAAATTTTTGGAGTTTTTTTCTGTGTTTTGCGCACCATAAATTTATTTCTTCTTACTAGCGCCAAATAGTTTTATGATATTCGTACGTATCTCGACGAGACGGATCGAATGGTTATACTTTCATGCTGAAAATCAAACATGTTGGTAACGTCGGATTATTCCAATTTTTCCAGTCCCAAAAAATTTAAAATTAAGAAAAATATGAAAACCTCGTTGGTATCGAGAATTGGATCACGAAACACTCGAGCATCGTACATTGAAGAAGTTGCGCTACTGCAGCTGATCCATCTGTAGGAGACTAGTCCACTTGAAACTTTGCAACAGCTTACAGCCGCTTTCATTCTTCCTGAAATTCGGTGAAAAATGAAAAAAGATGAGAAACTTGGCTTCGAAATTTCGAAAAAACATCAAACTTTCACACGCTTCCGAAATTATCGCGGGAGCGTGGCACAGAATTCAATTAGGAATACCTTCAGACGCTCTAGGATTGATGGTAATGATAAAGAGGTTCGCAATACAGAATCCACTTTATGAAGCATATATAACGATGAGATACTTTGAAAATAATTAAATACTGTAAACGGAAACGGAAAAAAAAAATTATGCCTCGTTCAAATTAATTCCGGGAGCTCAAAATGATCTCTGACTTTTCAAAGTTTTCATTTCTATTTTCTTCTCTGATGATCATTTCAGTTGCCCCGAAATTACTCCGAAAGTGATGCCGTGTTCAAAGTAATTTCCGCGAAATGCAAAATGGTCTCTGACCCTCCAAAATTTAGTTATCTTTCTCTTTCTCTGACGGCTATTTTGAATTTCGCGGAATCACTTTGAACACGGCATGATATTCATTAAAAGGAAACAAAAAATTTTGCAATGGCACTGGGCGGAGTCTAGTTCAGCTAATGCCAAAGGTGCGCGACATCTATGCTACTAGGACATGAAGTGGCCCTCTTTCACGATCGCGTCCTTTTCGAGTTCAAGTTTGAAATCCCCTTGATTATCTTTTGTTGTGTTCTTCTGATTGTCTTCAGAGAATTTTCGAAACTTTCATATAACTGATAAATTGAAGAGAAGCATGGTTCTAAGCATAAGCACCAATGAAGTTTTCAAAGATTATTGTCAAACTAATTATGGAGCTTTTTTCATGTTGGTGTTCATGTTTCCATTTTGTGATGAAACAACATTGTCGGCGTTTTTCTTTTTCTTTAATTGTAAGAAATTAAGTAAAAAGATAATTCATAAATCTTGATTACTTTTTTTTTCTGTTTATTCTCACGTTGAAAAAAATTTGAAAACGCACTTTTCGATTTTGGAACATTTTTTTCTATTTTTCTGTTTTCAAATCTTCTGTTCTTACTTTTTTTAAAAAACGTCGTTTACTTAACTTTAAAAAACAAGTTTACGTTTGTTTTGGCGAATTGAATGTTTTGGCGTTCCACAATTGAAAAGAATTAGAAACTTTCGTCAACTCGAGTACCATTACCTTCACTCCTTGTTTTCTTTCGGCAAACTTTGGTGCGTGTTTTTTTAATTGTAGTGTTTTAAATTCTTTTATTTTCATCCCGCGCTTATAACCCTGATCAATGAAAAAAAAAAAAATAGACGTTTGTGTTGCAGGAAATGGTTTTCCACAAACCACCGTCAGTAATCATTAGCAAAGACCAAGACGAGTTGAAGGAGAATGTGCAGAAATTTCTGACGGCACGAATACAGCATTTGCTCGAATACCACGGCAACATAAATATTGGCGTGTCGGGCGGCTCGATGCCCAAATTACTGTGTGAAGTCTGGAAGGAGATGGGTACGATCATTCCTTGGAAAAAGATGCGGATCTTCATGGTCGACGAGCGTATCGTTCCGATTACACACCCGGACAGCAACTACGGACAGTACATTGCAGAGCTTCCAGAGGAGGTTTTCCAGACATTTTTGATTTGTCTTAAGCTCGAATTCAGCTTCATAAGTACGTGATTCCCGCACCGATACAGGAACAGGACTCTTTGCACCAAGCAGCTCACAACTACGAAACGACTTTGAGAAAAGAGATCGCTCCTGAACAAATGGGTTCGACTGCCCGGTTCGACATTCTTTTACTAGGGGTGCGTCGCAATTTCTATTTTCACATTGAAAAAAACGTTGAAATACTTGAATTATTGTAAGTGATCTTTCAATCGATTTCCACTTTTCATTAATAATGACATGAATGGTGCTTGACAAAATGGAGTTAAATGTATGTTTTGCAGGTAATATAAGTTTGAATTTTGGTACCGCTTTTGATTCTATGGTATTTTTGTTGTTCAAACATTTCTTTATTCTTTAACTTGGTCGGTTTTTGAGTGTATAATTAAAGATTTTTTTATACCTTCGCCCCTCTTCCAAAACTTCAAATTTGCGCGAATAGCGAAAACTTTATTCTCCAAATATTAGTGTCTTAGATTTTTAAATTTCTGGAAATTTTGTAAGTAAAATGACGTAACCCACTTATAAGGAAAATAGGGTATGGGTTTTGAACGATTTGTCAGTGGTTAGTCTTTCATTTAACAAAGATTTATAAGACTTTATCTATTTTGAAAGTAAGGGGTGAAAAAGATAATATTTCTCAAAAAAGTGTTCATCACACAATTTTATGAAAGTTCGGTGAAAACCTACATTAATACCACGTCAGGTTGGACCAGACGGACACACGTGCAGCATTTTCCCGAGCACAGGGACCGAGCGGCGGAGACTGCCCAAGCTGACAGACTTCAACTGGGTTTCGGCAGTGAGCGACTCGCCGAAACCGCCGCCCAAGCGGATCACACTCACGATGCCGGTCCTGAACGCGGCCAAGAACGTGGCGTTCATCATCACCGGCAAGGAGAAGGCGCACGTCGTCAAGAGCATGTACACCGCAGCGACTTCCAACACTCTTCCGCTCGCCTCCCAATCCATTCCCGCCGCCCAAGTCCGACCGATGAACAACAATTTGTGGTACTTCATCGACGACGCCGCCGCTTCCGAACTCAAATCCATACCTCCCGTTCCCGAAGACGCTATTCCTCCCGCCGACGACGAGGAAGAAGAGGAAGAGGAGGAGGGCGACGACGAGGAAGACGAAGAATAAACGCTCTCCTTTCTATGTATAACTGTTTCTTCTTTTTTCTTTAAATGGCGCCTGCTGGTTGCGATTTGAAAGGGTTTCTTCGTTTTGTAAATATGGACGTTGTCCCAACCAACCTTTGCACAAAAAGAAAGCTTTATCTTGTAGATGATAGTTTCATTTGTCACAAAATGCACAGGTTTCTATAATTTCCAATGGAAGATAGTTTATTCTAAGTTTTTAAAGATCGGTGGTTTGTATTAATCCTCCTACCAAAGTGTAGAATAGATAGACATTCAAATCATTAGTTTCATTCCATTATTTCCTACAGGTTCTCTATAAAAAATATCTTTTTTTTTTCAATCAAAAATTAGTGAACACTTTTGTGTGAAGGTTGGTTGCTGGACAGTCCTGTATTCATTAATATTCAATCTTTTATTACTACGCCCAGCAATTTCTTCTCCTTATTTTTTTAATTTTTTTCTTTTTTTCAGGATCACGATTTTTTTTAAAACTTTCCTCTTGTTTTGTTAAAAGTTTTAATAACACCCCCTAATCTTAAATTTCTGATTGACAAGTTTTCTCTCTTTTTTAGTGGAATTCTCTAGAATATTTCTGCAATTTGACTAGATCCCATTTTAGCGATGCATTTTTCGCTTTCCTTGTTGTGTAGATTTTTCCAATTGACGTTCCTTACAACTTACCACCTTATTCCAAATTTCGAGCTACATCTTTTTCTTTCGCGCTTGTTTCGTTCGTTATTGAATGTATATTTTATGAAGAATGAAATAAATGGATAAAAAAATTTAGGCGAATGCCGTTGATTGTGGTCACTGGGTACCCAAGCTCGGGAAAATCGACGATCGTCAAGCGATTGGTCAAACTGTTCGAAGACGTCGGCAAAATCGTCCACGTCGTCAGCGACGACGATTTTCCGTCGCATTCTCGCTCCTGCTACGTCACCAGCACTGCCCAGGCAATAACTAGATAATTCGCTAGAGAAAAAAGAGAAGAAAAATGCAAAAAAAAATGAAATGAAAAAAACAAACTTCTCTTCTTGAAAGTCTTTGCTGGGTTGTTTGAAGGAGCATAGTCAATTATGAAAAATTCTCGATGTGAAAAAATTTTTCGTGTGGCATTTGGGCTGTTCCAGGCTTCTGCTTGTTCAAACATTTCTTCGAAATTCTTCCAACAAAAGAAAACAATACGTTTTGACCTTACCATTCCTCGCAATGATTCTTCTAGAATCAATTTCGATGTGTATACTCGAGAGATAAAATTAACGTCTCCTCCCTCCTCTCCAATAAAAATTGAAAAATTTTCCAATTTAGGAAAAAGACCTCCTTTCCTGGATCCGCTCTGAAGTGCAGCAACAGCTGTCCAAAAAGAACATTGTTATTTGCGATGCCCTGAATTACGTGAAAGGTGAAATATTCTTGCCCCGAAATGCTCTGACCGCATTTTGAAGGCTACCGCTACGAATTGTTCCTGGCGGCTAAGATGAGCAAGACGACGTACGCAGTGGTTCAGTGCACGCCGGACGAGGCGACGTGTCTTTGGCTCAATTCCGAGAAGGACGTCGATGTGCGGTCAGAATACCTTCAGACGCGACTCACTTCCCGGCTTCAGATACGGCGACGACGCCATCAAGCAGCTCATCTTCCGCTATGAGAAGCCGGACACCAAGTTCCGCTGGGAGAAGCCGCTTTTTGACATCAAAATCGGAAAGCTCGAAAGGTAGACCTTCCAGAGGATAGTTTTTGATAGTTCAATAATTAGTTTTTCAAAGCATAATCGAAAAAAAAAACGCAAATTCTAGGACAAGGAATCAAAATAATATCTATGCTCTTAAGGAGAAAATTGAGATGCTGTGCATTCGTTTGATCCATCGAAACGTCTGTCGAAGTTCACAGGGTTAAGATGGGCTTGAAAATGGAATCTAATGAAGTTTTTAATAAGGGACACTCAAAGCTGTAGCTTGTAATCAGATTTTAAAATGAATCACTAAAAAAGTGTAAAGAGTTTTCAGCTGGATATTTGAAAGACTAGATGAATCATTGTATGTCTTTGTTCTTCCCAAAAAGTTGATATTTCTTGAAGGATAAGAGAGACTGAAGAAGATTTGGAAGGCGATATGATGCAGGATTTGGACCATCCTTCGCCGAAATTCGCAGATCTTCACAGTGACGAGCTTGTTCAGTGGATTTGTGAGGTTCGTAGCGAATTTTAGGTCAATCAATAAGTTTTCTTCATCTTTGAAAGAAGTTTGAGCGTTCAATTGTATGAAAAAAAAAACAAGGGAAAGGTGATTTTATGAAAAAAAAAAATTCAGGCATTTTAAAGCAACACTTAATTGAAAGCAGAGAAACTTTTATTCAAATATTGGTTCTTATTCCTTTTTATAGATAATTTCACCGGGTCATCAGAAAGAAAAAAACTTTTTTTATTGAATACATTTTTTTGATGATTCGAAAAACTTTTACTAGATACTTGTAAAAGGAATATTCGAGAAAATCGTAATTTTAGGGCGTCGAACTTTCGGAGAACCAAAGTACCCAAGTGGTTCCGCTGGCTCCGTTGAACTACCTCCACACTCTGGACAAAGTCACGCAGAAAGTCTTGACGGACCTGATGAATCTGCAAAGAACGGCTCTTCGGGGACAGACGCTCGTCATTCCGGGCGCCGAGGGGAAAACGGTTGGAAACCTGCCAAGTTCCATAGAGAATCCGGGATTCTTCAGATAGTGTTCACTAAAGCGAGAACGCTTCCCGAATTGAACCGCCTCAGGCAACAATTCGTCAGCATCTCCAAACGGACGCCCATCGTTGACCACGAAAAGATTGCCACTATTTTCGTCAACTTCCTTGCCAATAACTTGCGGTAGTTGTAGCCTTATAAACTGTTAGTTTGATTTTCTTTTTTTCGAAACACAGTTTTTTGCTCTTTTTCGAGTAATCGTCATTTTTCATGCTTCAAAATGACGAACTTTTTAAAAATGTAAGCGACCTTTTTCAGAGCATAATCTTCGATTTTTTATTAAGTTACACATGAAAAATGAGCAGTTGATTCAAAATCCTTGAAGATTGATGATGCGAAAAAGTTTCTTTCTTTTTTTATCGCTGATTGAATTTATCATTAACTCGAAGTTTTTAAACAATAATCAAAAAGAAGAAAAAATTTTTACAATTTTAATGTATTGTTTCTTTTTTTATACATAGATTAATCATGGATCCAATGAGAAATGGCTTTCAAATTCTTTGCACTTTGATTTATTATAATGTGATTTACAATTTTAAAGCTTATTTTCCGTTTTGTTGTTGATTTAACTGTTGGAAGGCATAAATGCTTGTTGTTAGAAAGTCCCATCTCCTGCGGATTCATAGATCGACAACTGAAAATCCACAAAAAAAATGAATAAATCCTCCCCAAAACGCACCAAAGCTTCGAGCTCCGGAATTCCTTGGATGGCGCTCAGCTTGTACGGATTTATGTTGCAAAGAGTGATCGAAGGAAACGGGAATTCTTGTAGTCCAACCTTCAGTTTTCGCCTTTTTCAACTTGAAGATTGAAGATCTCCACCTTGATATTGACAGTCTTTGCATACGAGAAGTATTGCTTCAAGGTGACCGTGAACAAATAAACGAGTCCGGCGGTACTCAGCAATAAGATGAAGAGCCAAAAAGCGATGGTTGAGCCCTGAAAAAGAATTTCGATTCAAAGTTGTATATTTTGGTTGATCAAAAGATCATGTGATCAGGGTGAAAGAAGTTTGCTCGGGAATCGGCTGTGAAACAGTTTTTCACAACTTAATTTCGTAAATAAAATCGGTAAAAGGAATGGGGATCATGGTAATTTGGTTTTAGAATTTCTAATAAATCTCTTCCCATTGCTAACCTTTCTTAGAAGAGACGATTATTAGTTTCGTCTGAACGTTTTTTTTTTGTCCAAAAGAATCAAAAATGAGAGAAAGCTGAGAATTGAGGACTTCCCAAACCTTCTTAGGGCTTTTTATAGAATTTTAGTTTTTCCAGGAGTATGAGAGGAGCTGAAAATTTATTTTAAGAACTGAAAAAATTAATAGTGAGTAAAGGTCAAAACAAATCTTGAAATCAAAACTTGCAGCTTAAGAAGCTAAGTTCATTTTCATTAAGTATTTAGAGGGTCGTCAAAAAAATTCTCACTCTGTCAAAAATCTACGAAAACGGTTAACTTTCTTTTTCTCCAAACCCTCGCAATTCAAAACCTCCCTTTAAAAAAAATATTCATATTCTTACCGCATTTGCCTGCGCAACGTGTGGGAAGCCATGAATGGAAGACGTCTCTCCCCATCTTTTTGATTCGGTTTTTATTTGCCTAAATCCTTATATCTGACGTCTTCTAAAGAAAGGATCAGATTTGGCTTCCTTCTTCTGGATAATAGAAACTCACGACCAACGAGTGTCATTGGGAATCTCATCTACAACGCGGTCCTTCTGGATGTCGTCGACGATATCTTTGTACTCGCTGTCATCAGAATCGATAGAATCGTCGTCCTGGGACATGTAGAAGTTGGAACCTCCGAGAAAAACTCACGGAAGGACGACTTTTCCGTCGCCGCACGCCTTGGTGGTCACTCATTTTTTGACTTCGTTGTCAGGTTGCAGAGAAGATCGAATTTGAGCTCCATTGTTTCGATGAAATTTGAAAATACTCTGTGGAATTTTTTGTTTCAAAGATCAATTAAAGTTACATGTATTTTATGAGATAGTCCATTCACAACAACTTGATAGAGCTCTACATTACAATTATTGAACCACAGAGATTGTCGCCTAGTTTACCAGTGTAAAAAAGCTCCTCTTCTCTAATTCAAATTCTATGAAAACGTATTATTTGGTACTTCAGATATTTCAGATATTCCGGATGTGCTTGTGAAATAAATGTACTTCATTCAACGCTAACTTAGAATTAAAAACGCTTCAGGAACTTCTTGACGTCTTCCTTCCACTTACAGATTCTTTAGTGGTTTGTATAAAAAATAAATATCAAATTTTCTCAAATTCATTTTTTAAGACTTTTTCACCGTTTTTCTCGAGTTTTTTCACTATTTCTCACGACTTTTTTTTGTGTTGTTTGGTATTTTTACTCATCTCTTTACAGTACCCGCGCGTCTGCATTCACGCACGCTGACCTAGAAAATAAGCGTTATTTTTGCTAATTAACTTTTAATTTACCTTCCAAATTTAATTAATTCGATCCATACGTATTATTTTCGTTATATTTCAATTTTAATAAGTAAAACGGGAAATCAATTTTTTTTTCATACTTTCTTGTCAATTATTGTTAATACTATAATTTTTTCAACAGTTGCATTCAGGTTTCTCGATGCCGCCTCAGTTTTCTAACGTCAAAGGAGGTTCCCAGCAACTCAGAACGGGCTACGATGTTCCTCTTATTGGGTATGGAACCTATAAAGTCGTCGGAAAAGACGTAGGATTTAATTATTTCAATATTTTGGCATCATTCAAATTCTCAGGTCCTTCCCGCTATCGATGCAGCCTTATCCGCTGGTTATCGGCTTTTCGACACGGCCAAGTACTACAAGAACGAAGCTGAGCTAGGGGCGGCTTTGAAGGTTTTATTTTTCCAGAGAATTAGTGAAAAAATAGGATTTTTTCCAGGAACTTTTGCCGAAGCACGGTTTGAAACGAGAAGAAGTCTTTCTGACGACCAAATTTTTCGCCATCGCAGCCGAAGATGCGTTTGAAGAAGCGACCAGATTGGTAGACGAATCATTGGAATCTCTGGGCGTCGAGTGGGTTTTTAAAAAAAATTTTTATTCGTAAATTTTAGTTGTGTCCAATTTCTTTCAGGACACATTACTAGCTAGCTTTGAAAAAATCGGAAATTCTGGTTCTGAAAAATTAACTTGATCATAATTAGGAATCTTTTCTACAAGAAGGGTATATCATATAATTTTCTTGCAATTAAAAAAAAGTTGATCTCTACTTTTAAATCTCATATAATTTTTTTATTTTTTTGCTTTTTACTCGAAGACCTTTTTTTATCGTTATTGCTTAAAAAGAAAGCGTTAAAATAAATATAAGTTTTTTTATTATTTTGCTCTGGAAATGGTTTTTTTCGCTTTTTTTGAAGAAATAAAAAAATCAACAAAAAATTGATTTAAAAAAATAAAAATCCTTCTGACTTTTCAAATCTCATTTGAGGACTTTTTGATCAAGTTTTTTTCAAAAAAAGATTAGGTATGAAAAAAAGAGATTTTGTTAGTTCCTGTCAGCGGAAAAAGCGAAAAAAAAAAGGAAAAAGACATCCGAGCTTCTATCCGTTTCTAAATATTGAACTGTCTTGCAGATACCTGGACATGGTGCTCGTTCACTACCCCAAGGCCGACGCTTCCAGCAACGACGATCCGAAAAACGCCCACCATCGGAAGAGCACCTATTTGGCTCTGGAGAAGATCAAAGGTTTGAAATTTTCTACATGGCTGGGAGATTCCTGAAATCAAGCCAGAAAACTCATCGATGTGAACTTGAAAGTCCCAACTTGCAGAAATTCCTAGTTTTCGCGAACTGAGGGCTCAAAGGCCCAAAACTACATATTTTAAAGGATTCAGAAAAATTTTCAAGTTTCAAAAGAAAAAAAATGTTGCAGAAAGCGGAAAGATCCGATCGGTTGGAGTGTCGAACTACGAGATCTCGCACCTGCAGGAGATTGAATCTTATGGAAAGGTAGTAAACTCAGATCTTAATTTGGAACTTTTCTGATGTTTTTTGGATAGTTTCACACACCTAAACTACAATCGAGGCTGAAAATCTCACAAAAGACGGTGAAATGAAAATCAAGCGTCACATTTATTGGCTACAGAAAAGTCCAAATTAAAAAATTTTTAGATCAAAATAATCAATAATTTTCGTCTAGGAACTCCCATGTGCCAACCAATTGGAATACCATCCGCACTTTGTCAGAGAGCCACTCCATTTGTACTGCAAGAAACACGGGATCTTCTTCCAGGTACTTGAAAAATTCTGTTTTTTCTGTCTTTTCAAGGTTTTCTAAAAGTTTCAAAAGTTGATATTCAACCGTCACAGTAGTTCTGACTATTACTCTCATGATTTGAAGGCGTTCTCCTCATTGGCTCGCCAGGAACCGGCGTTGATCGACGACCCCGTCCTCGTCAACATCGCTAAAAAGCACAATCAACCGGTTACGGTACCTTTCCAGACGAAACTCTGTTGAATTCACTTCTTTCTAGCTAATACTTCTGGCCTGGGCGCTGAACCAAGGCGTCGGCATCATTCCGAAGTCGGCGACGCCTTCCAGAATCGTCGACAACATCAAAGTCGCCGAGGTCAAACTGAGCGCCGAGGAAATCCAAGAATTGACGTCATTGGACCGCGGCCAACACTACATTCGCTGCACTGGATGGCTCGTCAAATAAATTTATTTATTTTCCTTTGATTAGTTCAATTGTCCCTAACTATTTTTACGCGTCGACTAACATAATTCGCCTGTGTTCTTTTTGTGATCTTGCCAAGTTGTGATATAAATTTATTTAATTGAAGCTATTTTTATGTGTTTCGAAGGTGTTTTTTGTACACCTGATTATTTTCGAAATATTTGGAATTTACTCCTGAAGACGACTTTTGTGCGTTTTCGTTTGTTAAAAAAAGTCTTAGGAACGCCAGAGTGGTTCACCTTGAAGGTTCCTCTCGAGGGACCACTTTACCTCCCATTATAGGACCACTAACAATCGCGAAAGTGGTCCCTATAGGCGTTTTAGTTAGTGCTCCCTATAGGGGCATGCTAGTCGATTTTTTTTATTAAAAAAAAGCGTTTTAATGCAAAAAAAAACTCAATAAATTGCCGTTTTTTGAATGAAAAATTATTAACAGGATTAATTGATTGAATTACATAAAACAATCCGTGTTAATTTTCAAATTATAATTTAAAAAAATTAAAGACCCCTATAGAGACTACTTAACCTCTAGGGGCTAAGGGGTCAGAATCTAAACCGAGACATTTTTTTCTCGCCATAAAGGTTTTTTTTCCTCAACCCCTATAGGGATCACTTTTAAGTCCCTGTGATCTTCGCTATTTTATTTAAAGGTGCAGAATCCTTGCAAGACTTTCAAAATGGCTTCTCTCTTTAAAGCTTTTCTGGGATTCGGTTTTCGCTTTTTTAAACCCCAGCTTAGAAATAAGTTTTCATCAGATGCTCTGATTGCTCTGAAAAATAGTTCTCAATCTTACAAATTTTTTGACGTTCGTTCTGTTTCTTCTAAAAAACGAAAAAACCGTGAAAATGACCATTGTTTTACTAGATTGCAATGAATGAAGTCCATATCGCGCGCAATGACAATTTATCCCGGGAGGCGCTTCTGAAGATTACCACGAATTCATCACGGATTACGGTAGTTTTTCCTGATTATCTTCTGTTTTCAAGATTTGCTTTGAGATAGCCGAAGTCGCGGCGGCCGTCGCTTTCGAGCCTTTTCTCATTTGGAACAGCGCCACAGTCGTCTACGACATTTCCAGAGGCCGAACTCCTCCGGTTTGTTCTAGTTTCCGGGCACTAGAGTAATTGAAGAAATAAATCCCTGTAGTGGACAAAATAATGCTCCCAGTATAGTCGATTGACAGCTAGCGTGGGACGCAAAAAGACGTAGTCTGTCTGCGCTCTCTATCAACCAGACACTGTCTCGTCCCTTATCGGTTCAGGACCCTTTTTTTTTGACGGCTCAAGCCAGATCAGATATACATCCTATTATTGTCTCAATTATTTTCTCCGTTTCAGTCCATCGAAGTTCTACCAAGGGAAAGTCTTTACGTCTACTCTCAGGAATATGTTGCATCGGTGAGTTTTCAGTGCTCAAAATGTGCTTGAAATTTGAGTTAACAAAAAATTGAGTTAGGTTGCCAAAAAATAAATATGTGAGATAAAGGGTTAGATAATAAATTTTTTAACTAACCTGTTTTTTTTTCTTTGACAGATACATTTAATTGATCGATTTCTTTAAAGAAAGGAGGCTCGACCTCTGTTTTGCCGCTTCCGATGCGACAAATCATCGAGAGATTCTCGTTGGCGGCGGCCCTCGCCTACGAACAAGCGAGGCCACGACGCCGAGGCTCTCGCAACACTCCCGCACCAGCTCCCTCTTCTTCTTCTTCCGCCAGCGCCCCCAGTCAAGCCGATGTTACGCGGCTTCTCCAGGAGCTCTTCGCTGTGAGTTTCGGGTGCCTCAAAACTGGATGATGAAACCTCTGATTCTCAAAAAGGACAACTATGAGGTATCGAATGAAATGAAAGGAAAAATAGGAGCCAAGTAGGTAGCCAATTTTTTTTTTTCGAAATGTCATCATATCGCTTGAAAATTTTCCGAAGTTTCACGATTTTTTTAAACCTTAATCCCACGTTTTAAATGTTTTTATATACAGTGGTATCATAGAAAAAACACAAAAAAGTGATAAGAAAAGGTGAAAAATTATTTTAAAAACAGAAAAAAAAAATCGGAAAGGCCCTAAAGGTGGGAAAATTGATGCACTTAAAAAAAATAGAAAATTCGCCGGTTTACATTTCGTTCCAATTAGTTGTGTTAAAAAAATGTTTATTTCTGAAAAAAAGTAGGTTCTTTTTACCACCACCTTGCTCTAGTTTCCTAAAAAAATAATTATATTCTATCAAAGTTTCATCTCTATATATTATATTTGATTCATAAAATTTCGACTTCAAGGTTGAAAATCGAATAAGAGTCGTTTTTGTTCTTTTTGTTCAATTTTGGAATTGACAGGGTCATCAGAGCAACGTGGACAAGGCACACGCTAGGAAAGTGTTCGATGCGGCGAGTTCAAATAGCTTCAAAAACTAATCTGCAACTTTTTTTTCAGCTGAACCAAAACAAAGGTAGAGTTCTTCTGGAATATCCGGAGTTTGTCGAGAAGTTCAACAAGTTGCCGAAACCTGTCACTTTCGGTTGGATAAGAAAAGGAAAAAAGAAAAGGAACTTTGATTTTCTACAGAAGCCTACTTGCCACTGTACGAAGAGTGGGTGACGGAGCTGGAGAGACAAGAGAGAGTGATGAGAGATCCGACGTCAGCGGAGGGCCAGAGACTCATCCAGGAGAAGATCAACCAGCAGAGGTTGAATGAACAGTGGGCCACGGTGGGTTCCAAAAAAGCTCTTTTTTTAAGGGAGGCTAGAAAGAAATGCGTATCTTTCTGATTGCTTTTTAGTTTAGTTCCAAGAAGAGATCTTGAAATGATTTCTTTTATCCGAGAGAGAATGTTTTTGCGCACCTTTTGATATATATATAGTCTGCGTAGGTTTGATCAGTTTTCCTGAGAAAAGTTTTAATAAAATGTCCTACCAAAAATTCCGCTCGCAAATTATTTTAATATTTTTACTCAGGACGATTTTTCGAGATTTCTGAGCAAGACTTTGACAAGGAAAATCATTTCACTTCGCACTTGGAAATTTCCTGTAAAACTGTCATAAAACTCTGTAGAGCACCAAAAAAGGGATCTGAAAGCCTCCAGCTCTGAAACTTAGTTTTTGAGAAGTGAGGGCTTAAATTCAAATAAAACCTTCAAAATCAGAAAAAAGGCCAATTTTCGGGACTTCGAGCCCTTATCGCTTTTAAACTAAGAAGTTGTGCAGATTGCGAATTTCAAGACCTCAATTTGGTTTTCGAGGGATATGAATGAAAATTGGCCCTTGGAGGAAAAATTCGAGTTAAACTTTTTATTAGAATTTTCACGCCGCTGAGATTTTTTGTGAAAACTGTTTTAAAAAAAAACAGTTTGAGATTGAAAAAAACTGGAATCATTACAGGCAATGGAACACCATCCGGAATCGCTCATTCCTGTGACGATGCTCTACGTCAATTTGAGCATCAACAACGTCCCCGTCAAGGCGTTCATCGATTCCGGTTCCGTTTTGTCCTTTTCTTGTTGTCGGGACTTTTTTCGTAAATCCATATCAATGGAGGTGTAGTTATCATGAAAAAAGTGTTACAGTTTTCGAAATGATTCCTTGAGAGTTTCGAGAAACCTCCGATGCGCATTTGGTGGCAATAAAATTGATGAAAATTTTCAGAATATATATTTTTTTAGTTCTGTTCATCTGATAACCTTTTCACTAAGATTGAAAAAAATGGTATGAGGTCGTATAAATTCTATCCATTTCCACTCGGACCTTGGCAACGGGAACCGAAAGTTTCTAAGCATCTTTAGTGACCACTTTAGGGCAGTAAGCGCACTTAAATGATCCCTAGAGATCCGCGGCGTCTTCACTCTTAAGTGGTCCCTAGAACTGCTCAGAAACGTTTGCGTTACCGAAGTCTGAGTATCACTTAGAAGATGAATAATTCTGTTTTTAGGAGCCCAAGTGTCGATAATGTCGGAAGAATGTGCACAAAGGTGCAACTTGACAGGACTCATCGACAAAAGGTTCAAGGGGGTCGCTCGAGGCGTCGGCGGAGAACAGCGGTTCATCGGAAAGATCCATTTGTGTAGGTGTTGGTCCTGCTTGAAGCTCTTATTTAGAAATAATATGAGTTCTAGGATAATCAGTGATACCATTCTATATTAGTTACATATGCTTCTTTTTTGACCCTGAAAAGTGTTCACTATGAATGTCTTCAACGGCCAGAAGGGTTCTTGATAATTTTTGAATAAATCAGATTTTTCCTATTCCCGATCCTGAACTCCAATTATCGATATTGCTTCCAGGTGACGTCAAAGTGGAACAGGCCCATTTCGCCTGTCCTTTCGACGTTCTGGCCGACCGCCAAATGGATCTTCTCGTGGGGCTCAACGTCCTCCGGCGGCACAACTGCTGTATCAATTTGGCCCGCAACAGGTGATTTTTAATGGAAAACTGAAATAATGTTGGTTTGCTGATGGAATGACAAACAAAAGTGTTCCACTCGGACTCTGGGAAAAAGAAATGATCTTCTGAATTTTTTTCGAAAGAAAAGGTCCCAAAGACTTGAACCATTTCACCGCTTTTTTGAACTGAAAAATAGGTTCTTTTTTTTTGAAAATTAAATTAATGTGATTAGCTAAAGTTTATACAATAATCATACGCTTTAATAGAACTAATAATCTCATTTTTGAGACCACGCCCCGTTGCGTCCCAAGTAAAATCGGATATAAATTTTCGATATCTTAATTGAATCTGATTGTTTTGTTAATGTCATAGCTGGTTCACGACAGAGTTGAGCCATCGAAAAATGGGTCCTGACACGATGAAAGAAAAAGAGAGATTGTTTGTTTGCGGAGAGCGCAGACAAGCCACATCCCTTTGCGTCCCAAGCTAGCCGCTTCTAAATTTCCAACTACTTTTTGCAGTTTTTTTTTCAGTAATTAGCCATTTTTTTAGTGGATACTGAAGTGATTTTTTGAAAAATAAGTCGTTATTATCACTTTGTCCATTTTTTAGACTCGAATTCGGAGATGGAACTTCTACGCCGTTCCTGCAGTCGAATGAGATCGACCAACATCTCCAAAACGTCGTCGGAATTTTGCCCGACGAAGGTTTTGTCTCAGAAAAGGAATTTTTTGTTTTAATAAACTCATTTTCAGATAAAATGGACACTACGGAGAAGAAATAAGCGCAATTTTGAACATAATCTTGTGCCAAATGTATTTTTGTACTTTATTTCCTGCATGCATTGCCTTGCTTTAAAAAAAGTGAATAAAAATGTATTTTTTGAATTATTTCTAAATTCACATAGAAGTTCGTTAAGAGCATGTTTTAGTTTGAGAAAATCTAGCTTTTGAACTTTTTTTTAGTCAATTTTTTCACTGAAGTTCGAAAATTTCGCATGTGGATAATAATCTGACGAATATGACTTTATTTTTCCCCGAGGTTTTTTTTGTCTAATTTTAAAGCATGTGGAAATGATATGCCATAAAACAGAAAAAAAAGGAACGAGTTCTCATTTCCTCAACATTTTAGATCAATTCCCACCTCTTCAAAGTCTGAAACGGAAAAAAAAGGAAACAGGTGAAATGGCGTCTGATTCTCAAAAACTGCACCTGTCCCCCGGAATCGATGTTTTTGAAACAGCCGATTTTCTTCTTGGAGACTTTCGACCGGCGACGATGAATGTGACGACGACGCCGATTTTCGAGAATTTCACGACTTTAGCTCCTCAAAATGGGACGGCGTAAGTTATGATACCTGTTTTATCCGGTCTGATGTTACTTTCATAATTTTTCAATTTACACCTGAAAAAAAGCTCACAACACTACGTCTTCTGAATCTGAATCCAAAAATGTCATAGAACTGTTGTAGAAAAGATTCTCATAGAAAAGCCCTCTCAAAATCTGAAAGACTACCTTTTTTTTCGAAATCGAAGTTTATTATTCAAAATTTGAATCGCATTATTTTTTCAAAGACGTCTGCGAAAGTTTTTGAGCTGGTCAGAGGAAAATTTGTCTTCATTGAGGTCAAGTCAATATAAATGTATGAATGTTCCTACTGTAATTTTGGACCTCGCACTGTTTTTTTTCGATGATTGACACTTAATTAATCTCATTCTTTTAAATGACCAAAACTGGATTTTTCTCGAAAAATGACTAACGAATCACAAGTGGACATGTCGGGTTTCAGTGTTACTGAAAGAGCAAAAAATTTGACTCTGAACTTGAATTTCTTTGAAAATCGGCTAGCAAGTTTCTTGATGCACCAATTGGTCATCCTGGAAGTATCAGTTCTTCGAAAGAAGATTAAACATTTTCTGAATTCGAAGGGTAAACTTGGAATAACTCGACTTTGTAGCAAAATATTACAAAAAAGCTCTCGAATGAAAAAATGAATTAAAAAACTAGGAAAAATGTATTCGATTCAGCTTTACGGATTTTAGATTGTAAACAATCGATAAGGATGACTTTCCTTACTTATTAAAAAATAAAGAAACAGTAGACCAACTACGGCGGACGACCAGATGTTCTACATGGTTCTGAAAACGAGTTGCTGGCTGGTCCTTTTCTTCTACGTCTACTACATTCCACGGCTGATCGCCTTCCGATGCGCTTCTCTCACCGAAGACAAAGAGGCAAATCCGTTTCTTCTTTCCGAAAATTTCAGAATTCCAGAAGCCCCACTTTTATTCCATGTCTTATATGATGATGACCGTCGTGGCGTTGGCCCTCGCGAATTGCATCAAATTCTATCTGTGAGTTGAATGAGTGAAACAGTATGCGGTATAGCCTGTGTACCACGACTTGAAATTTTACCGAACGACATTCCGCTGTGCCACTGCGCGCCTCTGCCAACCTTGGTCCCGCTTTAAGAATTTTTCCTTTATTAAGGTACTCTGCTTTTATGTGCTCCCACAGCAATAACAATCAATTGATAGCGAGACATAGATTAGAAAGACGCTTCGCGAACGCACGCAGCGGAACAGCGGAATGTCGTTCCGTGAAATTTCAAGTCGTGGCACACAGACTATATACTCCATTCGCCGACTTCTGCTGTGTCTGCGCTCTCTTCTCTCTCACCGGGGAATGATCTCAGCTCACAGTAGGACATTTGAACAGACTAGGCTTTTTTACGCTGGTTATGTCCCCTGTGCTTCACAAATTGATGAAAGCTCTTCGAAAAAAGTTACGGAAAAGCTCCAAGTTGCAAAAAAAGACCGCCGTTAATTTTTCTAGTACTATTCCAAACAATTTCAGCTCTCTGACCGAGGTGAAGACCCTGGATGACGCGATGGCGACGTTGATCGGCTACTGTCTGGCGGCGGCCCTGAACCGTTTGATCGCGCCGCTGGTGCTGCTCATCTGCTTACAGCAGTACGCCCTCGTCTGTCCCTTCGACATGTCTCAAGTCCTGCTCGAAGGGTCCGTCTCCACGTCTTCTCCCGCACTTTTCGTCTTTTCAGCCCCTTCCAGCACGTCTACTGTGTCGTCTCCGCTGTCCTCGTCTTCGGCGGCAGTTTTCTTCGCTTGATCGACTTTTTCGAGGCCACCGAGGTCACTGTTGAACTGACAGCCGATCCTCTTTGGGTTTCATTTGAATGATCTCAAAAATAACATGTCTTTCTTCAGCCGCATCCTTTCGAAGACGTGATTCTGCCATTGATAGTTTTCGTCTTCTACAACTTTGCGCGAGTGAAGATGAAGAAGGAGTCGACGTACTCGATTCACGATACTTCTTTGCCGACGACCATGGACCAGATGGGCAAGATCGTCTGGTTTCAAGGGGTAACTTTTGAACAAAACTTGAAAATCATTGAAAATTTTTAGTTGGTGTATTCATTTTAAAAAATTGAATTAATCAAAGTTGAGGCTCTGAAAAGAAAGATAACTTCATTTTTAGATTGGAAATTCCCTGAAAAATGGCCAGATGACAAGTCCTGAAAATCTCAACCTGCATGACATCCAAAAAAAAAATCGAAATCTGAAAATTTTATGGTTTTCGTCAATTTTGAAGGTCTCTTTCAAAAAAAGTTCCAATAAAACAGGTTTTTTTTGCGAATTGACGTATTCAGGAACCTGACCTGTTACATCAAAAAGCATTTTGGCCAGTTTTTAGTGAATTCCCATCCGTAGAGTTAAATTACCTTGTAGATACTGAATTTTTTTTCTTTCAAAGCTGAAGGATGATCTTGAAAATATTATAAGCTGAGCCTCTATTTTCGCGTCTTTTATTTGAAAAAAAAAACCAAAAGAACCATAGATTTTCAATGACGTTGTCGCGTTCAGCCTCTTATGCGTTACACCCGCCCAATTGCAGGTGATGGCTTTGATGTCGGTCGTGGCGATGGGAGTCCGGAGCGACGACGTCCTCAAAGAAGGCGACCGGAGCACGTGGGACTTCTTCGCGGCCGCACAGACGCCAGTGCTGTCGTGGGTGGCGTTCCGGTCAATCCTTCGGAAGCAGAGACCCACGCGGCCGTGCTTCCTTCTCTGCTGCGCCGAAGAGGAGAAAACCCTCCCGGCTGGCACTTCCACCACCAACTGAATCTTGGTTGATGTATGGCAGATTCACGGTTGGCTTGAACCATCGAAGAAAGGGTCTTGAAGCGATAATTAATGAGATAGTGCCTGGCTGGTGGAGAGCGCAGACAGGCCACGCCTCCAGTGTCTCAAGCTAGCCGTGAATCGGCTATGACTCGAGCTACCTGACAAGGATGGATATTTTGATAAAATTTGGCCAGAATACTTGTATCAAAAATAGTTCCTGGATACTCAGAAGCTTATCAACTTTCATCCACAAAAAATTGACCTTCCTAATGAGAGAGAAAAAAAAACTGAAGTAGCCACTTGGTTCCCCTCTTTCGATCTAAAAGCATGTCGCATTATCGAGAAATCGGTAAGTAGAAATAGCAAAAAATTTCCCGATGAATTTTTGAAGTTCACATCGGAATTTTCTTTTCCACTGCTCAGCCTCACAGCAGTTCTCTGAAAATCTGTATTTTAAGTTTTTTTCTCTCCTAATTTTTTTGAATCGAATATATATTTTTTTTTTTTGAAAAAATAAAATAAAGATTAGAAAACTTATTGCTTTTCACTGTCAATCTCAGTCCTTTGTTCAAAGTTACTGAATTAATTTTTCTAAACCTGTTCGTATTTCATAATGTATTTGGTTCACCCTCTATCATATTTTTTTCTTTTTTCATCTCTTCTTTACTTTTTTCCCATATAATACATAATTTATTAACTTATGACAGGAATATTTGTTAAAGCAATCATAATCATTCAAACTGAACCGCAAGGGAAGGTACAAAAAGTGGCCCGCAATAAAGGATGCGCGAAATGTATAAACATTGAAATTGACAAGGAAATGATGGAAAAAGTGTCATTATTGCATGGTGTCGTTTTCTCTGACGAGAACCAACGGATTCACGCAGTTGGGGTGGACGGGCGGCAAGAATTCCTGAACGAAGGGCTCGGGCTGGTCGGCCTCGTCCGTCTGGTTGCTCAGCATCACGAAGATCTGAAGGAAGACGCTTTTAACTGACTCATGATAGGTTCATTCACTGCAGACAATATAAAGACTAATAGTAAGGATAGAAAGAGAAAAAATGCATTAAATTGGCATAGGCGAATCGAGAAAGGGTATTGCTAGACCCTCTGAGGTATATCGCTACCTCGAGTATACCTCTGAAGATTTCGAGAAAAATGAGAGGGGCTTGAGAGAGACTCTGAAGTACCCCCGAAATGGTTCAGATTTAGCTAAACGGTATGCCGGAGGTCTCACTATGGACACCTTATGGGGTCTTCACGATCCATTTTGAGAGGTACCTTTGTGGACACATTATGGTACCTTCTCGATTCGCCTGCGGGCCAGTGATGGGAATAACTTCACCCTACCGAGTAGACTCTGACCCGGAATTAGACAAGAACTACATTTGTGAACGTTTTTTCCATTTTTTGCCAAGACCTCTTGCCAAATTGTTCGGAAAAAAAGCGTTTTCAATGGAAGATGTAAGAAGAAAATCTCAATCGAAGAATAAAATATAGTCCGTTTTTTCCCAATTTGAAAGACTAACTTTGTTTTTAAAAAGTCGAATTTTCAGCCTCAAACCAAAAAAAACCTTACTTCGTTTGTTTTTTCTTCAAAATTCGCCTTCTACCTCCTTTGAACAAAAAAATGTTTTTTTTTTCCAAAATTAAAGCAATCACCTGATTATTGAGCAACTGGAACCGACGTATTCGCTCAACCATCCGCGAAAGACGCTGAAAATAAGGATGTTAACAAACTTGTTCATTTTCTTCCAAACGAACAATTCCACAGATGGTGTCATCCTTCCCATCAGCCTTTTGTACCCGAAGAAGATGGTAGCAGAAGTCGAGAACCTGGAAATTCCTTTCAATTGAAATATTACTGATAAGGTTTCTTCACCTCATAGCGCTTCTGTTGGCCTAGCAAGAAAACTAACGAAAGTGCGCCCCATTGCAAAGAATCCCCGAAAAGCTCTCTGGAAAGGGAAATGATGAAGAGGAAGAAATTATTTTTATAAAAAGACTCTTTCAACGAATCGAAAAACTGTCGAGCCTATTTCAAGAGTATTCCGATAGTTTCTATCAATAATTCCAAAAAAATTTCCACGATACTGAATTTGAATATTCGAATAAAAATATAATTTTTGTATAATATTGTACATTTTGAATATTTCTCTGTACTAACTCGACGAGGATTTCGTTTTTCGCGCGGCGGCTGACAGATGAAGAACTGCAGGGCGGACCAGAGGCGGCTCCAATCCAGACATTCGTCTACCCAAATCACTCCATTGACCGGCGTTCCGCCCGTCCAAACCTTCAAATCATTGGAAATTTCCTTTTAAATGAGAAATGAATGAAAAAAGTCGTAATGATTTGAAGACTTTTTTTTTCAATTCTTGAATGTGAAGTAAATGGCTAAATGATTTTTTTTGGATTGCCGTGTTTCTTTTTTCTGAACGGAAAGGCCCCTTTTCAAGCCTTATTTTTTACTTTTGCGTTTCGAAATTCGATCAGAGAAACTAATCGGGCGAGATCTATCAAAGATTAAGATTACAAGAGTCAAAACAGAAAACTGCTGAATAAATTCGAAGAATTTGAAAGTTTTTAGAGAGTTTCAGAGCAAAGATTATTATGTTCAAGTTCAATACATTTTTCTCGGGTTGAAACAGCAAGGTGCGGCATTTTCAGCTAATTTACAAAGCGGTTGCGAAGCGTTTTGGTGCCAATTTGAAACATTATAACATTTAGTTAATATTATATTAATTTTATGAGCAACTTCTTTGAAAACTATTCGAACAATTAATGACCAGAAAACCTTGGAAATATTAAAAACGCGAAAATACTGAAAATGGCGCCAAAAACGCATCGCGAACACTTTGCACAGGAACTGCGAATGCCGCAGGAAAAACGGATGAATTTTCCACCAACATTATCATTGATGACAAGGTTTTTAATCCGCATGAGGAAATGGTCGAAGGCGTTCAGGCCGATGCAAAGTCGCTCCTTCGTCAGCAAATCCGATTCCATCGCGAAGTCGCCTTGCTGAAACCTCCCAGTTTCTCGGAAATTGGCCTTTTGTCCCACCAATTCTTCGCCACTGAACTTGTCGACGACTTTGGCGATTTGGATCCGCGAGAACTTCTCTTCGAGCTTGACCATTTGTCTTTCCTGATCTTGGACGGCTGAAGACAAAACTTATTCGTAAATTGGGCATTTTTCAGACTTTTGGCCGGAGGCTTGGGAAGGTCGCCAGTGTAGGCGGCGGCCGTGAAAAGGTCCATAATTTCGTCTTGGACGATACTCACTTCCAGTTGTTGGCACAGAACTATCATGTTGCCCAGTTCGCGCAGATCCTAAACATTTTTCTATACAAAAAAATTTTTTTTTCAATAATCAAGTATAGCTTTTTTGATGATAAAGCCATCTTCACATAGTGTACTTAGAAAAATTTCAAAAATCTTTGCTTTAAAAAAACTAAGTTATTTATTATTTTATTCTTTTTTTGATCAAAAAAATTTGTTAAAAAAATTTGAAATTTGAATAAAGATATTGCTTCACATAATGCCTTTTTTTATATTTTTATTTTTTTTAAATTTATATTTTCTAGTGATAAGCGAGTCTCATATCTACAGCAAGAAAAAAAACGGGAAGAAGAAATTTTTAATAACCGATTCTTAAACTTTAAAAAAAAACCATTTTTGTACTTCTAACAGAGAAAAGTTCATATCATGCCAAAGAAAATCATTTTTTCGAGAAAAAATTTGGAATCTTTCTATAAAAAAAAAGTCAACTTTATACTCCTTCCATTGCAAGAATAAAGATCACCTGACAAAATTCCGACTTCAACTCAGGGATATTTCCCGAAGCTCTCTAGATGATGACAATAATACTGGAGGACAGCTGAAAAAAATTACTTATTAATTGAAATTCTGCCTGTTTTTCTGAGCGAAAAAAACTTTTTGATTATAGTTTAAGAAAAAAAGGTTTTTAATCGCGAAGTTCTGACTGAAGTTCAAATTTGGGGGTTAGCATCCATATTTTAATTTTATAAAAAAATATGATTACAAAATAATAACAACAACGAATTTATAGTTTTTCCAATAATAAATTTATTTTTTTCATTTTTATAACTGAAATTTTTTTCTGAATACATGTGAGCAAATAGATTTTTGGTCATATTATACCGCGTTCAAAAATGACTCCGCAAACTTCAAAAAACCCGTCAGAGAGTGAAAAAAATTATTTAATTTCGGAGAGCCAGAAATAATTTTGAAATTCGCGAAATCACTTTGAACTCTGTATAAATTTCGGAAGATTATGTGAAATATAAAGAGGAGCTTTTGAGGAATTCTCATGTTTCCCTTCAAAAAAGCCAAAAAATACCGTGGCTGCCGTACTCCCAGCGAGGCAATTTGCACACCTTCGGCATCAATCCGACCAAATGTTTGACATGACGACGGAGCTTATCATTGATGAGCCGGAACGACATGTTGAAGATCTCGTCGAGGATCGTGGCGACGCCTGAGGAGAAGAACTTCAGAAGGAGACTTCGATTTGGAAGATAAGCGAGTACAAATTTCAAAAATACCAGAAGGAGGGATGGGCGTACCAAAACTTTGAGATAAAAGAGATAGAGATCTTTCCCTGGTGAGAGAAAAGAGTGCGTAGAGAAAGCAGAGGTCGTATGAATATAGTGAAAATGATTAACCGCTACTTTCTAGAGAATCGAGAAGGCCTAAAACGCTATTAATGAGTCTGACTCGATAGGGTTTTGAATATTCAGATGCAGAAAAGAGAGCTCTCTTCATTGCGTAAAACGGTTAAAATACCTGATTTTAGAGAGACTTGGAAGTATAGATTAGAAAAAAGATCTTTCTAAGTATGGGTCGACCTTGGTACTGAAGAAGACGTCCGATCGCCTTCAGATGCTGCTTCCCGATGCAGTTGAGGTAGGCGTTGCCGATGTTGGCGTAGGCGGCCTGGAGAGACCGGGAGCCCCACATGTAGATCGGGCCGACCTGCTGAGGTCTTTCTCGCGCCGGCGTCTTCCGGAATGTTTGCTGCAAGTCCAAATTCTATCAAAAGCGACAGAAGGACGCAAAATCAGAACCCGTATCAGTGAAAACAAAAGAAACGAAAATTCAGAATCGGGATGATACTACCTTAAATCTATAAATGAATCCGTTTTTTAAAACTAGATGGATGAAAAGTATTATATTAAATTGAGAACCTCTAGAAGTTTCTAACTAGTACGGGATCGAAAAAATATATATATGCTTCTTTGAATTTTCGATACGCTTTTTTGAGGTTTTATTCGATTCCCGTTGTTGGTTTTTTCCAAAAGGAAAAAGGAAAAATTTCACACCTTGGCTCGAACGAAGCGGTGTGTAGAACCGTTATAGACGAAATTAGGCACGAAATCGTAGTTCAACTCCCAGAAAATGTGAAGCAAAATCCGTCCATGTGGCGAGGAAACGGCGTGATTTGCCTTGAAAATGTAAATCTCGATAGATTTCAGAAAAAAAGGAGAACCTCTTGAAAAAGATCGTCGAAATCCGCGACCGAGTGGAGAACCTTTCGCAACAGAGAATGACACAATTTGTTCGCTTCAAGAAGCATATCCAACTCCTAAATTCCTCGGAATGCAGTTGAATCGATGGGAAAGGTCGATTTTACCACAATCGAAGACAACTGTTCGCTTTCGAACTTCCAAATCGCCGCATCTAAAGCCTTGAGCAACGCCAGATTGACTCTTTGGGAAACGACGCGATTCAGATCAATCGATCTCCCAAGAAGCTGAAATCAAATTAAGATGCAATTGAAGCAACTAACGCCCAATTTTGGGACTTTGTTTAAATTTAGCTGACTATCACGGGCACATTTGAGTGTTTTTTCATCGTTCCCACGCGAAAGTTACCTGGACATGTCTTTGCTGAAGAATACTCTCCAATCGACAAGAAGGCGGAGATCGAATCATGGTTCCGGCGCGCAAAATCTCCGTTTTGAACCGTTTGTCGAGGAGCATACTGAACATTTCACAACTTTCAATTAATTTCTTTACTTCAAGGCAAAACCAAGAAGCGAGTTGCTTGTAGTGGGTGAAAACCATGTCCGAGAGTTTGTAAACGAACTGATCGAAGCACAGATTCACCTCGGCTTCTACCTGAGATCGTTTCCTTGTTAATAAGAAACTGAATTGTAGCGTTGTTTCAAGAGGCTTGGTGAAATTCTTGACTTTTTTCTAATGTGTGGAAAGAAAAAAAGAGATTGAACGATGAAAATTTAAAAAAGAAATTCAAAAGGTTCTATAAACTTCCTTGACCTGTCAACTTCCATTATCAAGCTTAACCCCTGAAAAAACTTATTTTGATCGGGACGCATTCCTCTCGAGGTCACCTACTTTAACTTTAACGAATTCAATTTTTTGAACTTCTTGAAATATTAAGGGACCTTTCTCAACAACGAAAAACTTTACACGAAACCAAACCTTTTATATTATTTCTAACATCTCCTACACTAATTAATTAATTTTTCAAGAAATTCTCAATGCTCAAATCAAGGCCTGGCGGTTTTACAAAAACTTTTTTTCTCATTGGGATGACCATTAGTTAAAATTTTAATGCCATACGTGGGCTGACTGTGCCGATAAATTTCAAAGTTTTTTTTTTTTGGTTTTTATATGTACCTCGTCATAGAGGAACTGTTTGTTGAAGCTGAACAAAGTGTACTGAGCGGCGTCATTGTAGAGGTCGAGTTGGTACAAGGCGCTTTCGATGAGGGAAGAGTCGCCCATCGAAGACGTCAGAATGTGGTCCGTCAGAATCCACGGCATCGACATTTCGATCGGGAACTGAAAATACGGGACTTTTCCTCTCTTCGAAACAAAAAAGGCTGCTTTTTTTTAAAATAATTTCTACTGAATCAGTTTTTTTTCTTCATGCAATTTTTTGGATTTTTATTGAGTTTAACGAAACGCTCGAACTTCAAAACGAGCTGAATTTCATGGTTCAGAAATGTTTTTTAATATAAGACATTTGAAAAGGCGGTAAAAGATATCAAAAAGTCTACCCTCTGAGAAAGATCAATCAACTGAATGAGTAAAAAACTTAAAAAAGAAAAAAAAAGAATTTTTATCTCAAAATACCTGTTGAATTGTTTTTCTTCCTTGAAGTTTTTTGCACAAATCTCTTTTCAAAAATTCTCAACGAAACCAACCTGAATCCGCTTTCCCATGGTCATTTCGAGGTAAAACTCTCTGAACCAGAGTTGGCTCAAATCGCCGGCTTCGGTCAAAGAATCTGAGAGCCGGAAAAGAGCTGGCCAATGAGCTGATTTCCTACAAAAATACATATTTTTTCTGATCAATTTATTTCAAAACTTGCCTCAAAAATACACAAATCCGCTCAATGGTCTTGGAATCGAGCTCTTTCCGCAAAACCTGAAGAAAAAAAATTGAAAAGATGAAGACTGTGGTTGATCGGACTTTTTTGCCTCCGCAGAATTTTTCAGAGACGAGCGATTCCAATTGAGTCCGCGCCATGTAGAGCTGAGTGCTACCGGGCGCCGGATAGGCGGCGCGGCGGGAGAGGCGCAAATCGCTCGCGGAGGAACTCGCCGAGTCTTTGCCGCCGACTTTCTTCGACTTTGACTGCAAACGCATGAAGTTTTGAAAAGTGATGTTGAGTTTTTTGCTTTCTTTTTAAATAAAAGTTCATTTGATGCGGTTTCAAGAAAATAAGGATTCACAAGAAAGAAAGAAGATTTAAAAAAGTATGATCCAAAAATGAGATGGTCAGAAGAATACAAATACACAAAATGAAGCAGACCCTAACGAGGCGACAAGTACCAGGAGATCATATAACATATGCTCAAATCGAGAAGTTATGATAATAAAAAGTATAGGAAAATTGATTTTTTTTTTTACGAAGACTGTCTGTAGAGACACTGAAGTGAAAAACTGAAATTAGTTTATTCCAGAATGTTTCTTTTCTTCGAAATAATCATATTACAGCCAACTTGCGATCTTTCTTTGAATTTTATACTTTTTCAAATTTTCAAAGACTTCTTTAATCTTAATAGGAAAATTCCGAATTTACCTTTTCAGAAGGTCGAATTTCGTTCGTGTTGACCAAATCAATAACCGAGTCACGGACAGATTGAAGTATACTGGAAAAATAGAATAATTTTTACAAATCAATTTTTTTTAACATCTTTAAAATTTCAACTCAATGTTAAAGTAGGAACAAGATACAAAATTTTTGAAAGTTTTCATTTTTTTTTACTTTATTTTATCTTCCTTCAAACTACACACTTTATCAATAATTTCTTCGAGTTATCAAAGTTAAATTATCCTAGTCAAAATGAACCTGGCCAGGAGATCCTTCTTGTTCTTGGCGGCCTTCTGAAGGGGTTCGGAGAGGGCAGAATGGACGAAAGACTGGAGTTCTCCATAGACAGAAGTCCTGAAGGAGAAGTCGTAAGAAAATATATCAGGACCTGAGAAAGAACCTGATGGCGGTCGACATGACCTGCTCCATCTTGCCGAGCAGCGCCTGCAGGCCTTTCACCATGGCGATCACCTGGATCAGGGCCGTCTTCTCGGCCGGCGAGTAGTTATATCGCGTCGCGCGTTCGTATTCCTCGGCCGTTTCGGGACATTCTTTGTTGTCCCGGGAGTTGGTCGGGTGCAGCAGTTTCCAGCTCACCGTCTCCACCACCGCCGCCGACCATTGGCACAGCAGCTTCAAAGACAAAATTCAGGGATTCACGAAAAAACACACTCCGTCAAAAAACCCAGAAAATAAAAACATGAAGCGAGAAGCTCAAGAAAGGCCGCAAAAAAGGTCTCGTCAAGGAATCTTTGAACATTGCGAAAACTAAAAAGAGAGGAATAATAAATGATACACAAGAGCTAATAAAAAGAGCTAAAAAGACATTATACTGAAGTTTAGAACTAAAAAAGCAGTCCATTAAAACGCGGAAACGGCCTTTTCAGTATTGAAAGGAAGGACTTCAAAGCCCTGATAGTTTCACAATTATACTTGAACATAATTTTACCAAAAAGATGAATCATGCATTAAAAAAAAACAAAAAGTTTCTTCATGAGCTTAATGAGAGGTTACGCTCCAAAGAACAGTTTTTTCCTCACCTGAATTCCAGAAAGCGCCAAAGAAGTGAGCTCACGATTTTCTGCTTCTGACCCGACTCGATCGCATATCGCAACCTAAAAACTCACAACCTTGAAAAATTCCAATACTTTTTCCGTTCGAGATGAATTCCAATTCAGAGGGCAAAATAATCACCTCATTGCTGATCTTGGCGAACTGAGTGACGTAAGACTCGTGGTCAAGACGGATCGTTTTCAGCTTTTCAACAATGTTCACGTGACATTTGTCCGCTGAAAATCAAGTTTTAGTTGTTGAAAGCTCTTAATTGATGCCAAAAATACATGATTTGAGACACAAGAGGATCTCCTATTTTAAAAACTGACCATTTACTTCAACTTTTTATCAAATTGAACGTTATGCAGAATTTTAAAATTTTAAAGTCATCGCGAGTTTTTTAAAACAGAAAAAAAATAGTTTTTTTTTCTTAAAGGAAAGGGGATACTTGCAAAAAAATTTTATCATTAATATTTTCTGAAAATACATTCAGAGAAAACAGTGAAAGATTTGTTAGGCCTAAAAAAATCTGCTAATGAAAAGTTGAGAATAACTCGTATTTAAAGCTTGAAATAATCGAAAACTAACATTCTTTATCGCTCAAAGGCCACTTATTCGCGTCGTAATGGCTGGACCTTCGAACGAAAGCGAACGGCTGGATCTGCATGTCGCCGTAGAGCGGAACAACTTCCAAAGACTAAAAAACAATCATTAGAAATGGATTTGACGAATAGTTCAACTTTGAAAATTCTGTCGAGTCTTTGGATGCTCAGTCGCTTTTTCTGGTCGAGTTTCGCCACGTTTGGTCCGTCGCCATCGATCAGGAACAAGGAAAAAGCAATAACCTGAATTTTCAGTAAAAATCTCATTTTTTTTTTCCTTGACACAGGAAGTTTTTCTTTTCACTCAATGACGTGTTCTTTTTTCAAGACCAGTTAAAATAAAACTTAAATTTTTACTTTTGATCTTGAGATATCTTTGATGTCGTGTTCGAAGTACTATCCACAAAAACTTAAATTATCTCTGGCTCTCCGAAATTTAGTTAAATTTTTTCACTCTCTGACGGCTTTTTTGAACTTTGCAGAATTACTTCGAACACGAATAAATCATCTCAATTCTAAATAGTTTCAATTTCTAAAAACAATCAGCTAGTCAAGCTCTCCTAATAAGAACTTGGACCTCGATAACGAAATCTGGACGCTTCTGAGCAACTCTAGGGATCACTTAAGAGTTCTGACTCTACTAAAGCGGCCACTAAAAATGCTCCGACAAGTCTAACCACGTTATCTAGGTTCGAGAAGTTTCCATGACGGAAAAAAAAAGTTAGAAATTGTTAAAATGGTAATAATTTTTCATTCAAAGAGGAACATTGCGCGAGATTTTGGACATCATTTGTTCTAAATTTGAATTCCTTTTTTTTGTAAATTAGTTAGCTAAAACTATTTGAAAATTAATCAAAAACTCTAAAAGATGGAATCGATATCTAAAACCTTCTTTTTACTGAACACACGCTTTGTAAAAAGAACAGTTCCTGAATAATTAAGAAAAAAGGCCAACCTTGACAAACATGTGCTTCTCGTTGGCTGAAAGGTACTGTTGAGTCTCATACATATGAGCGCAAATGTTGACGACATCTGCCAATAGTTCGTCGTAGCCTTCTATCTGAAACAAAAGTATCAAAATTGAAACAGGAAGTCTCTCTGAACCCACCGTCTTCATCTGCAGCCTCAAATCGTCTTTGATTTTGTTCTGAGTGGCCAGGAACATGCTCAAGTTCTGCATGTCGTGAATGGTTTGAGTGTCCGACATGACCTGGAGGAATTGAGCGGCCCTGAAAAAGAATATCCCTTTCTTGTGGATTTCAGAGATCGTTGCCTTCTGTAGGTGGAAAAGTCGTTTTTGATCGACGCCTTCATGTTTTTCAGTTCGTCGAGCACCGCGAACATGTTGATGAAGCGGCCCAGAGTCAGAAGATATGCTTCTGAGACAAAATCCTGTAAAATGATCTCATAATGAAGCCCTTAGTAGGATAAAATTTAGTTTCAATGAGCAATTTTCCGGAAATATATCGAGATCATTTTCTTGTGGATTCCAGATATCCTTTAAAAAACCTCTTATCAAATTACACTGACCTGTTTTATTCCGGAATCGCTTTGAACTTTTTTGGTAATTCATTAATGAATTCTTGAACTATAGAGAAGAGCAACCAGTTCAACTATGAATGGCCATAAAAGCACTAATAATCAGTTAAAGAAGAAGGATTCGTTCGGTTGATATTTTTGAAGGATTTAACGACGCAATAGTCTTGCTGGGCTTTTAACTCTATATTTAACTTGAAAAAAAATTTGTCTGTACCTTTAAGGATAAAAGAGCATCGGAAAAGGTGAGACATCTCCAAACAAATAAATTAATAGAAAAATAAAGAGACCTGACGTTCAAAAAACAGCGAAAACTCAATTTTTTAAACGCAAAAAACCTTAGTTTTCCTATAAAAGTTGAAAGATTACCTTTCGTTTTTCAGCATGACACAAGCGACGAACTTCTTCGCAGAACCTCGATGTTGCACCGTTCTGATGAGAAAAATATATTATTTTCTCCTATTTCAAACCGTGAAACGCATGAAAAAGCCGAGTTTTTCCACTTCTGGCCGTAGTACTTCTACGACTTTCATGTTGATTTCGACACGGTTTGGCTGGTCGTTGGATCGGGCCTGAATTTCATAAATTTCATCGATTTCTTAAATTAATGCACAAACCATGGGAACTGCACGTGAACAACATCGCCAAGTATAAAGATTCGCCGCGTGATTCAGACCATCTGCCAACATGTCGTTCTGAAGTTTTCAATTTTCGTACTATTCATTTCATAACTCATGATCATTCTCGTTTCTAAACTCATAAAAACTTACAAACTCGGCATGTCGGGTTGCCTCTTCGCTGTACTTTGCGATTCCCGTCACAAACGCACTTCTATCTTCGAAATTTGTGTCAAAGTTTGCTCTTAAAAACTTCATTTAGAAAAAAAAAAATATATTTTATTACCTATACAAAAGTGGTAGTGATCGCGCTTCGATGTCTGGAAGGTCATCCGGAAGAACAAGATTATCGAGCAGCTGTCAAATTACAAAAATTAAAACTTGAAATGAAATTAATTTCAAAAATCACCTCGACGTTGTTAATGGCATCACGCACCGTCACGATGCCAGCTTCCGCCATGGTTGACAGTGTGATTCACTGATTCGATAATCGCAGCATGAAAAACAACAGCGAAATACTTGAAATTAAATTTTAAAAAAGATGTCTCGTAAAAATTTATTGAAGTGACACCGTATATTAAAGGTAAATTCGGTGAGTTGAGGAATTGTATATGATGAGTTTTCTTTTAATGAAAAATGTGAGACCAAGAGGTAAACATGTAATACTATATAGACAAAATTGCAACAGACATTTAATGCAACAAAAAAAAATTGTATAATATTATGAAGAGTTTAAAAACGAGGATAGTCAAGATGAACTTCATGACCTCTCGACAAAGAGATCATTTTCTCGAAAAGGACACTTTTCACTTTGTCTTCCATCCCCAACCAGGCAGGACTGTCTCTGACAGCGTCAATTTTGTTTAAACTGTCGAAGGACTTCATGACAAAGTTCTGAAAGACTGAGTCTAAAACGGAAACTTCAAAAGTCATGTTAAACTTGAAGATCCGGGAGATCGTACTGAACAGACCAGCGCAACAGCTGAAATCTTTCCATTTTATCAGCCTCCCGAGATATGAGAAAACGATCGCAATCAACCAAAATCGAAGGAACTCCAAAACGCTGGCCGATCTTCAGAAGCATTTCCACGTTTTTCTCTGAATAAGAAAAGATACGAAATATGTGTCAAAGAAAAAGATGGAAAACGAAGTATTTCAGGACAAAAAACCTCTAAATCAGCTTCCGAAATCGCAGAAACATAGGCATAGTCGGAAATGGTGGAAAAAGGCTCCATAAAAATGTTCTTTTGAGGGTGACAAAGGCTTCCTTTTTTGCAGCCTTTTTGCGCCGTTTCGTCGGCTCTTATGCACCTTTTTTGCTGCCCCTCTCTTTCCCACCATTTCTTAAGCCTTTAAAATCCTAGGAAAAAAAAAAAATGGAAGGCTCCCTAAAGGGATCATTTTTGCTGCCTTTCTGCACCCTTTTTTTTTCAGCGCCGATGAAAGTCGGTCGCTACACATGGCAAAACGATTATAGGGAATATTCACCTCTTTTCTGATTTTTATAGTAGTTTTTCCAATGTTTTTTTGTAAACAGAAGTTGATGGAAAAATATATACAGAGTGAATGAAAATGTGGTAGCCGTTCTGCAGCGAATATTTGGGTGGTATGAAAAAAACACCAGCGAAAATTCAAACGGCGACTTTTCCGATTTTTTCATTTCGCTAGGGAACTTTCCGACGGCCACCTTTCCGACGGATCCCTTTCCGACTTTTTTCTCTTATGTTTTTCAATTTATAAAACATTTATAAACTTTTTTTTTCCTATTTCTTTGTGTTTTTAATCATCAACCAACTACCTACTTTATATAGGAAGATTAAAAAAACGAAGATTTTATCGAGAAAAAAAGTCGGAAAAAGATTCGTCGGAAAGGTGGCCGTCGGAAAGTTCCCCTAGCGAAATGAAAAAATCGGAAAAGTCGCCGTTTGAATTTTCGCTGGTCTTTTTTTCATACCACCAATATTTGACTATGTGTATGCGAGAAAGACGCATTTTTTTTATAGAAAGTTAGTTGAAAAAAAATCATACAGTGTTCATTTGTGGTCGAAACACGACATCCTTCCAGTAAAACGACAAAGGAAAAAAACGTGGAAAAAAAAGATGGCAATTCAAAAAAGAGGGGAATATTTCCAAGAATCGTTTGCAAAGATTCGAGCCCCTAAGATTGGTGTATGCAAAATTAACGCTCACGATTATTCGGGGACCATAAATAATGAGAAAACTACTGACTGATATAGTCTGTGTGCCACGACTTGAAATTTCACAGAACAACATTCCGCTGTGCCGCTGCGCGCTTTTGCGAACCTTGGTCGCGCCAATAATTTTTTTTCTTCTATTAAGATACTCTACTTCATGTTCTCCCACAGCAATAACAATCAATTAACCTAGATTCGAAAGACGCTTCGCGAACGCACGCAGCGGAACAGCGGAATGTCGCTCCGTGAAATTTCAAGTCGTGGCACACAGACTATAAAAAAATTAACGCGCTGGCGCCGCATTTCGACTATCAAAAGACACCGTTTAAAATATACTTCTTTCAAATGTTTGAAGGATCGATTATCTGACCGTTGGGTTTTTGCTCCATCGGATAAATTGCTTGAATGAGCGTTTTTATCTCGTTTGGGCTAACATCGTTCAGTTTGATCTCCATGATTTTCTCTTTTTCTGCGTGTTCGAAGCTTTCTTTGTCAGTTTCGTTGCCAAGACTTTCTTCTTTCTCTTCAATCAACTTGCGGAAATATGAAGAATGCAGCTTGAACAGCTGTAAACAGAATCGAAAATTGTACATGAAATATTTCACCTCTTTATGGGCAAAAAACTTCTGGAATCCGACATGGAACAAAACGCTTGGAAATTGCCTCGATAGATGGGAAACATCGAGACTCAAGTGATCCAACGTTCTTCAAACTTCAGAATCATCCATAAAAACGGAAAATCGGACTTGCCTTTTGAATGATGATGAAAAAACTTTGATTTCAACAAAAGCTCGGACCAACTTCACAACTCTCCCAAAAACATAAAAAAAATGAATTAAAGCGGTCAAGTTTTCCCGCGAGAGAATAAAACGCGGAACTTCCTTGAAAAAAAGACAATACCTGTTTGGAACTAAACAGATTTTTTTCTGATAAGGTACATCGCATCTCGAATGGTTTGACATGATTCTCAAAAACAAAACGGTCCTGAAAAATGATAGCTTTAGAAACGAAAACGTGTACAATATGGAACGGTACGGAATGTGCGATGACTGCAATCAGTCGTGAAAGTTCTCAAAATGCACCCAAAAGGTTGTACAAAAATGAAAAGTACGAAACGGCCGGCGCTGAGATTTTATCTTTTTTAAATAGGTTTCTCAAAATTAAAAAAAAATCTTTCCGTTGAATTCATCTCAACTTTGTATTAGACATTTCATTCTATCTGTTTTTTAATGCCGGGATCTATAAAAATTGAACTCGTTATATAGTCCGTTCAGATTTTGAATGTCAAGTGCAATGACGTCATTCAAAAACGATCTGTTGATGGCTCGCTCTCTGATTGGTTTATAGCGTTATTAGGGGGGCGGAGCTTCAGGGACCACTTGACATTCAAAATCTGAACAGACTATAGCCGATTCACGGCGGGCTTGAGACATCGAAAAATGGTTCCTGAAACGGGAAAAAAAGAGATTTCCTGGTTGATGGGGAGCGCAGACAGTGCCACACTCTTCAGCATCCAAAGCAAACCGTGGATAGGTTATACTATCATAATATTATTTCCTCTTATACATTTTTTCTTTCGAACTCTCAGCGACTAAGAAACAATTTTACCGCAAAAGTGCCCAATTTTTCGTTGCCGGATTTCAAAGCAAGACTAATTTCGGCGTCAACTTTCCACGGCGTAGACGAATTTTCAGGATCGCAAGCCACCACCAAAACGACATTTCTCTTTTTCTCGCACACTTTAACAATCCTAAAAAATTAAATTAAACTGATTTATCCGTTCTTCCGTCTATGTAGATTTCATTTCCTAATCTTTGAAAAATACACTCGAATATAATGTGAAGAAAAAGCTATAGTGATAAAAATCAAATTTTTGTGATCACTGATTTTGAGAGTTTTTGAAAATTAAAAAGACAAATTGGGCGACTTTTTCCTTTTCTACACCGTAGAAACCGCGAGATTGGTTGAGAAAAAGTTTCCTTAATTTCCTTAGAACTTTTCAAAAAGATTGAATAACTTATTAAACCTACCACTTGAACTCATTCATTTGAATTATGCCGGAAATGCAGGTCTCTCCGACCTGAAAAATAAATTCAAGTGTGTCCAGAACAGTTCAAAAAAACAGTAGTTAGCTTCCAAATTTTTTTCGATGTAAAAATATTAAATAAAAATTTCATAATCGGTTACGGTAGGTTTTTTTGAACAGATTCATCATTCACTAGTAAACAGGAGAACGGGATACCTCCAGATCAACAGAGCCACGAATCAATTCAGACATGGTGACGAAGTCTTGGAAGCTAAAGCAACGATAAGAAATTCTGTTACAAACAAATTAACTTGTTAAGGTAATAAAATAAAACGATCAAACGAATCTCTTCAAAAAAAAACTCTGAATTGAGAATTTTTATTGGATAGATATTTTGAAATGGAGTAAAAATTACATGGAAGAGAAAAAGAAAAAAAAAGACAATAAGTACGTTTGAAAATGAAAAAAGACAACAGCTACTATGTTCAAGATTGGCGAAATTACTTTCGCCGTGTTCAAAATAATTTCGGTGATTTCAAAATTGACGTGTTGTTCGCAATAATTCCCCGAATAGCTCTAAAGAATGGTTATCTTTTTCACTCTCTGACGGTTGTTTTAAATTCAATTCGAACACGGTATGAACGAGAAAATCGTTTCGTTTTCGATTGCGAAACTGCTTTGAACACGATATATAACAACGACGAAAAAGTTATTTAAAGTAAATTGGTTGGAGGGCAATCAACATATTTTGCGATTATTTCTTTCACGATTTTTCTGTCGCCTGCAAATCCGACTTTCTTCGTAGTAGAGCTTCTCGTTCCACGCCACCCAAAAACGGCCACCACCAGTTTTTTTGAGCCTTCGAAATATTTTCCACGGTGTCGAAAGACTTGAGAAGGTGATCCTAGATTCATTCTCTATCAGGAAAATGAGTTTGAACAAAAAAAAACTGAGATCGAACAAATACAGCCCTTTTTAAAAAATTTCTCAATGAAAATTTTTTAAAAATTTATTTTGGTTCTTCAAATTCTACTGTTTTGTCTATCTTCTTTTGTTGTCGTAGAACTTTTAAGCAATTCTGACAATTGATATGATCTTTCATGAACCAAAAATAAACCTGCAAGTCAGGAAGATTGTACAGAAAGGACCAGCGCAGATAGACGAGTGGATCATACTCTTCCGTAGCAGGGTCCGCGCATAGAAAACGATCACATTCGACCAAAATGGAAGGGACACCAAAGCGTTTGCCAAGAATCAACAGCGCTTCTACGTTTTCAACTGGAAAAAAGTGCTTTTGACTCGACAAAATCTCTTCCAACCATCATGCAAGTTTAAGACAATGCTACGACGGCCGGTCAATGTTGCGCTGTCAGTTTCGGAGCCAAGAATATTTTTTTCTTTTTTGCTATTTGTTAAGGACCTATTTCTCAAGGCTACAAGATATATAAGTTACGTCACAAAAAGTACACAAGTTTTCATTTTATTAACTAAAAACCTAGCTCGATTACTGTGATACGACCGGCCGCCTTGAACATGCGTGTCATGTGAAGCCTTTCATTAAAATATCTAGAAAGGCACCGATGAATGGACCATGATAATGCAATTGATGGCAAATCTTCATCTAACTTTTCACTCACTATTAACTTCCCGATCCGAGGGATAAATAAAATTCAGCAGCATTTCCATATCTAAAATCGTCGCATTTTCAAGTTGAATTTCCTTCTTCTCTCCAATTTCGCTGAGCAGTTCGCGGAAAAAAGATGAATAAACTTGCAAAATCTGCGAAGAAATTATTTATTTTCTGATAGATACTAAACCTGTTTATGCACGTGGAATGGTACTCGCTCTACTAAAATGATCAAATCTGAGTCGTTATGAGGATTCAAGAAGCACAACTGTGGAAGAAGGTCTTTCGTTCTGTTACAACTACATTTTCGACAAGGTTTCGACTTTTCCAACCTCATGTTTTTAACTGAAAACAAGGTAGATTGGATGACAACCACAGAAGAAGAAAAGTGTTCTCCTTCCTGAAAGATGTAACAATTATAATTGTTCACCCCCACTTTTCTGGGGTTTTAAAGAAGAGATCTTGAATTCGAAAAGGTCTCGCAACGAGGATTTTTTGATTTCTGATTTGACCGAATCACTTTCTGCGCCTTTAAAACCCCAGGAATTGGTTTTGAATGGACCAGACCAGGTTCACATTATCGAACGGCTCATGTTCTGTAGTACAGTACTGAATTTCCACAGGTTTCAGTTGAGCAGTGAAAACTGCGCGCTTCTAAAAAAAATTAAACTTTTTTCATATTTTTATATTTTTCTCGGTGGTCTCGACCTAAAAAATGACATAGTTTTAATTTTTTAAAAAAACTTTTCTAGCCACTTTCGATGCATCTTCAAATTAATGAGATCTTCACATTTTTTTTTTCTTATTTTATCCCTTTCTTCATCGAATATAACTTTTGTGCGATTCGAAAGAAACGTTTTTTTTTCCATTAATGGCAAGATTCAAGATGGCAAGACAAGCAAGATTTAAATTTATTATTTGGAAATACATACGAAAATATATACCGAAATGAATTCTGAAGTTGAATCACCGGTTTTCAGCCAAAAACCGATCTCGGCGTCGACCTCCCACATAAACGAATCATGTTCCATATCACACCAAACATGCATCTTGACAGCTCCTTGACACCCGATCACTTTAACCCGCCAAGAAAAATAATTTTTAAGTGAGAAAATTGGAAAAAATGTTAAGTGGGAACATTGGAATTTTTTTGAGTTTAGTCAATCCTTTTTTTGCTATACTAAGAAACCACGCATGCTTTAGAAAATGCTATAAATTATTCCGCGCGATTCAAATGATTCTCTAGCTCGGAGGAAATCAAAAAAATCGTGACAAGCTAGAGTAGAATGGACTATACGGCGGCCGGACAAAATTGCGCCGTCAGTTTCGGAATCAGGAAAATTTTTTAATGTTTTTTTCTTTTGTTGAAATTTGTTAAGAGCCTATTGCTCGAGGTTACAAGACAGGTTACGACACAAAAATTACACAAGCTTTCATTTTATTACCGAAAAAAACCTTTTTTTAAAACTACCGTAATTCGCCTTGAACACGCATGAAGCCCTCCCTCTCTATTAAATTTCTTTTTTTTTTTAATTAACTTAAGCTATCGCAATCAAAAAAGTAAGATACCACATAATATTATCTCCGGCCTCGACGAGACCTTCCTCTTCGCGATCATTGAAAATCTGTATACTCAAGTTATAGAAAAATTTTGTTAAGATAGCTAACCGCCAATTCGAGGGGCTCGCTGACCGAAATCCTGGACATATTATTACCTGAAAAAATATCCTATATTGAATTTTCAGAAAAAGATCGAGAGCCAAAATAATTTTGTCGTCATTTAAAGTGTAATCTGTTCATTTGAACGACGCGTACTTTCGAAGAACAGTACGGGATTTACGTACGTACGTAAATTAAAATTGAAAGAAAAATTGTGTGATTAAGCCGATGAGCGTACGTACGTAAACGTATACGTTTTGTTAAATAATGTCCGTCGGAATATATTACATAGTTTTCGTGGTGTTTGAATTGGGCTTGGGCTTCTCACAATACAAATTCGAGTATATTCTTTATGTCTCCTCAATTTGCAATGCCTTCGATAGAAATTACAGTTTTTTTTTTGCTTGTTCACCGTCCAATTTTTATGTTTTAAGGCTGCTAGAGGCCATGTGAGATTAAGCCGATGAGCAGGTTGAAAAAAGCACGCGCCGCGACGTTTTCCAGCGCACGCGGCGCGTATCTCCGTGGCAATTATTCTAATTTTCGTTTTTCTTTTTTCGCCCTCTCTCTTTTTCGTTTTTCATTCGGTTTGAAGGTGCAATGTGAATTGTTTTTTACTTAACTATTTTTTTTTCTCTAAATTCGATTATAATGGATTACATACTAAGTTTCATCTCACATTGGGGTTGAAGAAATATTCCTCCGTTTCTTGTAATGTTTCGGCCCGTGTGTTTTATTTATTTTATTTTGTTGAAATTGGTGCAATTGTTTTTCATTTTTGCTTCCGATTGCACGTTTTCCAGCTTTTATTAATCATTCATCTATAGTTTTGTAAGTATATAAAAGCTCCAATCTTTGAGGAATTTTCACAATTTTTTTGTCTCTATTGCCGTGTTCAAAGTAATTTCGCGAAATGCAAAGTAGCCGTCAGAGAAAGGAAAATATAACTAAATTTTGGAGAGTCAGAGATCATTTTGCATTTCGCGAAATTACTTTGAACACGGCATAGCAAACGTAACTCCGCTTTAAATCCCACACAGGGCTTTCTCCGAATTTTTCGTTTTATTTCTTTCAGATAAATTTTCTGTTCATTCAATTTCCATTCAGTGACAATGGGTTACGACCGTGATAACTACCGAGATCGCGACGGGGGCGGCTACCGCCAACGATTTCAAAATCGTATCAATGAGAATGACGTGCCTGAATCGAAGCACACGGTGTTTGTCCGTGGATTACCTGGAGATCTGCAACTTGACGATATAAGGTCAATTCGAAACCGGGTTATTTCTCGGTGCTTTTCAGGAAGGAATGGCCGCCGGGAGGAATTGAAGCGGGGGAAGAAGTTTTGGCATTTTTTTTTCGAATAAAATGTAGTATTTCTTGTTGAAAAAAATGTCTTGAATTAATATTTAATTGTATTTTTTTATGTGTACAATTTGAGTTGTAGTTAAAATATCGATTTTATTTTTTTGTTCTTTAGTTTTGCTCGTTTTTTTCATGCCCTTTTCAAAAATCATTTCGGGAAATTGAGGCTTTTTCGTGTAGAATTATTTCGCGAAATAGGTAAAACAAAAAATTCAAGAGCCGTTAGGAAAAATGGGTCCTACAACGATATATCGCAATATATGAGTTTTTACGGTTACTTCAACGCGCGAGCTTCAATTTTGAAGATATTTGAACATTTTCAACAAAAATCCCAATTCGCGCGTAAAAAGTTACATATCATGATATATTATTGCAGGATTCAATTTTAAACAGTTTTCGAAATTCCTATTTCTCGGAATGATTTTAAACGAATAAAGCGTTAGAAATCGCTTTGAACACGGCATAAAGCTCAATTTCGGGTTTCTAAGGCCTATTTTTCAGTAAATCAAACCAATTTCCCTGTAAGAATGCCATTTCCAATCTGTCGTACTGCTTTCCCCGCTGAAATTCTCTCCCAGCGGCCGAAAAAATCCATTCCAATTCCATGGCCTCCAATTGCAGCTGTCGGTGAAGCGGCAATGTGTCGAAAACTGGTTGATAAATAACTGATATTTCCAGACAAACCTATAAAAGCATATCTGAAATTGGTTGATTGACATATGTGTTGCAAGTGTGAATATATTCGATGTGTCCGGGAGGCTCTAATTTCTTTTAATTAATTATGCATTGATAGCCGATGAATTTTGCGATGTGATCACAGGTTGGTTGGCGTTTTTGTGGACGAATCGGGGTCGGGTCTTGAGTGGATTTTCATTTTACTTGATTTATGTGGAAATAATGATGAAGAATTTCAGAAAAAAATGAAGGGAAAAATGAAAAGAAAAGTTTTGATAAAGACAAATTTTAACACAAGAATTGGCCAAGTTCTGAAAATTGCTAGTTTTTCGGATTTTCTTGAGTGGTCCCTATAGCGTTCTTTCAATTAAAGCTAAAATAATATATATTATATATAACGGAGAACTTTTTTTGATTCTTTATGTGTTAGGTGAGCTTTCCACGGTAAAAAAATAGCAAAAATTGAACATTTTTTTGATTAAAATTAACGGAATTTTTCTGTAGTTGTGATGACTGTTATTTTTTTGACAATTTGGTCAAAAATTTAAATTTGCAGAAAATAAGCTTTAAAATTTTCACAAAGTTTCAGCTCCATACAAAAAAAGTAGAGACCAAAAAAATTTTTTTGTATATTTTCTGAAGGTACTCTAAGATTTTTTTCTAATTCTTCAATCCGAAAACTGGATCCCATATCTTCAAAACCAATCCATTCTGACCTGAACCATTCGTCCATATACTTTTTTTACCCATTTTTTTGATAAAAAAACGACCATTTCAAGTTATTTATTTGGTTGAACTGGTTGTTTAGGGATTACATAGAGGACAAGATTGGCCGCGTTTCGTTCGATTTCTCCAAGTATAGTCAGGATCGGCAGAAGCTTTTCGTAGCGGTTCGCTTTGAGAGCCGCGAAAATGCCAGGGAATTCATGGATAAGTTCGTGAACTTTTTTTCCAGATTTTGAAGTTATTTTAGCCTAAAAAAAGCCGAACCAAAAATAAATTTTCAAAAGGATTCCGTGAGATCCAAAACAGCGGTCGGAGAAAGTTAAAGATAACTGCATTTTGGAGGGTTAGAGATAAATATTGAACAAAAGCCTTGAAACCGTAATCATTGTTAATCTTCCAGATATTCGGAACGCGATTTTATGGGACATAATTGTCAGCTCCAATGGTTCCGCGACATTCGCCGCTATGCTGCTTATCAATCTTTGCATGGTTAATATTTGGAGACAAGTTTGAACTTATACTGAATCTTCGAGACGGCTATACGAAGGAATTTTTTCATTTATTTGATGAAAGTTGCAAAATTTCCAGGTCGTGGCGGTTTCCGTGGTCGTGGCAACCGGAATGATCTTCGTGGCGACAGGTGAATTTTTGATAAATCCTTTTGAGTTAAGCTTTTTTCGCGTGAAATTTGATGTGTAGTCTGTTTTCCGCGACTTGAAAATGCTTTTTTTCTCTGCGCCCTCCTCGTCTGTCGGTGACCTTCCCATGTTAACGTGCTATTTTTATTTTCTCTGACCTTGCTGGTGAGAGAACAGAGAGACGCAGACAGGCAGAAAGTTTCATGTCGCGGAAGACTAAGGCTGGCTTGAGCTATTGAAAAATGGGTCCTGACACGATTTAATAAAAAAAAGATAGCGCATATTTGGCGGAGAGTGCAGACAGTGCACGTTACAAGATGGTCATGAATCGACTTCATCAAAAAAAGAATAAGATCACTGTTTCAATTGAAAAGTGCTGGACTTTTTATGAATCCCAGTGTTCATCGACATGCTGAAAAGTCGGTCATTTTTTCGAAACGGCTATTTTTTGAAAATTGTAAAGTTTTTATCAGTTCTAAACCATCTTAGTGTCCAAAAAGCGTAGATTTCTCAATTTTGGTTAGGTTTCAAGTTTCGAAAAAAACCAAATATTGAAGACTCAAAAAAAGGGATTTTTGTGTTTTTTCAATAAAATTCACTTTTTAAAAATTTTACCAGAAATCGAAATATGTTAGGTGCGAAAAAAAGAAATTTGAGAGCATTTTTTTCGGCAAAAAAATAGAGAAATTTAGGAAAAAAGGGAATTTTTTTCCGACCGACTTTTTCTAGCATGCCTTGTTGAACACAAGGTAAAAATTATTTTGAAAGAACTTATTTCTGAAATTTTAAATTTGAAAAAAATAAGATTACAGTTTCAACTCTTAGTTGTCAAGAAATGATGTTTTCATGGAAATTTTCGAAAAAAATTCGATATTTTTGCAGACCCCGTCGACGCCACCGCTCGGACAGCAGCGGGAGCAGATCTCGCGAAAGATCGCGTTCTCGTTCGCGAAGTCGCAGCAGTCGCTCGTCGCGCAGTCGCAGTCGCTCTGCGGACAAGACGCTCGACAGAACTCGCGACGAAGAAGACCGCAAGGACGTCTCCGACGACGAGCCGCCGCGCGACCGAAGCGACGGCGAAATCGAGCCCGAGCAGGACGACAACGGCCGTCGCAGCAGAGAGGACAAGGCCGAGAAGAAAAAAAAGAAGTTCGTGCGGGGGACCTTTGCATATAGCTGATTCACGGCTGGCTTGAGCCATCGAAAAAAGGGTCCTGACACGATAATGCGCGAGAGAGTGCCTGGTTCGTGGAGAGCGCAGTCAGGCCACGCCCCCTTCGCGTCACAAGCTACCCGTGAATCAGATATACGTGGGCCCGGCCACTTTTTAATAGTGACGTCATAGCGCACGTCCCCCAAAAAGTGTCGCAAGATCCCTTTGAAAACAAAATTCTCGAAAAAATACTTTGATTTTTTTTTTCAATGCAATCCACTAACGTGTTTTCGCTTGGTAACTGTTGAAAATTGCACAAATTTGACCTTTGAAAATGCTAAAATTTGTACAGAGGAAATCTTAAGTGCTTCCGCATTTTACGAATTCAGTACCGCCCAATTTTACGAGAAAACGAGCTCATCTTAGAATTTTTTTCCATTCTTACAAGTTTTATTTGATTCGAAACTGTTCAGCGAAGAATTTGAACAGAACATTTTTTTTTTTGAATATTTGAAACAAAGAATTCTTGAATATTCCAAAAAAAAAGCGGTCAAAATCATAGCCAATAAAAAAGCTGGAAGAATTTACAATGGTCCTGAATCCAAGATTCGACCGAAAGAAACTTTGTCACGTAGACTTTTCAATTTTTTTCGTGTTTAAAATAGGAAAAAGCTCAAAAATGGGTTCCAGCAATAAGATTCAGATGTTATAGATGATTTTTTTAGACCTTTTTTTTCGTTAAAAAGTTCAGAAAAATAATATGAAATATGGAAAAAGTCATTTTTTAAAAAAATTAATCTTTAATATTCGATTAATTATGTAAACGTTTGATTTTTTTGAAGGGTTCCTGGCAACCTGAAATGAGTGTTTCCCTCTTTTTTTCTGGAAAAGACGTCTATTTCAAGAAATTTTTGCAGGAAGAAGAAGAAGCGCCACAGCTCGTCGGACGGCGAAATATTTTCCGACGATGAAAAGTCCAAGAGTTTGGAAATTTCCAGTGAATCTCCTATTAAGACCTTTTCAGATTCGAAAACTTCCTATAAAGAAGATCAAAAATATTTTGACATTTCGCTGGATTCGATCCCCCCGCCGCCAGTTTCCGAGGAACCTTTGACCAGGCCTCTCATCGCTGCTCCTGGGGTTTCCAAGGAGATCAAAATCAATATTTCGACGAGCAAAGTTAGAAAATGATCCCTGAATCGAGTAGACGAACTGATTATTGAAGGCGGAGTTGAAGGAGGATTTGGACGAGAATTCGCCGGCCTACGCCATTCAAAACACGAAATATTCGATTGGACTCGACTCGGTATTGAATTGAAATGCGTATTTTGGGTTGAATCGGGTATTCTGATAGGATACGCCGGCGAAAGTTGTTCGGAATAAGACGGAGAGTCGGCCGTCGTCTGCTGGCCATGGTTTGTTCCATTTTTTTCAGATTTAGAAAAAAATTTTTGAGTTTCTACAGGTTATTCCAGCTTTCAGAACATTTTCATGTTTTTTTTAAATTTTTCCAGGGCTTTAAATGGATGTACTTTATTAAATTATGGTATCTTAAAGAAATTTACTCAGATTATGTTGAGTAAGTCCCCATTCTTCCAGGGATTCATATCGATTTTTTTAAAAAAATAGTTGTTCAAATTTTCAAAAAAAGCTTGAGGAATTCTCGGCTCAGTTTTTCTACGGTAACAATATTTTTTTCGTCCCAGGACCTTTATCAAGGCGACCATTCAGCATATCTTTCTTAGCTTATCTGACCCCGCCACCGCCGGAACCACCGAAACTGTCTGATTTGCCTCCCCCGCCTCGCCCGCCGCCCGTTTCCATGTGAGTTTTATACAATGAAATCTTGGAGAGGGTCCAATTTGATGATAACAAGGTCATTTTTTTCAGAAAAGTCGCCGCCCGCGGATTTCATCCCATCGGATCCGAACCACAATACGAAGAGGAAGAAGTTCCGATTAAAAGGAGCCGAGTCACTACGGAGAATGCCAAGGTGGGAACGAGGGAACTTTGAAAATCGTGTAAAATTAATTGGTTCATCTGTTTCCATGTTCATTTGAAGATTCTATAGTGGGTTTCGCGAGAGAAGGTCATGATTTAAAGGAACAGCAGAAAAAAAAAACTACCGCTCTCCAAAACTGTAAAAAGACGTAAAAAAAAACACCTAGAAAAAACTCTAGTGGCCACAAAAATCACCTCCGTTAAAGGCACTATGGTATTTTTTTTTAATTTGAGTAGTAGTACGGCTTAAACGAGTGGTTTTCAAAGGGTTCTGCTGGCCGCTTAAAAAGTTCTTTAAGGGCTATTGGAAAGGATACTAGAGTGGCCACTAGAACTACCTCTATAGAAGCAGCTATTTTGCGCCTTAGTGACCACTATAGTGGTTTTTTTTTATCTCGTTGTACCGCTTGGGCTTCTAAAGAGGACACCAAATTTCAATCTTTAAATTGGCCGCTAGTTTGACCACTATAGTGGCCACTCAAACGTCAGAACCCTAAAGTGTCCCCTGAAAAAACCCTATAGAAGCCACTATTTTACTTATAAGTGGCCACTATAGTGGTTTTTTGGTCTCGTATTACCACCTAAGCTCCTAAAGAGGCCACCAAACTTTGGCATCTGAATTGGCCACTAATTTGATCACTATAGTGGTTACTCAAGCGTCAGAACCCCAAAAAGGCCACTGGAATACTCTATAGAAGCCACTGTGGTATAACGTTTAAAAAAAACGTGACAAGCAAATTTCAGTTTTTTGGCAATTTTTCAAGATTTTCAGAAAAATCCCGAAAACAGTGAACTGTTTCAAGGTTAACTCGTACACATCCTGCATATATATTTTTTAAATCCCTTGTAAACTTCGAAAAATGTTTAATTAACGGTTTTCACCGTGATTCATATATAATTAATGAGTCGGGGAGCTGCAATTTTGGCATTTCGAGTTGGTTCATGCAATTTCCATGGTAACGGGCTGTTACCTTCTTTTTCCCCCTTGTTATTTCAGCTTTTCCTATTTTTATTTTTCACTGCTCGAAATCCTCCACCGTTTATATAATTTTCTTCAAAAAGTCTTAAGAAATCGTTGAATCTTGAAAATTTTGAAAGAAAGTTTACACTTTTGGGTGAACTTATGTTCAATTAAGACAGTTTCTCATTTTTTCGAAGTTTAAAAAAGTCGAAAAAAGTCATTTTTTCAGCCGATCGTGACGAATCGTTACGAAGACGTGGAAATGGATCTGGGTACCCCGGAGCGAATTTCGCCTAACGCCAATGGCGTCGGAACGCCGAAAACCCCGTCCGGCCGAGCTTCCAGATATCCTTTCACTCAAAAGTCCGTTTTGATGTGGAATCGAATAAAATGGAGGCTTTCAGGTATTTCGGACACCTCGACAAGTTCCAGTCGGAGAAAATCGGCAAGGTCAGAGTCGAAAGGAAGAAGAGTGCTGGTGGGTTTTTTTCGTTTTTACGACGCCCCGCCCATATATTTTCCGTAAAATGTTGTGTGTCGTGTGCATGCACCGCCATGCTCTAGCACATTCCGTGTTCAAAGTAATTTCCGCGAAATTCAAATTCACGTCTAGATTTTCGAAATTCAGTTGTATTTTTCGCTCTCTAGCGGCTATTCTGAATTTCCCGGGATCCCTTTGAACAGGGCAACAGTAAAATTGCGGTTTTTTAAATGAAAAATATATTCGTTTCATGACCCATTGAACATGCGCCTTTAATATCCCCTGTTGCTTACGCTTGATTCCCATGACGTCATGGGAACGGCGGAGGTTTCGACTCCGCCCCCTTCATTTTTGGCCTCGCATTTTCCTCCATTAACAAAAATGCCGAGTTTTAAAAACATATCGATATTTTTTCCAGATTTCGGCGAAGGCCTGAAGTTGTCCTTCGGTCAAGACGCTCAGAACGACGAAAAAAGCAAAATCGAGGCCCGAGAAGCTCGTCTCGCCCTTCTGGAAGGCGTCGAGATTGACCGATTTATCGTCAAGAAGAAGAATCTTGAAAAGGTATCGATTTAGTAAGAAAATGGGAAAAAACAGCGCATATTGGATGTAGGGATCACATAACCCCTATAGGGATCACTTAAAATTTGAGAGGTTAGGGATCTGACCTTTAATCCTTTTAGGAGGAACCATCTAAATTTAGCCCTATAGGGAGCACTTTTTGTATCCTATAAGTAATGTTTTACCCCCTAAACCCTATAGGGGCCACTCAGGCGTTTTTAACAAAAATTGAATACCCCTAAAGGGATTACTTAAGTTTTAGGGGCTTAGGATTCAGACCCTTAACCCCTTTAGGGACCATCTAAATTTACCCCTTTAGGTAGCACTTTTTTTGACCACGGTAGGTGCAGAATTTTCACCCTAAACCCTATAGGGACCACTTGGGCGTTCCTAACAAAACTTGAATACCCCCATAGGGATCACTTAAGATTTGATTGAGAGCTTAGGGTCAGACCGCAAACCCCTTTAAAAGCCATCTTGATATTGCCCTATAGGGAGCACTTTTTGTCTCCCACATTTTTCTCCCTAAACCCTATAGGGACCATTCAGGCGTTCCTAACACAAATTTTAACCTTCTATAGGGATCACTCAAGATTTGAGAGCCGAGGGTTCTGATCCTTAACCCCTCTAGGGAACATCTAAATGTACCCTCATAGGGAGCACCTCCTTGTCCCCTATAGGTACTGTTTTTCTTCCTTAAACCCCTTAGGGACCACTCAGGCGACCCCACGAAGAAGAACATGGAATTTCACTCAAATTTTCCTTGGAAAAAATAGAATAGATTAATGCATGGCTGACCAAAAAAAAAAAATTAAAGAAGGTTAGGAAAAAAGTCAAGTCCAAATTTGGAGCCTTTATTGAGAAGTTAAAGCTGAAATTCGTAAGAGTGGTCGAGTTTTTTTGTCAATGAATCGATGAATTTAAAATTTTGCTAATTCTGAGGAACGAGCCCAAAATTTGTTTTTTGAAAAGTGGGCATATTACAGTATAGCCCCCCGCATATGTTGGATATCACCCCCCGCGACACGTTCGAACAAGCCCCCCACACTTATCCAATATAGCCCCCGGAACTATCCAGTATAACCCCCCACACCGAAAAAAAGGTCACGCAACGATCACGCAGGACACGTGTCAGAGCTTCCATTTTTTTAAATTTATTTTCTAATTTTTTTTCGTATCATTCGTCGTTCTTGGTTGTTTCAAATGGTTTTTTTGTATTTTCGCATGTAAATTCGTGTTCTTTTTGTGAATTTAATAATTTTTTTGTGATTTGATTTGTAGATCATGGAAGAAATTAGGTCGCTGTCCGAGTTTCATGAGAAGTTCAAGTCAGACAAAGAAGTTTACGGGTACGTCTCGCCGAGATACGTACGAATATCATAAAATTATGGGGCGCTGACCACTTAGAAAAATTTAAGATGAACTTTATTAGTTTTCAATCAAGTAATTGTTCTGAGGAATAGAATTTTTTTGCTTTTTTTCTTTTCATGCACATTAATTAATAAATTACTTAGGAAAAATAGGCTTAGTTTTTAAGGCTTCACACGGAGGCGGAGCGCGCATAGCTAGGGGGCGCAAAGCCCCACCCCTTCACGCCACCAAAATGACGATTTTTTTGTTGCAAAAACGGTTTTGAGGCGTTTATACTAGCTAAAGTCCCACTTTGAAAAATTAACTGTTTCTGTTAATCTATGTAATCGACAACGCTCTACAAGACTGAATATTTTTTTAAAAACTATGTATTTTTTTCAAAAAAATAAGCGAAAAAAAGTAAGATTTAACACGAAAAAAACTGACAAGTTTCACAAAAATCGTCGCGTTTCAGAAAACCAAGTGAGGAACGCTTCTAAATTTTTAAGTATGTTATACATTAACACTTTCTTTATTTTTTTGAGGGAAAATGAAAAAAATCTACCGACGCGAAAAAAATATTAAAGCTTGTAAAGTGACACCAAACTTTGAAGCTGAAATGCGAAAAAATTTCAGCGACATGGTATACTTTTTATTTGATTTAAAAAAACTAACAGTGTGTCCAAAAAAATAAAAAAATTCAAAAATGAAAAACAATTATTGGGACAGCGAATCAAGTTATATTTGAGTTTTACCAAAACCTCCATTTTTTTCGCCTGCCTCGTTGACGCATGAGAGAATAGGATCGCGTCTATACTTTTGATCAGGTTATTAAGCGTTCAAAACTCTATCAATGAAAAAATTATGAAAAAAATCGATCGACGCGAAAAAAATAACGGCTTTGAAAACCTCGAAAAAATGGCAATTTTTTTTTAAATTTCGGAACATTTCGTGCAAGCGTCCGTAGCAGTGTTTGCATCCAACACACCGATGCGCCCTTTTAAATGTCGCAGGAGCCGTTTTTCGGAGACAAATTGCACTTTTTCCTGTTTTATGTCGAAATAACATTATTTTTTTCATTTTTTTCTTTTTTTCCCAAATCGAATGATAATAATTTTTTTCTGAGTAGAAAAAAAGAAAAAAATAAGCTGAAAAAAATCGCTTTGACCTTTTTTTCTAGGTAGTTTTTTTGATATTTTATCAAAAAAATTCTTATGAGGATTGTACAAAAAGATTCATACCAAAACATGAGGCTCAGTTCGGACAACCTCTCAGAACAGAAAAACCGATTTAAAAACGGTCCAGAAACGCGCAAAAACATTTAAAAAGAAAGCGTGCGGCAGCGGGTAAACCGTGAGATTTTGCCTCCAGTTGTACGCCGCGCGCGCTCGTTTTTTGGCCATAACTTTTTTCTTAGTGGAGCTTTTTTCAAAAACTAAACGGATTATGAAAATGGACAGTCTCCTCTATCGAACAATGTAAAAAACATATTTTTTGAATCGTTCTGAAGAAATGGCTTGCGGACCCTACGCATAGCGCGAAGCCGACTGTGGCTCGCTTCGAAAAAACTGAGCCACAGTGAACAATTCGTCAAATAAATAAAATACTTGACATGGAGGGGGTCATTCTGAAATAGAGGGGGCCATTCTGAAATGGAGGGGGCCATTCTGAAATGAGAGGGGGTCATTCTGAAATGGGAGGGGGCTTGTTCGAATGAGCTCTGGGGGACTATTTCAAAGCCGTGCGGGGGCAAATATGAAAAGATTGCCTAGGCATTTCAGAATCGCCCCCTGTTTTTGTACTGTGGGGGCATTCTAGAATACATATTCACCCCCCGCGTTCGATTCTTCCCCCCACATGAAGTCCTCCTATTTTACCCCCCACAGATCGGAACTTGGCTTGGTGGGGGGCTTGTTGGAACGCGGGGGGCAAAAACAGTGTGGGGGGCGATTCTGGAATTTTCCTTTAACAGTTGCTCTGCTAGAAAGAATGAAACGAAACGGTATAGCTGAATCTGAGACTGTGCCATCGAAAAAGGGTCCTGACACGATTTGAAAAAAGAGAGAGTGTTAATTTAGAGGATAGCGCAGACAGTTCACGTCCCCAAAATAGCCGCGGATCAGATATACTGTTTTTTTAAATGTAAGATTACAGTTTCAACTGTGATTATTCAAGAAATGATGAATTTCTAATGAGTTTGATCTTCTATTCTCATATTTGATGTTTGTTGAGGAAACCTAGTATAACAATTTTTACGATACAGTTTGTGAAATGTTCGAAAAATGAATTTCAGGCGTTCTGCCAAGACTGCGAGACGTTCGCCGTCGTGACCCAGAAGCTCCTGAGCAAGGACGACACATTGGAGTCGTCCCTGAGGATCGCCCTCATCGAGAACTTGGACGAACTCTACGCAGAGTTCCTCAAGAAAGTCGACAAAGTCCTGGAAGACATGATTTAAAAATGTTTTCTTTTTGTATATTTTATCGCAGTGCGTTTTATATGATCCTACTTTTGTTTTTGTTGTTAATTTATTTCACCTAGTTTTTATTAGCTCACGTGCGGTTGTATCTCGTCCTTGCTTTATTAATTAACGTTTTTTTCTCAAAATTTTTGGTCTTTTCAAGATTGAGCTGGGGAATTTTTTTCGATACTTGCTACAATAAACATGCCTAGTTCGCTGCAGAGAATGCAAAAAATTTTTGAATTGAAAATATAGCCGCGGCTAAGAAATTGAATTTAGTGAGAAAAAAGAAATTTGCTTTGAAACTCTACTTCTAAAGCTAAATTGAATCTCTGCATCTTAAAAATTGAAACTGAAATAGTTGAGAGATGCTCATTTTCTTTAGTTATCTACCAATTTTTCAACCATTTTTTTATTACAAAAAGCGGATGTGAAAAAAGGTATAAATTACACTCACGAACACGAAAAAGCAATTTTTGGGGGGTTGATAATCATAAAAGTAGGGAAAAAAATCAAACCGTTCAGCACAAC